AACAAGAAAGGAAAACCCAATTGTTTAAAATGTTCAATTAGGTTTATATTCTTGTCATTGAGTTAAAATGTTCTATCTATTTTTTCTTAAAAAATTAATCAACTGTAAAAGTAATGACACGTTATGTTATCGGATAATTCAATTCAAGTATATGTGTTCAAATGCAGGCCGATCAATGGCGTCAAGTTTTTCATATCTAAAATTATGTCGACTAGCGGTCATAGTGGTTGTTGTTGTCACCTCGAGTCAGAAAGAGATAAATCTTTTTGAATACACATCAAAAAAGAGCATAATTTCTCCTCTCTCTCTTTTTTTAGGTACAACGTTCCCTAGCTTTTGATTAGATTCCTAGGTAGAAACACCTTTTTAAATTTGGCTTAAGTCCATCCAATTGCCCAATAAAACAAACAATTAAAAGGTCTTTCATTATTAAAGTAAGACATCATTATCACAAAAACTAGTCAATAGAAAAATATCCAACTTATGATGGCAATAATTTATGCTGATAGGGAACCCAACCCAACTAATCTAAATCATCAATACTTAATCAATTCACTAAGCGAGATTAAGATAGATTAATTTAAATTTATATAAACAAGGGAAGGGAAACAGAACTGGGTGGGAATCAGATTCGCGTGTTGTAGATGGCATGCTGGTCATAAAGGGACAGAGGGTCCTGATCTTGGTGGGGGCCCATTTGTGGGCCCAAAGATCCAATCCTACAAACAAAATCTCCCATTATTTTGTGATGTCTTTTGTTACCCTCCTCATTAAATGCTAATTTTGGCTGTTTGCACCTGTTTTTTTTTGTGGGACCCAAAACTTTTTATAAACAAATAATATTTTTATTATGGTGCCCCTCAAATAGGACATATGGTTTCTAATTGGCCCATTAGTAGGACAAATTTGAAGTTTGATTTGGTTGCTTTGAATGGGATAGAAAATAATAACACATCTGAACAATTTGGCCACCTTTTAATATTACCTATTATTATTATTATTATTCTTGGAGCTATCATAATTTTATATTTATTTTATTTTTGATATTTTTGATATTTTAATACTATTAATAATAAGTGTTGGAGAAAATGGACAGCCTGCGTGATTCTAAAAAAAATAAAGTGTGAAGATTATCGTCAAGTCTTCCCAATTTTGAGACGTATCAAGTTTTCATTCCTAAATTGACGGCAAATATTTTAGGGCTCAAATTGAATTCATGAGTTGTTGCGATAAGAAGATATTTTTCATTTGAAATATAACACGTGTTGCAAGTTTTTGTAGTAAGATTGTATATAAAAAGTTTTACACCAAACTCTGAAAATCAAGTCCAATCAATAAATCTTGAAAGCGAAATTCGAATCCCTTAACTCAAATCTTGGTAACAAAGAATATTATAGCTTGGAACTATTACAATCACAATGTCACATATCTCGAGCATTGAAACATGACCGGTTGACCCCAGACCTTGGACGCTAAACCTAGGCTAAGAGCCCTAAACTTGCATCTCAAACCCTTAACCCTAGGCCTCAAGCTTATAACACTGAGCTCTAAGCACTTGCTCCAAACTTAGATCATAACCCATGAACCTAAATCATGTCCTAATGCTTGAATCTTTTGACCTTTAGCACCGGATCATAGACATTTATAGGAAGTGAATGAATTTCTAGCAGTTTGACAACAACAACAAAAAAAAAGAAAAAAGAATTATGAGTTGACTTCAAAAAAATACGAACACAAGGAAGACTTATACCTTTAGTTGAGAAGTACCTTCACCCACACGCATAACAAAAGTCTTTACTTTTACCCAAAAAATCTTTATTTACTTTTGCTATTTTCCTTACTCTCCATAGATTTGGATATCACTAGAACGAAGAAAAAAGAAAAAGCAAATAAATGTTGTGTCTTATGAAAAGTGAACACCAAAGTAAATTAATGTGCTTGCCCATCAATCACCTACAATCTTGGCCTCCCATCCTCTTTTGTTAGTTGTTGGTTATTCAAACTTAACTATTTTAAATAGGCTTACTTTGTTTTATTTAATAACTATTGTACACGATATTTGAACTCAAAATCTCCTCTAATGAAGTCTAAAACTAAGCACGACTAAACCAAATAGCATTAACTTGATTATGACTACCTATATATCTTGTAGCATTCCATCAACTACCCCAAACTATTCATTTTGTAAGTCTATTGCCCTTAGTCGACTCAAATAACAAGAAGATATTATATAATGGCCACATAAGGAAAAGAAAAGGCTATGCAATGTCTATTTTAAACTTGTCTTTTTTTTCTTTTTTTCTTTTTTTCTCTTTTCTCCTTTTCCCCGAAGACAAAAAATTTGAGAAAATTATTGTCCAAAGGTCGACGGCACTATTGTTAGCAATACATATGTCTATTGTTTTTTTGTTTTTTTGTTTTTGTTGGTCTGAAGTTGATTGTTTTATGTGACTCAAACAAAATGTAAAAAATTTGATAAATATTGACCCTTTCTTAGTCTTATCGTTTTGGCCCTATGTCGTTTATGCCTTTGATTTAGCCAAGATTTCCAATATTGGATGATTGAAACCTATTTTGTTATTATTGACTCCTCGTTTTCATAATTCTACTGGATTGATTGCGTTTCTAGAATTCTTTTTTATTATAAATTTTTTTTCGAGTGTAAATATCCGTAAATAAATAAATAAATAACGCACATTACATGTCGAAGACTCATAATAGTCATTTTCAGAAAGTATGATAACTCATAGTCAAATTGTAATAAAATTAAAATTAAAAAAAAAGATTTGGGATTCCAATTTAGGTCAAGCTCGTGATAGATTTTGATTAAATTAACCCTACATTTATATAAATAAATAAAAATTAATTATTTGAATTCAATGTAAGGCTGCGTAGTGCATCTATTTTTCCATTGAGATACGTAATTGCGTACTTTGATTTTGATTTTGATTCTTTTATCGTGTAGGACCCCAGTTATCAATCAAAGCCCCACTTTTTTTTCTTTCTGTTTGATATAAATATTTGGGATTAATTAAATAATGGGAACATAACTTCCAAGTCCCACAAAGGGAGGTGACTGGTGTGAGTGAGAATGAATTCACAAATTTATTCATCCCGAGATGCCCAGATGAGAATCACCACACCACACTGCTTATCTTATCATTTGACTTTGTTTTCCCCACATCTTGAAAAGGAAACACACGACCACACATCACGTGCCCCTCACGTTCCTCCAAATACACCCTCATATTTTCTTTTACTTTTCCAAAATGTCTAGAACATGTTATATCACGAATGATATTTCTAAGGTCAGTTGTCTATGCCCGTGTGAGTAATTTTCAGACGGTAAAATGCATGACAATATAACACATAAGATAAAGTCGTTTGAAGATATTACTCGAATCGGATCAGATCGAATCCACGACCTCATTGAGCTATATAGAACTAGACTTGACATTACTACCATTTTTTTATTGTGATGTTGTAAAATCTACTGTGCCGGCGAAGGACGACTTGTACCAAATTTACCCAAAAACCCAATTGCCTTGCATTGCCAGATTCAGCACAAACCTCATTCATTTTCCTTCACTGCTTCACCTTCCAAACTGAGCCAGGCCACCTTCAAACCACCAACCTTTCTTCTTCTTTACCCCTACCCTAAAATTCCCAGGTAAAGATATCAAAAAATAAAATAGTAAAATAATAAGGGGCATTTGTGATTGCGTTGATATATATATAAGTTGTACCCATTTGAAAGCGACCAAAGAGAGGTGCATAGTAACGTGCGTAGGACACGCTTCGCCCAACCACCACCCCACCAGGCGTCGGGAATCCCAACAGTTTTTATTGTTGTGCCCCATTGTCCACGATATTTCTGCTAATACGTCGTCGTCTCGGTTGCGCACCAAATATACTGCCAATAGCTATAGTAATTGGTGGGAAAGAGAGAGAGAGACTGCCAGTGCTGCAGTGATGTTGCCACCAGACTTGGACCTTTTCGTCCTTTTCCCTGATTTTTATTTTTATTTATTTATTTATATTACCTTTTTTCATTATTTATTTATTTATATTTTAACTTTTTCAGAAATAGTGGCCGTTTGCAGGCAGCGATGAGTGCTGCTGCTGAGCCACAGCAACATTTGCGCGCGCGTCCGACGTGTCAGCTTTTGCCTCACACCTGTCGCTTTCTCTCTCTTTCGTTGACCCCACGCTTCCAAGCTCACGCGTGTACGAAACGCCCCACCGTTCGTGTTACCTAGTTGGTCTATAAAGAGAGACTAGCAACAGCAGCAAGCAGCAGAGGGGTAGATGCGCCGTGGGACCCACCCCCAGAAAAACAAATACATATCACGTCGCCCGTCATCGGTCCCCACCATTATATTATAAATACGTACACACACACATCCGCCTTTCAGCCTTAAACTCTGAACAACCCCCGCTAACCTGCGCTGCTCCCGTGCTAACATGCACCGCGCTGTCCATTTTTCTATCCTGAACTAATTTTAGCACAAAAAAACAAAATAAATAGATAATTTCATTAGAGACCAATTTATAAACACAAAAAAGCCAAATAATGGGCTAATTTAATTAGCATCGCAGGAGCATTGTAATTCATGTGGTTACGAGCAGTTATTTACAATGCTCCTGTGGTTACGAGCAGTTATTTCTTATATCTCCTGTGGTTACGAGCAGTTATTTCTTATATCGAAAGTTCGGGTATTCGAATTCACCCTATTCCTTTCCTCTCTAATTGGCAATTGATATACAGTAATTGAATTCCAACTGCAGTAACTTTGCCTTAATGCAAGCATTTGAAACACACATCATGAACCCAAAAGGCATAATTGAAAAAGAAATTAGTTACTTACAAGAAAAAGAAAATTTAAACAAAAGAAAGAAATTTAGACAAAACTGGGATGAAACAAATTTCTATTCATGAAATTCTTTTTTTTCTTGTTTTTTTTTTTTTTTTGGTTTTGGTGGTGTTGGTGAAAATTGATCTAAGCCATGTTCACATGCACACTAGCGTTCTTGGTGGATTTACAGATGGGGCAAGTGTGGAGCGATGATCCGCATACCGTACACAAGCAAAGGTGCCTACACGGCAAAAGCAAAACGCAGGCCTCTTCCTTCCCGCAATTCCTGCACCACCTACTTGTATTCGACCCGCATCGCCCGCTTGTACCTTCCTCCCCGCGGTGACCCTCAGTAGTACTAGTAGTACCCTTCACCGTGCGCCACCCGTCTAAACCCACGACGCCGTCGTTTTGACCCTCGTCTCCGCCGCAGCTTCCGCAGCACGACTGCGCGTCGTCCATGAGAGCGACGGCGTCATTTTGGTGTTCTTCCTTGACCTGATGATGAGCCAGGACCTGTTCTAGGTTGGTGCGGAGAGCATTGGCGGTGGCCTCGTTGGTCTGAGCCAGGTCGCGCCATATTTGATTCTCTAGGCACAGAGACTTGACCTTCTCTTCCAGAGCCCAATTCAGTTTCCCGATTTTCTCAATCTCTTCCTCTTTGGCTCTGAGCCTCTTCGCCATCCCAACCTCTATGGCCTCCATTATTCTCCTTGCTTGCCTCTTCCTCTTCTCCTCAACCTCCAATCTCACCTTTTCCATCTACAAAATCCCAAAACAAGAAAAACCCAAATCAATAAAATGAAAAATGAAAATACCCATCAAGAAAAAAAAAGAGAAGACACCAAATCGCATAGTTTTCGTTGCTCTGTATTTGGGACGTACATGTTGAGAAATGAGACGGTCGATGTCGAATTGCTCTTGCTGTATGCGCAGAGAAATGTCCTCGCCGAGAAAAGAGAAAGGCCCGCATGAGTTCTTGTAATTAGCCGGAGCAGTTGGATATGAGAAGGGAGGGCTGATGTTGTTAATGGAGTCTCTGGACCGCTTTCTTGGTAGACTAATAGGGACGTTGTAGGTGAGGCCGCTATCGGATTTCATGGCTGCGGTTGTTGAGGTCTTCGGAGGCATTATCGAATCCGTGATCACAGAGTTGTAGGTCGGCAGCAGAGCCTCTGTAGCCACCCCTCCAGTTGATAATGGCACCCCGTACCCAATCTGGGCACTGTACAGATTTGTGTTTCCTTGTATTGGGTTCATCATTTCCCTGTAAAAATCGCACCAACCCCATCAATTTAATGCACCAAAACACGAATCTCAGCAAACCCATATGCCCATATCCAGAGATAAAGATGAAGAAGACGAGTACATACCTGTTGGGTATGAGCTGGGAAGGGAAGAGATTGAGATGCCGAGCTTCAACAGCCATGGATTGATTGATGATGAGTAAAAGGAAGAAAGGAAAGCAGAGCAGAGCAGGCGTTTTTCTTTTCTGTTCTGCTTTTCTTTCTGTGTAGCGTTTTGTGGGTTCTCTCTTTCTCTGTCTCGGTTGATGCCTATGAAATTTGCAGTGTCATGTGTATATATGCGTTATAGTTTGGTAGTGGTTCTTGCTTGGGCTTGGTTTTATTGGTTTTTGGTGCTTTTTAAGAGGAGGGAAGATAGGAAGAGGAGAGAGAGAGAGAGAGAGAGAGAGAACGAGTGTGAGGAGGAAATGAACAAAAGGGCATGCAGTAGAGGTGGCAAGGCTGATGGTGGGGTTTATTTAGGGTTTGGTTTGGTTTAGATAGAGAAAATAATTATTAAAAAAAAGGTTTAGAGAGAGAGAGAGAGTAAAGATAAAAGGTAGAGAGAAAAGAGAGAAAGAGATGGGGTTTTGACCGTTTTGTCTATTCTGGGATGCGGTTACCAGAAAGACCCTTCCGTATTTTACTTGTTTTACTTGACTCATAATTTGTAACCAAAACCGTAACAGATATCCGGTCAGTCCGTAATTCCAGTAATTCCAGCAATTCCCCAGGGGCATATCCGTAATACGGGCTCGGAGTCTTTTACCGTATCTGTTTTTTCCTTTGTTCCCTGGAAAAATATTTAATTACTATTTACTTCTATTAATTAAACGAAAATAAAAAAAAGGATGAGAGAGAAAGAGAGTGATGAAGACTGACATTGTGGGCATCTGCCACGCAGCAGTTTGCCGACTGGGGCCTGCCAGGGGCCGCCACGTAGGCACGGCTACAATCCAAACGCCAAATCACCCCTACGGAGGGCTTTTCTCATAAATTCAGTGAATTCGCAACAGCAACTGCTGCTGCACGTGTGGGGCCGGGTGGGCAGGGAACATGACAAAGGCTGATCCACTCCGAACACGTGCGAGGGGCCAGCGTGGACTTGTGGGGACCACCGAGGGCGGACTTTTGTCAAAACACGAAGTTAAAAATAAAATAACGTGTAATAATAAAAAAAGTAATATTTATTTATTTATCTATTTTAATAATAATAAATATTAATGGCCGTTGGGGTTGGTGTTGATGATGATGAGTACGGTGGTACCCTTGGGAGGCTGGTCCATTTGGCAGGTGGTTTACTTTTGGCGAGAGCTACAGCCTACACTCTTCTTCATGCGCATCGCATGGATACGTTTCGTTTTGTTTGGTTTAGCTTTGGACTGTTTCTGCCACCTGGCCTCAGCCCCCTTTTTATTGCACTCATCTACCAAAACAAGAAAAGGAAAACAAAAAAGAAAAGAAAAGTGTTTTAGTGCTCCACGGTCACTCCCCTGCGACCTCCTAATTCATCTTATGTTTTATGCGCACATGGATAATTGTTAGCTGTTAATTAATTTGCAAGAAATGAAATCAACACGGACACGTCTATATTTCAATGCACACGTGTATTGTCATACACGTGTGCATGTACTGTATTTTAGTTAATAATCACATATATATATGTGTGTGTATGCATAAACGATGTTGGGTTTCAACAGATACGATATAAAATATATGTATCAATGTTAAATTTACTTTGCAGTATATGGTACTATAGAATTTCATGTAATTTTCGATATGTCGACGTACATGCACAGACGATACGATAGACTTCACATAAAGCCTTGCATTGTATCAAAGTGTGTGTTACAGATTCTGATCCACATATCCATAGATCATAATGTTTACGTCTCTATAGGGCACGCTTGGATGATAAATACTCAAGCTGCGGTGGTAGTTTCTTATAATCTATCTATTTTTGGTATGGGCCAGGCTGCCTAATTAAGTCATAAATCAATCTAAAACTTCAAAAAAATTCAAGTTTTAAATAAATCATATATTATTCGAAAACCAATAAAAATACTTAAAAGATATTCAATATTTTGTGGTGCCACATCAAGTTGATAGCATAATTTCATCGTTTTATTGAGTACTTTCTTGAAAACGTAGTCTCTAGGTTTGGAACGCTCATTATTATTGGAGTAATGCTAGGCTTACCACATTTTTCATACCACAATTGTACCACCTCTCTAATAGAGGTGGAGCCCACCAATACAATGGGGCCCACCTCTATTAGAGAGGTGGTACAATTGTGGTATGAAAAATGTGGTAAACCTAGCATTTTCCTTATTATTGACCTCTCAGCTGTTTGAGGACAAGCATTATTGGTGTTCATTATTATTGACCTCTACAAATTTATGACCTTTTCTTATTGAGAAAAGCGATGATGTATTATACACATTGTACGGATATTAGAGCTTGAATTCAAAAGCAATTACTGCAAACCACTACACTAGTTAATTAATTAATTGTGCGTCCATTTATATATGTTTCCAGGTGAATGAAGGGCAATAATTGATTCTTTTATTTAGTCCTTGACCCAAAAAAAATAAAAATATTCGAGCTTATCTCAAACTTAAAGAAAATATATAAAATCAATGAAATATTTCCGTTTCTTAGATGGAATTTAGGAAGTCTCGTTTTTGATGTCGTTTTGATGGACTCCCCATATTTGGAGCCTAATTTCTTGCAAATGAATTTTCCCTCCATTTGATGCATGCACCTTGACCAAATCTAAATTTGACAGCATGCCAATCAATCCCAACTAATTTATAATTTTCAAAGTTCACGTTCTGATATCATATATGAACTTGTACAAGTGTTGGTGTGTCCAAGAGAAAACTGTGGATAAAGTTTGATGCAATGTCAGTCTTATCCGGGTCACACTTTCCCTGAGATTGCTTGGGTTTGATATTCCACATATAATTGTAAATTAGAAAAATAAAACTTTGCTGCTAAGATTGGACTGAGGATACAATTTAATTCGTTGCTGGTCACGATGTTGACCCTAAAGAAAAGCACAAGTTCAAAATAAAATTATCCAAACAATGTTATATTACTGCATTCTCAATTCAAACTTATTTGATAATTTCTCGTATGATGTATTTTAACACGTACATCATATAATAATGAGTGACGTGTTCTGTCAAGTTATAACGTATTTTGTGTTATAAGTTTTTAACATGTGATTTAGATATTGTAATACGTAATACGCTATAAAACAATACATATCGCCCGTCATATTACACGACAAGGTATTTTCATAAAAGAAAATAAACATTGATTTAAAATCCCAATCTGTCTCAGCCCCCAGTCGTCCTCCAAAATGCACCCACCAACATCATCTAGATCTTGCCACCCCAATGAAAAATAAATGTTACAAACTTCTAGCATGCTTAATTTCCCAAATACTTAATTTGTCTTCACATGCATTGTTTGCTGCCCTAATCTCTCTCTCTCTCTCTCTCTCTCTTGTTATTAATTCGATATTATCATCGTACCCTTCCAATAAATTAAATTAACATGTTGAAATTATTTTATTCGGGTGCATATATAAAGACAATGGGGTGACAATTGCATTCATTATAGCCACCCACAATTGTAAAATAACTACGATATTCTCAAGGCAAAATGTATTCCGATTAAGCAACTAGTTTTTAATTACGCAATGGGGTGGGAAAAGTATAGCTTCAATCAAGGAGACAAAATGACAAGTAGATCTGTCATTTAATTAGTGAGCAAAAGCTTTGCCATTAAGGTTAATTAATTCAGTGGCCAACTAGGGTTCCGCAAGTTGATCCTACAAAATCTCATTTGCGGACGATTTGGAGGAGGCATAACCTTGTAACCACTTAACCTTTTTTTTTACTTTTTTTTTTTTTTTTTTTTTTTTTTTTTTTTTTTTTTTTTTTTAAATTAAAATTATTCCTTCATTTTTTGTTTACTGACATTATTGACAACTAATCTTGTTTAGTCAGTCTCTTAAATTTCACACACACACACACTCCCCACATGGGTAGGGTTATTAAACTAATAGCATACCCTCTTTCGTAGGATGTAATGTTGCATGGGGTAGCAGAGGCCGTACGGACAGACAGACTCACAAGGCATTAATAATAATATTGAGCATATCGTATCCCCATCATCTTCGATCTTTCCAAGTTCCCTTTGGCATTTCAAGTTGCTCAACAAACAACCACTAGAGTATACTTATAAAATTGTTGGACCACAAATTTATGAACATAGTTTTGGTTTTGTTATTATTATGATCGAGAAGAAGCAAACCGACTTATAACTCAAGTGGTTATTAAAGTATTTATTTTTAATTCTAAAATAGTATTCGATTCTCCTCTTTTCGAATATTTGCTTGTATAACAGAGATACAAGTCGTACATTCAGATATCTACGAGAAATACAAGGTTATTTAACAATAGAACATTAGCCTAGAATTCGATCATACACAATTGCTTCGAAACTTCATGAAAGAGATGGAGAAAGATGCCACTACCAAAGGAGAAGGTAGATGGAAAAAAAAAAACAAAAAAAGTAGAGCATAGAGAGTGATTCCCTCTTCTTAACCTTGCCTCACCTATCTCTTTCATTCTGGCTCTATTATTGCCCACATCAACCCAACTGCATCGACCATACTTTGGTTTAACCACTACCGAAATCTAAAAAGCATACATCAAAAAGTAATAAAAAGTAGAAAACAAAAAAACAAAAAGATACTAAATCGGACGGCCAAGATTACTCGAGGCATGCTATGCTATCATGATAAATTAGAAAAAAGAAAAAGAAAAAGAAGAAGATATATATATATATATACACACACATGGGGAATCATGTGTGTTTTGTTTGTGCTTCACCACCTTTTAAGGGGCAAATTGTTTTTTGCACCACGACTTGTGGGGATATATATATATATATATATATATATATATATCTAGTGTATTTTTTTTTCTTTCTTTTTAATTGGTTTTGTTCTTTATTTATCTTTTCTTCCATTCAAACTTAAAGTTGGTGTTATATTCTACATGTGATCTCCACCCTTTTAAACTCTCACATTATGAAGAATCTCTCACTCTCTTTCTCTATCTTTACAGCTTTGTTTTTCCTTTTCGGGAATCTCATTCATCACCCCAACAACACATACAAAACCAACCCTACTTGAATATTTCTCACTTCCATTCGTCTCTGTCAACATAACAAACAATATACATAAATACAACCAAACTCGTTTTTGCTCATGCATGAGAGAGAGAGAGAGGAGAGAGAGAGGGAGAGAGAGAGCAAAGCTAAAATAATGAAAGGACACTTTCCCATTTGTGCTGCAATTGTTATGACAACTAAGTATGATGCTTGCTGCATCTGCTGCTGGGGTCTCTGACGGGCTATCATTATTTCTTGTATTGGAAACATACCTTACTTGTGCTCAGGATGCTTGGAAAGATGTCAGCTTTATATATATCTACATATCTCTTTCTCTCTCCTTCCTTCTGCCAAAGTGAAATTTGACCGTTTGGTTGGGGGGAAAGTGAGGGAGAAGTGGCATTCATTCATGGGACCCCCTGCAGGGTGGGGCCCTTTTACAGCCCTGGACCCACTGCATGATTCTACTGGTGTCCATCAATCTGCAGTACCCAGTAAACTCATGTGGCATCATGGCATGTTATTTATAATTTTTTTTTTTTTTTTTTTTTTTTTACTTGTAGTTCAACAGTGTGATTTTTACAACCAGCTGAAATTTACCCTCATAATAAAGTAAGAACGAAACTTCCCACATTCAATTAGACACATGCAAAGAAAGAAAGAAGTGGGAAAAAGATTAACAATGGTGGATCTCCCTCTCTGCTCTGCTCAAACAGAGATTACATTTCCCAATGCATCATCTCTTTCTTTCTCTCTCTGAATTTTTTTTCTTTCTTGTCATGGTGTTTGTTTGCCTGCCAGGCTTAAATGTCTCTCCATGTGCATTTCAATACATCCTTCCTCTCCTCCAACTTTAGGACAAGTCAATTTCACATTAAATTGTTAATGCATTCACAAATTCAATACAGAGATACTTGTCCCAATGGAAACTACCTCTCCACCAGTCACCCATAATAATGTGTAGGCCTCAACCATAACAAGGACTCTGCATTTGTCAGTTCACAAAACAACTATTTTTTTAAAATTAAATAAATATAAATAATAATAATAAATGAAAAAGTTATTCCTTTCACCTGTTTTCAGATTTTGGAAGACTTAAAGAGTAAGGTTATATACAAAAAGCAAAGAAGAAATTATTATGATCATATGGTAAAAGCACCAATATTGCTTCAATGGTAAGAAGTTATATCTGGAAAGGAAGCTGCATGCATAGCACAGCATAGCATCTCTTGCTTTGCTACAAACTTTTGTCCATTAAATTGCAAGTATACCTAAACCCTTGCCCTTGACAAGGCATATTTTACTGTTTGTTTTAGAATTAAGTGGCCAAGTTTAAAACCAAGATGTCGCAAATCTCAAGTAGTTAAGAGCAGTTACTCCTACACCCGACATCATGTGTTTGAATCTCTCCTTTCCTAATATCACTTGTGTAAAAAACCCAAGATGTCATGTGCAATTTACCAAGAGAAAGAAAAAAAAAGTAAGGTGTCCTTAATAAGTGCTTTTATTAAAGCATAAAAGCACTTTCATGTTAAGTGTTTAAACACACTAGTTATCCACGCACTTACAAATTTTGTTTCTATGGTGGAAAAAAAGGTTACAAAAGATTTTGTGGTTTCCTAGACTTCAATAGATTCATGGTTTTTCTGAACATTCTTTCTTTCTTTGTCGTCCAGCAGAGACTTTATATTTGGGCTATTATTTATCCACAGACTTCATAAAGGTAAAAGTGGGCTTATGACCTATAGCTGGCCCAAGTCCAAACGGTTAAGTCCAATTGGCTTGAGCCCCACTATTAGGCATGGCTCGTCAAAGTTTTATTTATTATTTATTAATTTAAATTTATTTTATTGTTACAAGCGATAATTAGTCTAAATTAATTTAACCGAAAGAGGGATTCGAACTTGGGTATACAATATGTATATTTTTGTAATTAAATCTGCCAATCACCATCAGATGTTTTCTATTCTTAATTTAATTAATTGGCTTTTGGATACGTGCGTGTTTGATTATATACAGACAAGTAACTATATTTAGATTTAATTAAAGTAGAGGTTAATTCTATCTTACCTCAAATGGATACACCTATGCATGTCAAAAGTCACAAATAATACAGCAACCTAGCCCAGGCAAAAGGCTGCTTAGGCCTCAAAATCGACTTCCAGGGCCCAATTCTTGCCAGGGCAAGAAATGCTCCTGCACAGCTTATGCAAATTTGGATATCAGGGATGGAGGAAGCGAGTGCTTGCTGTGCGGTTTAGTGACCTGATTGATATATAAAAAATTTCACAGAAAATGGGCAAGATATATATGATTATTAGAATGGTAGCATCAGAACTAGGTATGGAGCCATCTCAAATCTCAAAAGTTAGTGTTTAATGTAAATTTGAAAAGAAAACAAGAGAAAAAGAAACATCTTTGGACATGAAACACCCAATTGGGAGTTATGCACCTCTTAATTATCATGCACAAAAAATTAAAGTCAAAACATAACAAACTCAAAGGTTGTTACTTGCCAACGGGATCTAGCCCGGTAGAAAAGGGCCTTGACTTGTGGACTAGAGATCTTAAGTTCAAACTCCCATGGCACCTTTGTAGTGTGTGTGTGTGTGTGTGAGAAACCCCCTTCCCCTTGTTACTCTATAAGTTTTGGCTTTTGACCCAAGTTGCTCTTGACTTGTAAACCTGTTAAATCCAATGTGAAGAAAGTGAGAATCATAGTGGGCACTATAATGTCATCTCCTGGACGACTCCTGAGTGTGGCTCTGCTTTTTTATGTTGGGAAGAAGCAGCACCAGAAAGATGGTATGTTGTTTTCTAGTCTTCTACCCCACAGTTTTCCTATAGAATATAGATAGAGAGCAACTTGGGTTCTTTGAAAATTTAACTACAATGGCCCTTTGCTTTTTATATATACACATAGATATGACATGATGTTAAATTAGTGTTCTAGAGTTGAAAAAAGTGAAATGTAAGTCAAATTATTGGACAGCACCTCCCCAGTTGGAGATGCTCTTATTCATACTTCCCTTGGGCATTTGTCTATTAAGGTCAAATGTGAGGTTCACAACTTGAGAAGAAAAAGAAAAACTGAAAGAGGAGAGGAAAGGGATGGGAAGACTTGAACAATAATGCCAAAGAGTATGCAAATCAGAAAATTGCAGCTTCCTTTGAGTGAGGGAATTGGATGAGAAGACTTGTTCAAATTTGGTACGTTTGATTATGGAAGAATGACCGAGTGAGTGGACCAGTTCTTGGATCATCCAAAATGGCACTAGTTTCAAATAATGTTGTCTCCAAGATGACCACGAAATGAATTTTCAGATTTTTCTACTAGAGGAACGATCCATTCTTAACTAAATTTAAAGGCAGTCTACATTTGATTGAGGAGAATTTTCTCCATTTCACGCTGGAGAAAATTTAGTTTATTTGCATTCAATCATGCATCTAAAATTAGTTTCATATTGTCGACAATGTATCGATAACGTGTTGACAATGATAATCGATATGAATTCTGCTCCAGCTCTGAAAAGGGATCCCTGGTGAAATCAATGAATTTCTTTTAGTAGGCAATTCATCCTAAGAAAATGACAGGGTACCAAATCAATACATTCAAAGTGTAAAATATTGAGGAACTAGAAGATGATTGACTGCTTGCATTGCTAACTATATATTAGTGGTCAATAGATAGGAATTATATATATTATCACAGAGTCTTTGTGAAAGTGAGATGTTATCTCACAAACTATAGCAAGGGCCTAAGGGGAGAACCAACCAATGAGGTCTTCAAAATTCCACAAAAAAAAGCAGCTCAGTGCCATAGAAAATTTTAAGAAAGAGCTCATATATGAATGGCTGGAAAATTGAAAATCCATGGAAGGCTTTTATGTAATATGTGGTTGCATCTTTTGTGCTCCTCTTTGCTGCTCATCACAACAGAAATAATAGTTTCCACAGCAGAAGACACAAGCACATTTCAGTCCATTGCAGATGGTGAGACCGTAGTTTCAACAGGGGGAACCTTTGAGCTTGGATTCTTCAGCGCCGGTGCTTCAAAAAGCCGGTACGTGGCGATATGGTACAAGAAGATACCGGTTGCCACCATTGTATGGATTGCCAACAGAGACACACCCCTCACAGGTTCATCAGGTGTACTCAAGGTAAGCAGCCCTGGATTTCTTGTCCTTGTTGACCAAAAGAACACTACAGTTTGGTCTTCCAACACATCAAGTTCTGCACAGAATCCAGTGGGAAAACTTTTGGATTCGGGAAATCTTGTTGTGATAGATGGCAATGATCATAATGACACTGAGAAATATTTATGGCAGAGTTTTGATTACCCAGGTGATACATTACTACCGGGTATGAAGCTTGGTAGGAACAAAATCACAGGTTTCAATTGGCATCTTACACCATGGAAAAGCCCCCAGGATCCTTCTCCCGGAAATTATACATATCAGCTTGGTCCTGATGGATACCATGAATTAATTGTGAGGGAGGGTTCTGTTATAAAGTATCGGACTGGACCATGGAATGGAATCCAATTTAGTGGGATGCATAATTTAAATTCAGACCATACAAACACATATGGTTTTGTGTTGGATGATGATGAAGAAGTATATTATGGTTACAAGCTTCTCAACAGTTCAGTTCTTTCAAGGCTGGCTTTAACTCAAGATGGGTTTCTGCATAGCTACACCTGGAGTGATGAAACCCAAGGTTGGGTCCTTTACCTAACAGCACAGGTTGATATCTGTGACAGCTATGGACTATGTGGTCCAAATGGTGCATGCAGTGTTGAAAACTCCCCAGTATGTGGCTGCTTGGAAGGATTTACACCTAACTTTCGACAAGACCGGGACTTGGTGGATTGGTCATATGGCTGTGTGAGAAAGACTCCACTGAGTTGCACTGGAGACATCTTTAAGAAGTACTCTGGGATGAAATTGCCAAATACAGAACAATCCTGGTATAACTCAAGTATGAACCTCAAGGAATGTGAGATGATGTGCATGAACAGCTTCTGCTCCTGCACTGCTTTTGCGAATTTGGATGTCCGGGATGGAGGAAGGGGGTGCTTGCTGTGGTTCAGCGACCTGATTGATATAAGATATTCCACTGGAAATGGGCAAGATGTTTATGTAAGAATGGCTGCATCGAAACAAGGTATGGAATTATCTTGCTGTTTAGAACAAAGTTTGAAAGGAAAATAATAAAAAAACCAAGTAAAAAGAAGAAAGAAATCTTCCAACAGTACATGTGCCTAAAGGAAGTGTAGAGAGGAACCAAATAAAGCCAGAAAACTTTTGACACAATTAGAAAAATATTTCTCTGGAATTGTCTCAGAAACAATACAGTAAATAAGTTCTTCTTTATTGATCTCTGACTCCTCGAGTTTCTGCTTTCAAATACTTCATTCCTAGATCAAGGAAGCAATACAGACACCAATGCTAAAACCTCTAAATCCAATGTGAAAAAAGTGAGAATCATAGTAATCAGTACTGTGTTGTCTACTGTACTGCTGATCCTGGGGCTAACATTGCTATTATATGTGTGGAAGAAGCAGCACCAAAAAGATGGTAAGCTATTTAATTTTGTACTATTCTGCCCCTCCATCTTCTATGTAGGCTCAGTTCTAAAGGGAATTTTTGCTGTTGCTCCTTTATTTTGTAAGCTAGGTAGTTTGGTTTCAGTTTCAGTTCCAGGTTACTTTATTTACTTCACTGAATACTTCACAGGAAAACCGAGGCCCAGCCAAAAGGAAGATATGGAATTACCATTATTTGACTTGGCTGCTATTGTTTGTGCAACCAATAGCTTTTCAAACGACAGAAAACTTGGAGAAGGCGGTTTCGGATCAGTCTTTAAGGTAAAGTCATATGTAGTCCTCCCTACAGTGAGCTGGACAGTTTTCCCACGTTTCGGCCAGGACATACAAAGTAGTATATTGAACATTTGCAAACTACAGAGTATGAATTTTGGTCATGATATGTGGCTGATGGATTTCAGGGTACACTGAAAGATGGACAAGAAATGGCTGTGAAAAGGCTCTCAAAACATTCTACACAAGGACTCAATGAGTTGAAGAATGAGGTTACGCATATTGCCAAACTTCAGCACAGGAATCTAGTGAAGCTTTTAGGATGCTGCATTCAAGAAGATGAAATGATGCTGATCTACGAGTTCATGCCTAACAAAAGCTTAGACTTATTTATTTTTGGTTTGACCACTCAAAAACCTTCTTCATTAGTTCACTTCTTTGTTGGTTTGCAAGGTGTAGGGTGGGATTTTAACTATCTGTTTCTTGCCATATGCATTTTTCTGCCTCTCTGCGTGCAGTGTGCACATAAGGAATTTGTTAGCTTGATTTACTTTGTTGGAATATTCCCTAACAATTTAACCTTTTACAGTAAAACAGTTGTATGACTGTTGACACATCCTTTTTGCTTCTTTTTTTGAGAGTTTTTTCCTTTTCAATTAGGATTTAGCTTAGAGAATAATAACATGTCTTGTTGTGTGTTTGAGTATGATCAAAACTTGATTATGTTAGCATGATGGACATTTGAACATTGGTGAACTACGATATTTTGCAGATCAAAGAAAAAGCATGATGCTAGATTGGCCCAAGCGCTTTGACATTATTAATGGAATTGCTCGGGGGCTCCTCTATCTTCATCAGGATTCTAGACTGAGAGTAATTCATAGAGATCTGAAAGCCAGTAATGTTTTATTAGACCGTGGATTTAACCCAAAAATCTCAGACTTTGGCCTGGCAAGAAGTTTTGCAGAAAATGAAACAAATGCAAAAACCAAGAAAGTGGTTGGAACATAGTAAGTATATATCACAATAGAACCAATATGTACATATGGTATACTTACTTTGCTTATTAAATTAGTTCTTGATTGACTGGTTTGTAGTGGTTACATGTCCCCAGAATACGCAATTGATGGGTTCTACTCGACAAAATCTGACGTCTATAGCTTTGGTGTGTTGGTGCTAGAGATAGTGAGTGGGAAGAGAAACAGAGGATTCACTCATCCAGGCCACAGCCTCAACCTTCTTGGACATGTTAGTGTCAACTGTCATGCCCAAAAAAATTTACTCATTGCTTGTTTCTGTTTCTTCTTTTAATCAATCACAACTGTTTTGAACTTCTGATTAATTCTTTTAGGCATGGAAGCTATACACAGAAGGCAGGTCCATTGAAGTGCTTGATACATCAGTAGGAGACTCCAGTGATCCACATGAAGTTTTGAGATCAATTCATGTAGGTCTTTTATGTGTGCAGCGTAACCAGGCAGATAGACCGAGCATGCCAGCTGCAGTTCTAATGTTGAGTGGTGAAGGGTCATTGCCTCAACCTCAAAAACCTGGTTTTTATAGTGAAAGGGATCTCAATGAACTCGAAGTCGATCCTTCTTCTAAAACATTTTCAGCTAATGAAGTCACTTTTACACTAATGGAGGCTCGATAAACGATATGTCATGTTGGTGTGTTAATCTGGTGCTTTTGAAGTCAGTTTGAAAAGTGAAATATAATTAAGAGATTCCCAACCCATGCGTTAGCAAATGCACTCTCAAATTTTTTATTTTTTATTTTTTATTTCTTTGGAGTTGGAGTTCACACTACAGATGCTGATACAAGAACTAATATAAACGCTTAAATGAATTAGATTTTTCACTTGAGGTGGTGGTATAATTTTATTTATTTATTTCTGTTCTTTGGTGGGTTGGTTTTGTGTTCCTATGCAAGAGGAGGAGACAAAACTTTCAATTTTTTTTTCTCTCAACAAACAAGAGGGCATGAGCAAATGTCAAAATCTATAACAGAAATGCAATATCCAAAGAATGAAAAGCAGTCCAACTAGTGGCGGTTCCAGGATTCGAAAGTCGACTGGACAAAACTTATATAACAAACTTGATGAAACGAGTGAATTTCATTAATAAACATAAAAAAAAAATTTACATAGTGAGAAGAGATGTAATAAGCCTTACCCTCAAATGCATTTATATCTACAAATACAAAAACTAAAATAAAAACCAAAAGAAAAATAAATAAAAAAATAGAAAAAAAATTATTTCACATTAAAAAGAAAGATAATATAGAGGACTACATTAATTTTAAAAAAAACAAGATTTATTTTGAGAGAAATGGGAAGGAAGAAAATTGGCGGAGCTAGGTTTTTTTTTTATAAACGAGTTGTGACCTCATTTCTCTCCTTGTTTCCTTTTTATAAACGTTTATTATGACATCCGTTTTTAGCTTTCCACCTCGAGCTCCATAGCCCTATCAATCATGTTTCGCAATTTCTAAAATAGTTATCTTTGTGCAAGACAATTTTTTTTAATAATCATAAGTAATGTAGGTAATATTTTTCTAACAAAAAGAGAGAGAGAGAGAGAGAGAGAGAGAGAGAGAGAAGATAGAAGAAAAGGAACGGAAAAAAAGAGAGAGGAGGGATGAGAGAACGAAAAGTGTTTGTACCATATCTGACCACCCACTCACGTCGTGACACGTGGAACGTCCTTAAACCAGAGACCAGCTCAACTGGGGCCATACCGAATGTTCTCTCGGCACTCAGTACCGATTCAGTTGGTCGGTAACGCAGCATCACTACCTACGCCAACCTTCGGTATCGTCTACCGATCGACCAACCATCACATCAATCCGATTCTAACAGATTGCCTCAGAATTCCCACCAGAGCATGTCAGAATCACGTGTCGACCTCCGAAGACACTCCCACGAGTCCCACATCGAAACTAAGTGCTAAGAGCATCACAAATGCTCTCTATAAATAGAGCCCCTTGGCCCAGCAAAGTGGGAAGACTTTCTAACTTGATTAAGTGCTTCCACTGTCAATAGAATCACTCTTAGTCACTAACTTTGGCATCAGAGTACCTTCGGCAGGTACCACACCGGTATCCCTCCCTAAATTCAGGATCCGGCCCCCGCTCGAACCTTCAGACATCACGGAAGAAGGTCACTATCTGATTCAGATTTAGCGACAAGAAAAAAAAAAAAAAAAAAAAAAAAAAAAAAAAAAAAAGAGAGGGAGAGGGGGGGAGAAAAGAAAGAAAGGAAAAAACAACGGAAAAAAAAAAAAGAGATATAGAGGAGAGAATAAAAAAATACAAATTTATAAATAAACCCAATCCTAGACATGTATTTATAAAAAAACCCAAGCACTATTTAAACATAGAAACACACCCAAAATCAACAATTGCATATTTTTTGGGTGTGTTTATAAATGAGTTTTGAGTGTGTGTAATGATGGGTTTTGGGTGTGTTTATAAAGTGTTTTGGATGTTGGGTTTTTTTATAATTTCAGCCTCTATTTTGGGTGTTTTAGTGAAACTCTCATAAAAAAATAGTGGTGAATATGTCGTATATTTAAGGGGTATAGCCGAGCGGCTATACTCTTCAGTGATCTACCTCACTACCAGATTTACTCAAGTTGGAGAGCATTTTCCATCAATTTTTAGATGCAAAAAGTGTTTTGGAAGAGAGTGGTAGGAGGAGGAGTTCGATCCACCAAGTCCCGCCGCCGATTGCTGAGATGGCATTTGACGACTCTTCTTGTGTCAGTTCAAAATCCAAAATTTCCACCTCACCAAGTTTTCGTTATCATCACATCATCAAACCAAATGTTCCTTGTAAATTGTAATTAAAAAAGAACACCACTGTTCTCACATAACCTCTCTTCTCTTCTCTCCTCTTTTCCCTCTGTAAAACCCTAATCTTCCTTGCATTAAAATTTCTGGGTTGGCTTCTTCAACATTTTCTTTCAATAAGGTCAGTCTTCTCTCTCTCTCTCTCTCTCTCTGTGTATTCTTGGGCTTGTTTTGATAATTAGGAATTTGTCATGTTCTTAAACCATTTGGTTACATTACATGAAATAAAGGAAACAAATTTGTCCAGTTTTGTCACTTTTTGAAATGAATTGCTTCATGGGTACTATAATTGAAGCTAAAGTTGGATGGAAAATTGTTGGCAACTGGTTAAAAGGTTGAGGGAAAATAAGTTTTGAAACAAAAGCAACATTTCGATGGTTGGATAAATCTCAATGGAGAGGCTCATCGTTGCACCAGGTTTTTTTAATAAAGATTTTCACTTTTTCTGTATCAAGCCAGACTACCTATAGGGAATTATGGTTAAAAGAAATATGGGTTTGTTCTGGTGTCTCCGGTCTATGCTCTAGCATATAGTCTTCAGTTTTGTAGCTCTTTACCTTTTCTTTTTCTTTATTTTTCGAATCAGACAGTCCTTTACCTTTTAACTTTCACCACACAGTTACGTTTGTGTTAAGTTTAGATGACATTGTGGCAGATATTGGTTAGCACCTTCAATTTTCTGACTGTTATGGAGCTTATTATATCATCCTGTCATATATAAATGTAGATGCTTTGATATTCAAAACTTAATGAAAACAATTTTATTTCTTTAAATAACTTTTATGTGTTTTGATCTTTCTAGTTAAGTATGACTCACATATGTCAGATGATGTCCCCGCGGCATGCGACGTACTGGAGGATGAGAAGCAAGACTGTTTTTAAGGACTTTAGGAGAGCGTTTTTTCTATATAAAATGATGTATCTATTCATATGTATATGCTTCATGTGCATTTTTTACAATATGTAGATGGTTCAGTTCTTGTGGTTTCAACTTAAGGGTCAAGGGATTTCTGAATACTCATTAAGGAAAAAAAAGAAGAAGAAAAAGATCTTGCTTGATGAATAATGATGTTTTTTTTTCATTTTATTAATTTGTGAGTTATGTCAGTGGTAACCTATGCTGTTGATTGCTACATACCTCTCTTCAAAATCAGGTAGCAAGTATACCAGAAGGGTTTCATGGCAGGTAATGGCCTGCCATCTCTGGGTCGTGTGAAGCTAACTGATCTCGCTCCTGCTGAAGGTCTTCCATCAGATTCATACAAACTATCTGTTTCAACTTTGTCGCAGTCACTAGCTCAATATTCTGCTGCCATCATTCAATTTCCAGTAAGTGATGGGGCTCTTTTGAGATCTGGTTTAGATTCGGCTCGCCTCTACTTCCACCAGAAAGCATCATACCCAGCTGCAGATATGGTTAATACCAATGACCCTCGTGACTGGTGCAAGACTTCCGGTTATTATGCAGATCCTCAATTGTGGCTAGAAACCTATGATTACAGACCTGGACTCACTCCCTTAGAGCCCAACAACACAATGGAATTTCCTCCAGCAGGTTTACCAGATATATTTTCACTGCTTGGAAAGGCAGCTCGGGATATATTGGATGCTATCAGCTTCTATTTGAACTTGCGGAGCTCACCATTTACTAAAGTACTTGATAATGTTCCCTTAAGAAATGGGGAAATATCTTCTTCAGTACTGTCTGTCTGCTGTCATACAAGACCATCATTTCAGGGAGCACAACACCATAATTTTACGACTCAAGAGGATGGCCAGTTGGTTATGTTTTCTGACCATGAGCATCAAGTTGACAAAAGCTTGATATCTCTTGTCAAGTCAGACAAGGCAGGTCTACACATAAAGGACTTTCAGGGTCGTTGGGTTCTTGTGGATGAAGATCTTGGTCCCCAAGAAGCTATTGTTTACCCTGGCCTTGCACTCTATCAGGCAACTGCTGGATATGTCAACCCTGCACTGCAAAGAACAGAGACTACTAATATTCAGAGCAACTTGTTTGGCCGATGTTCTTTGGCTTTTAAACTCATGCCTAAATCCATGACCAGTCTCAGTTGTTCAGAGATGAGAGATGCTGGTCATGGGGTTGAAGCTCAGTTCCAGCTGCCAGTTCCAGTCGATGACTTTATGCAGAGATCTCACCCAACTGATCAACTTTTCAACAGACACAGTTTTCAAAGTTTCAATTTCCATGCAACCCAAGAAGGTATGCTGCATTTAATATTTTACCATTGGCTGCTTGTTTACATACCATAGATTAATTTCATGAATGCTACTTTTCATATTTTTCATAACAGCTACTTTGGTTGTCTGTTCTTCATTGTTCCGGTTTGTCATATATGCATCAAAGATTTTATTTTATTTTTTCCTTTCTTTTAGACAGGACTGGTTTTTCACTGAATCAGGTGGACACTCCAAAAATAAGTTTAACCAGTGAATTTGGCTTCTAATATTTCTTAGTAGGGTGTTGTATAATTGATATTCTGTTATCATTAACATTTGATGCTATTTGATTTTAAGTGAAAGGAAAGAAAAAGGGAAATATAATTATAGACCTTAGCTTTTGGGTCTACTTAATAGTTTTTGCATTCCTGTTGTCAGAAACAAGGATCTTCAATCTAGTTCTATCTTCTAGAAATTCTCTCCATCTCATGAATCCTGTTGATGTTGGATTACGTGTGTTCTCTGTGTGAGTAGCTCTTAGTGAGAAGCTTTTAACAGCAGGTCCTTGGATCGATGAAATGCTGGTACAGGATCTATGAAGCCTTTGTTAAGGAGGAGGAAGAATGATTCGAGATCAAAACCTCTGCCACCTTCCAAGAGATTAAGGCTTGAGGCCCAGAGAGTTCTGAAGGAAAGGGTTCAGGACATTGCAGACAAGAAGGGAATCAAGCTGAGGTTCTGCAACCTGAAGGAGTGTGAGAATCATATTCTCACACTTGATAGCCCATGTGCCAATATAAGAATGGAGATTGGGTGGCCACATGGAGTGCCATTTGTTCATCCCCATGATCTACCCAATAAGGCAAAGATTGGTTTCCTTGAAGCATATGAACCTGGTTGGACAGCTACTCATGAAATGGAGTTAAGTCTAACTGAACCAGGACAGGCCAGTCAACACTCGGTTAATTGTAATTGTAAGTGCCATTCAAGTAATCAAGTAAAAAAGTTTGTATCTGAATAACCGAGCATACTTGCACATTAGGTTCCTCTCTTTGGTTCAATGTTTCGCAGACAATCACACATGCTTTCTCTTCATCCATGTTACTGTGAAGTTATTATAGGATATATATGTGAATGAAACATAGTGTCTGAAGATTGTGTTAGAAATAGAAGTTAAATACTTATCTTTGTGGTAGCATTAGGAGAAAAAGTTTTGACAATGGTGAGACTTGTTGTGCAGTAGTTCTGTGGATAATTATTAATACGACACAGAATTGAACAGTTAGTTTTGTGTTGTATGTCTTTCCCTAATTTAGGTCATTTGGGTTGCACCTTTGTCCTTTCCCTATTTCCACTGATGGTTATTATGTGAACTAATATTCATCATCTTCTTCTGCAGGAACTTTTCGGCTTGCCTTCCCTGGCCAACCTTTAGTACCTGTAATTTCCAATACATGGCCACCAGAAGCATGTGATCCTTCACATGTGATTCTCATAGGATGACAATCGTTACTCATACTCCAGTTTTCTGTTTTGTAAATAGGCATTCTTGAGAAAAGTTTATGTTCCTTCATTTCAATAGTTGACAAAGTGAACAAGATGGATCTGGAACCTTCATCTGCTCTTATATCAATTGTGCTGCACTCTAAAAAGGCAATGGAATCAGTGAAGAGCTGAGGATCATATGGATAGAAGTGGAGGGGGATTTTGGAATTTTATTTGCACCTCCCATATCATGTTGGTTTTGATGCTGTAATACTACAGTGTTTATTCGAATTTCAAATGCTTTCCACAGAGGCAGGAAGTGTGAGTTATAGATCAATAAAGAGAGAGCAACAGAATCTTGCTGTAAATTTATCATGTACTCTTTGTTGTTGTTGTATACATACAGCTTCCCTGATCCACTGGTCAGTTTAATGGCAGAGCACAATAAGAGTATGGAAATACCAATTAAAATTTAATGTCCTTCAGAAGGAAAGTATTAAATATCTTCGAGATCAATAAACTCTTTTGCAGAATTTTCATACCAAACTAAGTTTTCATTGGTTCATATACCGATGCATGTGGCATGCGTCTTAAGGAGATCATTTTTCTTGATATCCAAATTTAACAGGAAAACTACAGGGTGATTAACACATAGGGTTAGATGAAAATGCTACTTATATATCACCGTAAATAAATAAATATGTAAAATGACACTGACTAGCAGTGTTTCAAGATTCTTAACATGGTCAATTACATATACAAGCCTCGGGCCATTCCGAAGCCCTGAGGAAACAGAAGCACTCCTTAGAACCATAACTAGAATGTAAAGTCGCATTGATGCTTGCACAATTATACCGTGCCTATTGCTCCTCTCATAATTGGCATCCAAAGCAATAACAGGCTGGCCCAGAAACACTGTTCAGTATCATTCTGTCACTCTGCAAGTGAGACAGTAGAACAAGAGTCCAAAGCTGGCAGAGGTTCAAAGAGCCGCTCTAGCCATCCAATGCACCCATTAGCACTCAGTTTGATTTGTCGGGCAAATTAAAGGCCTTTCTCAGCCTCGAAATGGTGGCTGATTTTCAAAAGGCAATTCAACGGGCGTAGCATTAGCATAGAATTCTTCCAAGTTGTAGAAAGCTCGCTGTGGCGGAAGAAATATATGAATAACAACATCACCTGGAATTAAGACACACGTCAAGAATTTCGTGTAAGATCAAGAATTCTTAAAGAACTTTTCAGCATGCAGGTTTAAAAATTTCTTGAAAGACACACCAACCGCATATTGCCAGACCCCTATTTGTGCGAGAGAGAGAGAGAGAGAGAGAGAGAGTTAAATTCCTGGTATTGACAACATTATAATTCTCGAGGACCCCAGTGTCAATAGGTTGGTTTGCTTCGATATGACAACCAAGATACGAGTCCTAAAGATTAAAAAGCCTTATACGTGGATCATAGTACACAGGTATCATCCCAGTTGACCATAATTAAGTGAACATCTAGTTTGCAAAGTCAAGTTGTCAATGTCGTCCAATTGCAACTAGAAATTTGAAGGAAATTTTCACATAACTAACCTGAAATTTACTTAAAGAAAAGAAAATTTTGACTAGCTAGGATTATTGCTTAACAAGTTTCATCCAAGTGAGTCAAAAGGATCATCTAAGAAACCTATAGCCGGCTTGGATACAACCATATGGAAATAGTTGCTCCCGCATCAATCAAATAATATGAATTGATTCATATTAGCACCATGAATGACAATTTCAGACAACGGTGCCACATCCCAGTTGCTGATAACCATGGGTAGATTAGCAATATACAAGATAATAAAAAGAAAGAACAAGGGCAGGTCATATATTAGAATCTTCATCAATGTATATCTAAATTGAGTGAAGGGTCACACATCCCATATTCCCAATCACAAATGCATAACTGTGAGGATAAGTTTGTTCCAAACTAATCCACAATTAATAATTTTCATTACATTGTAAAGGAATCATACATACCAAAGTCCAACAGGGTCCATGAGTTGGGTTTTGAGTCCCCAGATGGAACTCTTCCATACTTTGTCTCTGCCAGATCTCTTATCCTGGACCTAAATTGCGGCATAAAAAGTCTATAAAATATTGCTTCCAAGTCTGTCTCATAATTTAGCATGCAAATCGAACATAAACATTCATAAACTTAAATCTGAAGCGCATACCCAATTGCGTCAATTTGCGGACGAGAAAATGCCGTGGCAATAATAAAAAACCGAGTCCAATACACAAGAGGCTTCACAAATAGGACCTTTATATCTCCTGCTTTTACATCATTGGCAACACTGGCCACTTCTACAGCAACTAAAGAGATTGCAGGAGATTATTAATAAGTTGCATACAGTAAGCATATCAAGCACTTTGAAAGTTTGGTTTCATACGGCCAAAGAGTAATACATGAAAACTGGAAAGAATATTTATATTCAACACCTATGCAACATTATGGTCAAAATTGAGTGGAAAACAAAAACAAAATAAAATCTACATCTGTCACACTGCAAAGAGTCTTTGCTCAAATTGATTGTGATATGAACTTACATGATAAGCTTTCAGCATCGTCATCAAGTTCTGTGCTAGGAGACATCCTGTCGTTGCTTTGATATACCACTTTTCCATATCTATCAAACAAGTCGTCAAACATATCGTCGGTATCTTCACTTACATTCTGCAATATGTCATTGATTAGCAATAAGCTGTCAAGGTTCAGACTGACAAAACGCATTTTACAAGATCCTGTAAAAATCACTTACAACTTTTTTTTTCTTTTCCTTTAGGTAAATTTGGCATGGACAAACTCGTAGCGGAACGCTAAAACTGGCCAAAATTGGAAGAGAGATAACCATACCCTTTGACTCCCTCAACAAGCAAATAAGAAGTCAAGGTCTCACGCACAAGGAACATAAAGGAGATATTTTCTCAGCCAGGTTTTCACCAAGAAGCTTTTGATATACTAAGTCTAAAAGGAGAAAACGGAGCAATCTATATTAAGGAATTTCAGTGAGACCACAAGTGAAATTCACAAGTGTTTGTATGACAGATTCAAATACAATTAAAGATATCGAAGGCAGAATGGAAAATCACTGTGGCTTTTACTTGAGTAGAGCATCTACAAGATAAGCGTCAAATATTCATTCTAATACAACACCAAACCAAAACTTGTTTCATAACTTTGTTCTTTTTGGAACAAAACAGCTACACAATTCGAAACCAAAACCAGCTCACATGAATTTGACAACAGAAAAACGAAATAACGTACCGAAGCGAAACTATCTTCAGCTTCTTTCCCACGAGCCAAACGCAATGTTCGCAATTCCCTTGACTTCAAAGTTAGGTTCTTGCTTCTGGGTTCTTGCCAAAAACACTTGCAGTGGAACCATTTATGAGAAAAAGGCTTGGTGGAACTTTGACAGAGCTTCGGTTCAAGTCGACCCAGTTTCTGGAGGGCATCGAATCGGTAGCCGGGGCCAGCTCCGGCGAAAGACAGCGTAATAAGCAGCGCCATTGTAGCTCTATTGGTACGATTGCACAGAATTTTGAAGACGAGAGAAAATATACTCGCTAGATAGATAGCAGCAGCAGGTATCTAATAGTATCAAAGCATATCTGGGTTTGGGAACTTTGGGCTTTGGGTTGGGTTTTACGCAACTCCACCACTCTACACTGTCCTCCCAATTTATCCTTTCGTTTTTTATTTATTTTGGTTTAAAGAAAATCGGGTTTTCTTCTTTATATTTTTTTTGTTAAAGAACAAGAAAAGAAAAATAATTTTAGGTCAAAATGTAGTAACTACATTCCTAATAAACTTCCCTTTTTTCTTTCTATTTTTTCTAAAACGCAGTTCATCATCATGTACGAGATATTAAGATAAATTTTAAGTATGTGCAATCACTAGCAAGGCATATATATCAGGTAAAACTGGGTCATTTGTGTTCATGACAGTTTTAAATTCTTAGTAGCTAAAATCATGACCTGTCCAATCAGTGTTTCGACGGTCATGAAGGATCCATAATAACTAATAGGTTCATGGCCATGTTCTTTTTCTTCAAAAAGTTTAGCCAGATTCTATATTTCAAAAGCAAAATACGTTTGATTTCAATGGGAAAGCAATCAGGTTTGTCATTCACCATCGCTCAAATTCACTTTTTCTCCATAATGTAATGAATGTTGTGTGCTCTTATGAGAAATGCTATACAACGAAACGAGTTTTCACTTGTAGCTTCAAGGTCAACTTACATCTTTCGGGAACTGGCTAAAACTAATGCAGCAAATAACTTTAATGTTTTTATTTTTTGGAGTCACCATAATATTGGCATAGTTTGACCAACGATGGGAAAAACAGAGGACAATCACTCTCCCTCCACTCAATCAGATTGCCTCAATTTTAATTGGATGGAAAATTTTGGAGAATTCAACCATGCAATTCATGACACCACCTTGCTTTTAAAAAAAATTCATATCATACACCTGTTTATACAATAGATTTTTACCAACGTTCAATCAAGCATCATACTTCGTTCCCACATTATGTGTATACAGTCATGGAAATAAACAAGTTAAACAACTAAAAGACTAGCTCAAAATAGCACAACTGCACCCTGTTGGCTCATAATCAACGCGAAAAGAAATATGAACTCCGGGAACATCAGTTCCTCCAGCGAATCTTGATACTACATATCCATGGCTACTGAGTGCAAAAGGGAGGGGGAACATCAACGCAAAAAGAAATATGAACTCCGAGAATATCAGTTACTCTAGCGAATCTTGATATTACATATCCATTGCTGCTGAGTGCAAGAGGGAGGGGGAACAGCTACTGCTTTTTTCTCGTAAAGACCTACAACAAGCACCCTCCCATTAGAACAAGCTAAAACCAATCACCAACAATCCACCTAGCCCGCAGAAATCATGAGCTATATTTTTTAAGCTACTGCATAAGAACAGGTATTAAATCTAAATAACGTAGCCCAACTGTGTTTTCAATATGATTAGATATGGATTTTTATCAATGAAACCAAAATAAGATTTATGGAGAGAGAGTACTTACCTATGGCTTACGAGGAGGTGAACTGCTGCTGCTGCTCTTGCTCCTGCTTCTTCTCCTCAAAGACCTGCATAAAACACCCTCCACCATCAGAACAAGCTAAAGCCAAGTACCAGATCTTTTAAAAACCAAACAACCCACCAGTCCCCCAGAAACATGGGAATTTTTTAAAGTTAAAAAACAAGTACTAAGCATAAATTTCATAGCTCAATTGAGTGTTTACGTCAGATTAGATAAACAGGTCAGATTAGATAAACAGGTATCCAATGAAACTATAGAAAAATGCTCAGACGTTTACAGATTACAAATAAGACATTTATAGATATCATGACAAATGAAATATGATAAAGATGAAAGGACATAGGCAAATACAAGCAAATTTATATGACGGTGAGATCCTAAAATAGATTCGAACAAACATGGAGTGAAACTCATTAAGATCAAAACTTTAAAAACAAATTGATAAAAAACATTACCTTCTTGGACTACGAGATATCTTTCGGGGTACCTGTAAGATTGCAAGTATTAAGCCATGTACGGTATCCCAAAAGCTAAACTCTCTATCTAAACAAACTAACAAACACAAACCTTCCTTGGACTAGGCGATCCAGAGTATGATGACGACCTCCCACGTCTAGTAGCCGGCCCTCGACCTCTGTCAAAGACAAGCAACAAAAAGGATGCAGGCATCTTAGACTCCAGAGTAATAAAAAACTTATGACAGGAAATTAATGAGGGAAAGTCAGTAATTTAAAAAACTAAACAAGATATCAAGCATATTCTATTCCTTCAAAATAACATAACAGACACATCGAGATACCAGAAAGGGGCAGTATAATGAAAAAAATTAACTCATCAAAAAATAGTACATAGTAGATAATTATCAAAACATATATAGTAAACAATACACATCGAGATACCAGGAGTTTAAAGTAATCCATATGACTACATGACTGACCAGATTTACTTTATGCATCCAGTATTCATTTAACATAATAAAGTTCTGTATTTGACACACCTAATGAGCACATGCACACTCATCATATGTTTCATACCCTACTCAATCGTCCAGAGAGAGATATTACAACTACCAAAGACCTAAAATAGGTTAAAGAAATGGTCGACATAATCAACTGAATGTCTCAACCACAAACCACTGCCCTCCTCAAATCAACACATCATGTCAAACACTATTTGCAAATCAATAATATAAAATATATATTAATAAATATCTCAATGAATTTAAATTAACTTCAACAAATTGAAGAACATGAAAAATGGTAAAAGAACAATCAAATTATAAAAAAAAAAAAAAAAAAAAAAAAAAAAACAAAAAAAATGATTTAGTTTCAAACAAAAAGCTAGACTTCATAAGACTTGGATATTTAGATGATACCTCCGTGGCGAAATTGACCTTGATCGTGATCGAGCAAGCCTACGATTAGGAGACCGGCTACGCCTACGATTGATTGGAGACCTTCTGGGAGGACTACGAACCCGTCTAGGAGGTGAACTGAAGAATTAAATATTTTTATAAGATTAAACCTAAAGTGTAGACTCAAAATAACCCAAGAAAATAAAATCAGCCTAACAAACTCGTATTTATAAGCACACTTGATATAGTGACATCAATCTTCATTGCAATTCATGACGAGCCACCTAGATTAGTATTAAAAAGTGGTGCATGGCTGTGCATGTAAATTCCATGCTGAAAGCATTGGTTTTTAGGAGTTGTCCTACTTATCAAAAAAACCTAAAGGGGTCATCTATGTTACTCATTTGGTTCTTTTCATTTATAAAAATTATTTGAGCTTCGACAATCTTTGATTCCCATTGCTTTTGATAAATACATTCCAGAACTTTATCTGCAAGATGATAACATACAAAACTGTTGGAATAAATACTTTTGTTACGATGGCATCAATATGCATTCACTAACATTGTCCACTGGAAGAACCAGTAAAATATGACCAGAAGTAGTATGTCTTTTTTAATTCCACAGAAATTCATGGTCTGTGAAAAGCGATAGCTTCATTTTTTATGCCCCTAATTTGTGAAGAGTTTGAAGTGCCAAAGAAAAATAAATAAAAAATTACCGACGCCTTGGAGGAAAAGGAGAGCGTCTACGAATGGGACTGCCACGTATCCTTCTTGGAGAAGTCATACCAAGAAGATAATTAGTCAAACACTATTCAAAAAAACTCAACAACTTAACATGCAAAGATGCAAAATTTAGTCAACACACATACCTAACAGGGGAACGTCGCCTTGGTGGCGGAGATCCAGAACGACCTCTAGATGGAGATGCAAGCCTCCTCCTTGGAGAAGTATCACCACGACGAGCAGGAGAGCCAGCACGACGACGTGGTGGAGAGTCTGGCAGTCGTCTTGGAGATCCACCTCTGCGAGCTACAGGGGATCTCCTTCGTGGTGAGAGAGGTGGCCTCCGACGAGGAGAAGCTGATATCATTAAGTCATACATATCATTCACATAGTAGACAAAAACATATGCAATGTCATAAAAAGTATCAAATATAAAGATTATACCTTCCCTTGGTCGCTTCGGTCCATCTTTGTCAGCATTGACACCATCAGTTTTCACAGCATCTCTCTTTGGAGCAGTGGAAACAGGCTTAGGTGGCGGTGACCCCTTCTGACGCTGAGGTAATGTAAACCTTGCTCGGATTACATTACCATCAATTTGAGCCTGAAACAAGGTATTTAAACACAGCATGTTCAATGTATGGTCATATTAGAGAAACTATTTCTACTCCCACACTTCAAGAAAACTTACACCATCCATATATAACTGTGCTTTTTCAGCATCTGCTCTTGTCTTGAACTCAACATATCCAAATCCTTTTGGAAGATTAACCTGCAGAAAAAAAAAACCAGTTTTACACAATTGTACCAAAACAAGATACGTCAAAATCAAGAATTAAATCTAGTACGGACTTACAGCACGATCCATTGCCAGCTCAACTTTGACAACATCACCAAAGTTACCTACAAAAATATAAAATTGGATTTGATACACTGCCTACAACCCAGTTCTTCTGAACATTTAACAACAAAAATATGAGCTAATGATGTAACAACTTTTCATACATAGGTATTCAAATCTGAGCTTAGGATCAGTGCCGCAGAGTACAAGATAATTGTAAGACAAATGGTACCTAAATTTGAAGTCATAGTAGCTACTTTTTACAGTTGCTTGAAATAGGTCCTTCGGAAATTTTGCACAAAGATAACAAAAAAAAGTAAAAAGAATATAACTTTTTTTTTCTAAAGAGGTGGAAAGAATAAGACTTTAAAAGATATAACAATTCAAATTGTCCTGGAGGCTGATCTGAGAATCTTATAAGGTAGAGAAACATTTATAAATATTTTAAAATTTTCATTGGACTCCTCTGGCTAGATTTTTAAATTGTCGCAATGTGGCAAACGTTATAGACTATGATGTCCAAAAAAATCGTAAATGGAAATTGCTTAGAATTGACTTCAGAATTATGTGTATTAAACCAACATAATTCTCATGATGCAAAAAGAATTCAAATATTAAACGAAACAAAAGAAAACATACAAAATATTTCTCGTAAATGGCCTTCATGCACATTCCTCGTAAGCTGGTCAATGTGAAGAATAAGTGACTCGCGAATTGGAGAAGCTTTCCTGAAATGTAACATGTTAGCAGATGTGAGATGTGCATTCACATACAATGAAATTTATGGGGTTGAGAATGGAAACATAGTGGATGTACTCCAGACAAATATATGATCAGAATATAATGAAGTCCAGCCCGAACTCAATACCAACAAGACCCAGGGTATCAAGTTGAAAATAAAGTTTATAAGAGAAAACTCATTTCCAAATGTCAATTGTAGTAAAAACTCCCATTTGGTATCATACTGGGATCCAATTTTATAAACTCAAAAACAGATTTTAACTTCAAAACTTTAAATAACCCATTTGGTAGGACCATTTTTAAAAACCCAAACCCAAAACAAACTCAAAAGCACCCCCACTATTGAAAACAAAAAAAGTGAGGTTTTATTCTCTCTCTCTCTCTCTCTCTCTCTCTCTTGTTCACAGTTCCGTCAAGGTCACCTTCGTCCACTACCCGACCCCAAATTGATCAATCTTTTTTCATGTTTTGGGTTTCTATTGAAAGCTCACAATTTTTTCCTTTTCTCTTGTTAATTTCAATTTGGGAATTTAGGGTTTCTGATTTTAATTTCAATTTTTCAAAATAGTTTGGAGTTCAATACCAAACAAGTTTTTAGATCTTAAAATCACTAATTGAAAACTCATCTTCTTAAAAAGAATTATAATTTTTTAGTTTATTTTTTTGAGTAGGATACCAAACAGGGCCTAAATTTTGGTACCAACATAGCTCGAGTTAATAACTCTCTGGTTTTCTAAACACAACCAAATTTCATAACGAGATTTTCTGTCACATTCTCATATGAAAATACATATGTTCATGAACAGCCACTTGACCCCAATCAAAGTCTTCGTCGGATCCTTTCAGAACTAATGGATGCTAGCCTTGACCAGTAAATACTGTGAAAATCAAACTTTTTTTACTTCAAACTTCCTGTTAAGTATATCGATTTCTCAATATTGTACCCTAAAAAGAGAAAGAAAAAAACAGAGGCTATGTTGAAAAAAAGGAGAAATTGACTAACAAATTCTACTTCTCTACGTGCCCCCCAAAAAAATTAATAAGCACAAAAAACACTAAACAACCAGCAAATTTTTAAAGGAAAAACTGAAACAATGCTAAAACTATATACCTTGGGGGTGGAGATGCCTTTTTAGCTTGTGGTGGTGGAGAACGACCTCGTCTAGGAACTTCAGGACTGAAAAATAAATCAGTTTACTTCGCATCAGAAAATAAAATTTCTTAATGCGAACCTCAATATACGAAATGCCGCAATAAACTACAATTAAACTAAAACACGACAAAAAGACTAAAAAAGAAAAAACAAAGGTGCATGGTTAAAAATAAAAATTACATGTTAGGCTGCTCTAACCTCTCCAATTAATCAACTCATAATTGCAGTTCGTGTTCAAGTCTCAATATTTTTTATTTCAACCAGAATTAATTCCTGCCAACTTAGAAAATATACCCATACATTGTGAAGAAATGTCCACGCTCTTATAAATTGTTAAATTCCTTCATGAATTTTCTCCACACTTTCTAGGAAACCAAACAGCAGATACAAAACCCTAGAGTGTCAAATTAAAACGCAAAATAAAAAAAATCGAACCTTTTTTTGGAGGGAGGGCTTCGGCTACGAGAGCTGGCACTCCGGGACGGAGAGGAGGAAGAGAAGGACCTGGAGCGAGATCGAGAATGCGAGCTGGAGCGCGAGTCGGTGCCTGAGAAGGAGCGCGAACGCGAGCGGGAGCGTGACGATGAGTCAGAACCGGAGCCTGAAAGTGGCGAGCGACGGCCTCGGCTTGGCTTCGCCATGGCTGACAGAGAGACGAAACCCTAGATAAATCCCTGGTAGAGTGGTGAGTGGCCAAGAAAGAGAGAGAGAGAGGTTTTATGTTATGTTTGCGAGAGGCCTATATTAACAAGGGTTTTCAACTTTCACGAGGTCAGGGTGGCAAATTTTGTCGAGCTTTGTTTCGCGCTGGTAGTTCTTTTTCTTTATTTTTTTATTTTATTTTTTATTACCTTGACCTTTGGGGGGAAATAAAATTTATATTGACAGATGGAGTTACTAATACTATAACGAGATGATTTTATACTTTACCAAGTATTCGCAATAAACGTAACACTACGTGACACTGCAACAGTCCCGCTACAAAATTTCTCCACTTCGGGGTTTTGCTTTCGTACGTAAAAATTGATGTTCATACCGACAGATCATAAGAAAAACAAATTTAAGGTGACAAAAGGAGTATTGGATCCAAAATTATGATGGTATGTCCATACTCCAAAGCTTCATATTCAAAAGCTCAACATGAGAGCTGGATCACAATTGCTCTATAACAAAATTACAAATGTTTACTTGTACCCAAGTCAACCAGACATGCACGTTGTTTGAGCTTGAAATTTATACTTGCAACATAATACCTCATTGAGGGTTAGCAAATCTTAACGTAGGGTTCCTGGCATGCAAAATGGGTTGGTTCGCCAAGCTTAAGCCAGTAGTAATCAAGTTCATTTTGGTTCTTCAGCACTGGTCGAAGCACCTGAACGTCTTCTCTTGGCTTCGTTGTCGCCCAACTGCAGTGAAAAGCAAATATCTTCGTCGCAGCCATTCCTCAGTGACGAGAGATTCTCAGAAACTGTTCTACCCATCTGATTTTTTTTATGTAGTGGGGATCCTCCGAGGAAGCTTGGTATAAATTGATGTTCAACACTAGGAACCGCCTTGATACCATCTTCCAGATGAAACTCTGTTTCCACCAAGGACAGTGAGCTGCTGGGTTCAGCTTCTAAAGGGATATGCTGAATTTGGAGACCCAGTGACTCAAACTTCTCCTCAGGTCTTTCCTTCGGAAGCATCCCATCAGGAGGGGAAGAGTCACCGACAGTCGAGCCAATTGCCGTTGCAGAAGCAGTCCTTTGTTCTTGTACTGCCACTACAGGTAACATTTACATAGAATTGTAATTAAAGCATGTAGATCATATGTATTCATTTGTCTGTATTAATATTATAAAATATTGTTCTTCACCATCATTTTGACATACATCACAATACATTACCCATGAACACAGTTTTCCTTATCTGTGCATTATCTTCATTGATCGTATATCCAGATATGGTCTCAGCTTCTTGAAGAGCAATCATGCCCAACTTCATTTCAAGTTCAACCATGAGAATAAATGCATTGCTCCCCTCGTAATAATAGTAATAATAATAATAAGAGAAATCATGCTGTTATATTTTAATATTATGAGGGTTTGTCAAACTCTAAATGATAAATGCATCCAAGTTTAAAGGTTTATCTTAGTCTATGCACCCCACAAATTTGAGTTTTTAATTATATGCAAGGAACATGAGCGCAGAAAATCAGAATGAATATGCAGACCAACTACAAATAAAAAGTTGAAGATTGGCAAGTACTAATCAAGGGGGAACCAGCAAATAAAGGCAATCCCAAAGCACAAACCTTTAACCCCTTCATCAGTTGTAATGAGGTCGAGTTCAAGGAGTTTGAGAAGACGTCCGAGATCAACTCCACTTGTCCAATTCTCAGGAGGTTGACCAATTTTCAATTTAAGTCGGCCTCGGTTAGCAGTACCACCCCATATGATCCCAATTGGCCGTGGCTTCTCCCCATTCTCGCCTTTTAATATTATGAGGCTCCCACTGTCTCCTTCAAGGTCAAATGTTTGTTGGTTCTCACCAACAACAAGAAAATCAGTTAAGAAGCATATGCCTTTCTCATCATTGTACTCGAGGGCATAGGCCAATACAGTTCCAGTAGTCAAGCCAGAACTTCTTCCAACCTTCATCACCTGCTTTCCAATAAGCGTACTGATTGGGGACTGCAAGTCAATTATCTTAACATTACCAATCTCTCCTACTCCTTTCACGGATGTAATAACAGTACACATGTCAAAATCATCAGCAAAAGGAATGAATGCCCCATCTGCTCTCACAAATGTCTCTGCAATAACATGAAATCCGGATGAATAAGTGTTTCTCTTCCTTCCTTTCCTTCTCTCTTTTAAAAAATGTGTCCGTCTCTGGTATTAGCAAGCCTAAGGAAAGATAGGCTTGCCATTAAATAATCAAACCACAAAATTTTATGTTAATTACCAAAATTGTTGGCTTTGCCAAAAGGATTGATAAAGGATTCAGAAAAAAAAAAAAAAAAAAAAAAAAAAAAAAAAAAAAAAAAAAAGAAAATTGAAAGGGCCAATAGGGCGAGTGCATCCCCAACCATGGTGCCTAAGGCATCATCAGTAGATACAAATAAGAGAAAACAGGACTCAAGGTAAAAGCATTAAAGTGTTTACTGGTGACATGCACAACGCATGCAAGCATACAATTCATGAGTTAAACAGGCAATTTGGCACCATCTTGATGTTTTTGCCAGGCATCAAAAAGGCTGGGACAGTTGAAGCCATAGAACAATAGATTAAGTAAAAACTGATGCAGCAATATTAAATATTCTGCTTGTAATCTCTAAATTTAATCTGTGAATATCTTTACTAGAGCTTGATCAACTAAGCTAAGTAGACATCCATTGACCAACTGGTCAAAGTAACAAAGTCAAGCTACTCAAATTTGGATTGATGAGCACTCTGAAGAAAGAATGTAATAGAATCCATCTCCAAAAGCAATGTAGGTTACATTACCAACTTTTGAATCCTTCTTACCTGGGTTAATTCCAGCAAAGATGCCATACCAAAGCTCATCTGTGATAAATGAGGTAGCTCTCTCCACTGCCCCAAGATATACCCCAGGTCCAAGTGAAGGAGGCAGGGGATGAAACATCTTCTGATTTGGGTAATCTAAGTCAACTGCAACATGCCGATTTGTGAGAAAACCAACTTGCCGATTGCCAGTTTGGCTCCTTACTATAGCACCCAATGTTCCATATGTCTCCTGGCTTGCCACCTTGAATACAAGCAAAAAGAAACAGAGTACTTACCAGCATTCAGATTTAAAAGAATACCAGAATAAGATGGAATAACAGTGATGCAGTACACAGTAATAGAATAAGATATGGATTTACTTAAGTAACTAACACTAGTGCACCAGATTTTAGAAGTGTGACACTCCAATAAATCTAGCTTAACAGGAGAAGGCTAATTAACATTTGACTGTTCTAAGCTCAAGCTACTGGCTCTTGACTTAACCCAATATTCCATTGAATTTGGTTTACTGATTCAATACTATGACAAATGACATGGTACATGAGATAGAAGAATAAGAAACCTCAATCAAGGCTGGATTTATAAATAACTAGTTCAAATTTTTTGATTAACTATTGTCGTATATTAGAAATTCCACAAAAGATGATGGCCATGCTTTATTAAAAAAGGTTAAAACTAGTGCATTTCCAATTTCCCATCCCTACATTAGTTCATAGAAAGAAGGTAAAGTTGGAAAGTAACCTAAACATACCTGAGAACCTGAGCCAATGCATGGATCACCTCCACGCAAATCATCTACAATTTCTGTGTACAATTGTTCTTTGGGAGCTGGCTCAGGTGCACCAAAATATGAGAATTCTACAACATCCACATCACACCATACACCTCCAGGCCCCTGCTTAAGTTAAAAAGAGTACTTTAAAACACAAATAAAATCATATGGAACAGGTGTCGATAATCCCAAAAAAGTAATTGTTGAATAATTAAATGAATAACTAAATTGTAATTAACATTTTTTTCTTGACCTCTAAGGCAGTGGGTAAACACTGTATCGGGCTGAGCCATTGCTTGTGAACCTTTCTGGCAACAAAGACAAGAATAGCTGGTATGTCAGTTAACACACCCCGTCGAATACGAAACCCAATTGCTGTTCCAAGACTGTAACACCGCAAAATCTTGCTATGAAATGCCCTTATAGTCATCAGTTCAAGCAATGTAGTCGCTTGCTGCCCTTTTGGCAATTGACCAAGAGTTTCAGGCAGGACCCCTTTCTGTAGATTAGTGAAATAGTTTGCCCTCTCTTCAGCAGCATCATTCAATCGGCTTGAGGTAGGCCATGAAAAGTAAGCAGCACTGGTCTCACAATGCTGTCCAGCTGATGCATAAGGTTGAAGTGTTGGTGGACTTAAGGACGGCAAATTAGAATGACTGTAACAGTTTCTTTCAAGATCTAAAACTGACTCCTCTGATGGTGTTGAACCAGAACAACGCATCCTCATATTAAATCTGGTCCGCTCCATCTTTCCAGTTAGCTTGACACGATAACATAATAAAAAATCTTAAGAGGAGAATTCTAAGGTAATAATATTATAACTTATAAGCAGGGAAAAAAAGGGAGAGTTTAGTCTGCAAACACATGTTAAACTTATAGTCAGAAATGAAGTGAGACAGTACAAGTCCAGTAGACATGATGGGGAATGGGTGGACCTTGCAATCCGCAATTGACAGTATAGACTGCAAAGTAAAGACATGCCTCAAAATATACTAATGACTTCCTTAATGGTGAAATCCCAAAATGAAAATGTGGATTATGAAACATCCCCCTACAGCAGGGTTAATACACTTAAAAGTCTACCATTATATATAATTATGATGTTTTCCACTACACTTACACGAAAGGCGTGCTCTAATCCCTGAAACAACTTTAGGAGCACCATCCAACTTTTTAGCATCATTCATATGAAGATTAAGACTAAAAAAATCCTTAAATTGAGCAATGAAATTTGACAAAGGCATGATAATTCCCCCCAATTATGTCTGGTCGCCTAGAAAAATGGAAGAAATGAAGAGAAAAATAATGTAAAACCCTCCTAAAAATAATGTCAAACCCTCCTAAAAATAATGTCAAACTAAGACTTACTTCGACATTCACTGTTAAACTCTAAAAAAAGAAAAGAAAAAATCTTTCACATTCCATTTGCCTCTTAAGCTTCACCACCGACCAAACATAGCAGAACCAGCGGAGGCTATCAAAGAAGCTTGCTGAATGACCAGGTGCTATGGAAACTTGTACCTTCCTTGTGACCAAAATGTTTCAGTTTATACACCAACAGTAGAAAAACTTATTTTCAACCCATGTTTAACGGATTCCAGAAATTCAATCACACAGGCAACATATAACAAGGAATTCATTAAGAAGAAAGAACAAAAACCCAGCAGAAACCAAAAAAGCAAACCTTTTCAGATATGAGAAGTTGAGAACTACAATCATCAGCTCATGAAATAAAGAAAAATGATTTGAACATAAAATCAAAGGCTTAGAATGAGTAAAAAGAAGATAGCTCACTGATCAGTAATGGCAGAGCTGGAATGGGTTCCTGTAGCAGGAACCTCACAGTCACAGAGCACCTTCAAACATACCAACCCAAGTAGAAATTCAGCCAAACTGGAGCAAGAATCGGCTCAAAAGCCTATGGGATTGCCACTTTGCTGGTATGCAGCAGAGTGGTTGCTGCTGCTATAAAAAACCAATGAAATTAAAGCTGGTAAAGTTAACAGCTTGTGCGCTTATTTTATTGAACTTTAACATTCTTTTTTGTGGGGAAGAGAGTTTGGTGGGAAATAGTGCATAGTGTGGGGGGCTATGTGCTAATACTTGGGTCTTGAAGCTGTCTGATTTGTATTGGCTCCTTTAACTTGAACTGATTCTGTAGTTCCGACAGCATTATCGTATACGAGGTACAAATACTTGTCAATGTCTCGTTATAAAAAGAAAATTTTCAATTTTCGTAAATGTAATGCCACATTGTTTTTGGAAAAATTGCAAATTAGAGAAGGGGTTCTGATTTTCTTCTATTTGTATCAAGAGTTTAACTGCAGCAAAAAATTGAAAAATCTTCACTCCATGGCCAAGTATGCTTCCAAATATTCCTTTTTTATAATAATAATAATAATATTTTTATGTCAGAACCTTGGATTCCATTGAATGTTCACTCATAAAGTACTTCACTTGATTTTTTTTTATAATAATATTTGGAGATGGTGTATTCGAACACAAGATCTCAAATGTTACTTAATTACTTCAACCACAAGCACCTTGCAGGGGTAAAAGAAAAACACTCGGCTCCTTCTCTTGATTTCCACTAATTTTGACGAATTATTTCTCATTTGCAAGAATTAGGAATAACATAAATAGTGTTCATTTATATATACGTCAACATTTGAATTTAGCGAATCTGGGAAACTGGTGAAATTAGAGTAGATTGGCCATAGCGTATTGATAACAACAATACTTCCACTAATTCAAAATGACCATGGGAACAACTTAACAAGGTGGGTTTGAACTGTAACATCTCACAGGTGTCATCTGAAGCCCAAGTAAGGTTTTCTCCTTGACATCCAATTAAGGCCACCCTTGTTTATAATGGTGACCAAAGAGGATGGGCTGAGGTCAAGCCACCACAAAAGGCATATCATCTACAACAATATGTGATTATTGAGCTCTTCTGCCTCGCCTGCAAGGCTCAAGCAAAGTGTTACCCTAACATAAAGTAGACTTTACCATATATTAAACATAGCTCTCGGGCTATCAACATCTTGTACTGCAGACTTTTCAACTCGTTCGCCGATCGACGAGCATCTACATTTATCTTTAGATTGGAAGGAGGATAGAGCCATATAGTTGGATGATTGTGAACTGTACTGTGGTTTTCCCTTGCCTATTCAGATTTCTACATTTCCAAATCATCCAACTGAGCAGAATACGACTCACAGTGAAAGCCTCGAGTACGCACAATTAAGGAAATGAAAATTAGCATAGCACATTTATTACTTAAAATTTTATGAAGAGTCAAGAGAGGCTGGAAAAGAGACATTATCCAACAGAAAAACAGTTCAATAACTAATGAAATTCCAATTTTACACACTGATAGCCCACAATTCATATAGGTTGCTGTCAATATGCAGAAAATTTAGCAGCAAGTTTCTAAGGGAGAAGTCAAATACCAAACATCAAATTTAAATTTGATGGCTGATGTGGCAATTTGACATTTACACAGTTTTACAATCCACCTAATATGTCAAATAAATAATTATTGTAATAGCCAAATCATTTAAGATAAAGAAGAAAAAAAAATAAAAAAAGGAAATTAATAAATAAAAGTAACAGCCAGCTGTCTTTAAAAAATAGTAAAATATTCATTTGACATCTTACTTTTGGGATGTCAAAAATAACATCTCAACCTTCGGCCTTCATTCCACATTAGCTTTGACAATTTGGTTGGAATGATGTGAAATATTATTTCTAGTCGTTAAATGTCTATGTAGCACTTTTGACACATCGGTTGGAGATGCTCTAAGACAGTCAACCTAAAGCCATTTAAGAAACCCATGGTTCCTTGTACATTACTTCCATAATCAAATTGGCTTCAATGAATACAGCCACTAAGACAATGACAATCCAAAATTTAGCAGCAAATTTCTATGGCAATCAACAAATTTTTGTACAAATTAACTAATCACAAAACAGATAATAACAAACCACCAACTTGATGTCTCCACCATCAATCAAATCAGGAGAGGGTTTCAGCAAAACTAAGTGAAAGCTTACACACAAGGAAACAACTTCATTACCCACAAAACATAAACTTTCTGAGTTCCATACAAGACGTAAGTAATGCATAATGCATAGAAGAAGAAACATAAACACTGGATTAAACACAATCCTTAGTTCTGCTGAAAGTTTGGCGAGACAAGGCTCTCCACATACACATCAGCATTGAAGTCACTCGGAAGGCCATTTACCAAGAAATTTTTACATGTTCCGTCCTTTCGGTTGCACAGAAGTAATTGCTTTTGATTTCTCACCAGTAGTATATTGGTATTCTTCCAGTAACACAATGGCTGTAAAGAAAAGTAGGAGTTGGTTATCATAATCTTAGTCCAAGACTCCTTCACATTATACTCTTTCATAACCCAAAATAAGTGTTGCTTATGATCATCATGGTAATATAGTAAACAAAGGCACCCTCCCAAAATGCCAGTTGTAAATCTCCGATAATTCGTGACAGAATCAGGTGTGGCCAAGTCTGAGAACTTTTCCTCTGCTAAATCAAAAGCAGCAATAACACAGGGACCTCCAACTCCAAGAGGGCCACATAACCAGTGGACAGCTCCATTGAGAAATGTCCCATAGGCATCCAAAAGATGTTTGTAGGGAAAATCTTGAACCCGTTTCCATGAGTTGTTTTTCAATGAGAAGACAAGTACCATGCATCCATAAGCAACCTTGACAAACTTGTAATCACTCATAGGAGGAGCATGACCAAAACCGTGGGCATGACCATGAAAACGCACTCCTTGTTGAGGACAAGCATGGCTTGGCATGGGGCAATCTGGTACTCTCATGGACTCTCTGGTTGAAGGGTTAAATATAAAGAAGGCTTCTGGCTGAGGCATGATGCAGACCAAACCATTACAGGAACCAGACACGAGAACCCATTCAGTTTTGAGATGGGTCTTGAGTGGAAAATCAAGCTCCAAGGGCAACATATCATCATCTATAGATGCTAAATGGTCCAAGGAGAAAAGAGACTGAGAGCTGAGAATGAGTTTCTGAGTCTGGGTTCTGTTGAGGTGGGTTCGGATGAAGTGGGATTGGGTGGTAAGGTGAAGCCATGACTTTGAAACACACCTGAATCTACCAACAGACTTCACAGGAAGTCGAGAGAGTATGTCTGCAATGATATCGTCTGAAAGGTTTGCCATTTACGCCTAAAAAGTTCACAACTTGACCCTAAATCAACAACTAAAACATGGGTCTGCCACAAAATTTCTAATGTTCCATACCCATATATTGAAGAAATCGAAAAAATTTGTAGCCAGAGAAATTGAACATAATCTGAGAGAAACCCATTTCCATAGAGAAGAAGATAAACAAAATATTCACCAAAACAAACGAGAGAATACGCAAAAGTTGCGAAAAAAAAGTCTCGGCAAGAATGTGATAATACCCAGAAAACAAGAGCAGGGTTTTGCAAATCCACTGACAGAGACAATCTCTCTGGCACCGGAGCGTGGGACGATCTGCTCTCTGCTTGAAATTGGATATAAAAGTAAGAATGAAATCAAGAATATAAAAAATGGGAGTCAACAAAGATAGTCTTCAGGTGACGACAAAAGAAATTCAGGACTTTCTTTTGGGTGATGTATAAGAGCAACCCCATAAGGGTCTCCAAATTTTAATCAAATTCTAGCTTAAGCTAGAAAGCTATTATAGTAATCACTTAAAATGTATTTCCTCTAGTAATGTTCTCTATTTTGGCTAATATGAAATATTTTATTATTATTTTCTCTTTCTCCCTCTTTCTCTTGCAAATCCAATATATTTATAAATAAAAAATGTAGAAACCCAACCCCACCAACCTTCCAAATGTCTCTATCTTTCTATCCCTTTTTCTCTCTCTTCCTAGCCAAATTCTCTCTCCTCCCTAGATGTAGAGAGCCAAAAGTTGGTTCTCCAAAATAAAGAGCTAAGTAGGGAGTCTGTTGGAGGAGGATTTTCCTTCTTTTTAGCCAAAGTAGTTAGGGATGAGATGATAGAGAGTCTGTTGGAGATGCTCTAAGACCTCAATTGGGATTGCCTTAATGAATTTTTTTAATTTCTAAAATACCATTATTAATTTTTTTAAATGACATCACCTCCACCTCCATATCCAACTCCACCACCACCATCGACCACTATTGCCACCACCACTATCACCACCACAACGCCACCACCACCTCATCCTCCTCAACTTCCACCACCACTACCTCCACCTCCACCTCCACAACTGCCATCCCCACCACCACCACTACCACTATATGATTAGTGTATAACACTTTCAACATCATGTCTATTTTAGTTATTATTCACATTTACAACAGTTTTATATTAAATTTTTCCAAACAATTTTGACATTACTTTTTGTACTAACAACACTGTAAAAATATTGTTTACCAAACGTAGAACTACTTTACTTTACAGCTAATTATTTTCAAAGAAGTGACAGCAATTCCAAACTGGCCCTAAAGAAGTATTACATCCTACTTGGGTTTTTTTTTAGAGTGCTGCTAATCGAACCCTAAAATTAACTAAGTACGCCGTATGATCTATCTACACCATAATATTTTAATCAAAATAAAATTAACGAAGTACACCCTATTTAACTACTAAAAGTACCCATAATACACCATAATACAATATCATACAACACCAAACTTTGGAGGTCTTTTCCAGCCGTTTCCCGATCGAATTGGATGTCGACCCAAGGTAGAGTGAAGAGTTTTTAAATTCTGAAAGAGGCTTATTCTTGGGCACGAAAGACAACCCTTAACCAACCATAGCAAAACCACACTGAAACCACCGGAATGAGAGGGCAAGCGTGGGATAAAATTGAGAGAAAGACATGAGATTTGGGCATGTCATTTAGGGTTATTTTCCTTAGTGTTGATCAATAAATGATTCATCAAATTGACGAGAAATTGGGGTCAACGGAGTAGTTTTCTTCTCCCATTCATTTCAAATGGGATTGCGCAGCAATTTTCCATCCACATGCTCTGTCACTATCATCTAATGCTTGTTTGTTTGAGGTTATACTAATATTACATCCCAAACAAAGTCAAACTTCATGGGGGAGTTTGTGTAATTAACTCAAATAGAATTTCCAGGGGTGTTTGTTTAATTAACCCAAACAAAATTTCCAAGAAATAACAGAAAACATGCTTTCCAATCTGACAAAGTAACAGAGTAAACTCCACCTCCCAACATGGTATATTTAACCAACCAAATCGTGCAAGGATTAAAATTGGGGAGAGATGGCTAATCTATCAACCTACTAATACTATAACAAGATTGACATGCGGGACCAAGTTTCCTAAATCTTATATCCAGTCTACCAAAATGAAAGGACATATTTACAAGAGAAAAAAAAATAGAGAGACATATCCACAACCTCAAAACAAAGATTTTTTTTCGTCATTTTATATTAGGGTAAATTAGTATTTCTATAAATAGTGTAGTTATAAGATGTACTCAATTAATTTTAGAGTTCGTTTAGCAACACTCTTTCTTTAATACAAGAGATATTGGGATAGCATACTCGAATCCTTCAGTTCACATAAACTTCTTAGTTCTCAAAAATAAAATATTTAGCATAAGTGTTATGAAAGTAAGAGAATAGAGATAGTTGATAGATGACTCCGAGAGTCCTTATTCCATATGGAATACAATTCCATGTTTTACATAACTATAATTCTCAACAATAAGAACATTAAATTCTATTGTAGCCGTTAGATAAACAAGTTCACATTTCTAATCATATGCAAATACTCACGAATCTGTACCCCAGGATGAACAAGTTTAGTCAACAAATTTGGCAACGTGGGGTTTTGTCTCAGGCACATGAGTGCTTCATCCGTTGCAAAATCCTGAAAGCTAGAATTGCAGCTGTTTTGCGCAGCAGAATAGGAGCTCAAGCGAGTTGTAAAATCCACTTCAGAAATGCACACATGCATTTGAAGAAGACAAGTCGAATTCATAAAGCTTGATGTTGCCGTTTGCATGCAGAAGATCCATTCGGTAATGCATAGCTCGTTTACTTACACCAGGAAATTGAACTTTCCTTGGATTATTACAGTGCATGAGAAGCAAAAATGTCCACGTGAGAACATAGTAAAATTTGGGGCAGCAAAAGTAATTGTGTGCGCCTCTTTTTCTATTTTCCTGGCAAACAAAGCAAATGAAATAAAATCCTTACTGAATTATGCTTAATAGTCACTGTCATTCTTGAACCTCAACAACTACAAATTAATTCAAACTAAGTGAAGGTCAGAGACACAAGGATGTCAAGGAACAACTTCATAAACCACAAGACCTAGACTTACTCAGTTGCTTTTTTTGGTCAGAAACTTGCTCAACTCAGTTGCAAGAAGCAAGTAGTTCATGTGCACTAGAAGTAGAAATGTGTAGAGTACTGTCATCGGGGCTAAACGCAACCGCGAGTTCCTTCGGAACCATAAGTTCGGAGAGATGAGGCATTCCACGTACACATCAGCACAGAATTTGTCCGGAAGGCCATTTCCCAAGAAATTTTTGCAAGTTCCATCATTTGGATTGCAAAGAAGTAATTGTTTCCAACTCCTTGCCAGTAATATCTTGGTATCCTTCCAGTAACATAATGGCTTCAAAGAAATAGAGGAATATGAGTCGGTTATCATAATCATAGTCCAAGACTCTTTCACCCCGTACTTGTTCATAATCCAAAATGAGTGTCGCCTATCGTGCTGGTGTAGTAAACAAAGACACCCTCTCAAAACACCAGTTGTAAATCTCTTATAATCTGTGACAGATTCAGGTGGGGGCAAGTCTGAGAACTTCTCCTGAGCTAAATCAAAAGCAGCAATCACACAGGTACCTCCAACTTCAAGGCGTCTACATAACCAGTGGACAGCTCCATTGAGAGTCGTCCCTGACTTCTCCAAACAATGTTTGTAAGGAAAGTCTTGAACCCTTTTCCATGAACTGCTTTTCAATGAAAAAATGAGCACCATGCATCCATAAGCAACCTTGACAAATTTGTAATCATCGATCGAAGGAGCATAACCAAAACTATATGCATGATGAAACATTACTTCTTGTGGTTCTGGAGGACAAATATGACCTGGCATGGGGCAATCTGGTACTCTCAAGGACTCTCTAATGGTGGGATTGAATATAAAGAAGGCTTCTGGCTGAGGCATGATGCAGACCAAACCATTACAGGAACCAAACATGTGAACCCACTCAGTGTTGGGATGGTTCTTAAGTGGAAAATCAATCTCCAAGGGTAGCATATCATCATCTATAGGTGCTTCAGGGTCCAAGGAGAATAGGGAATTATTAGAACTGAGAAGGATTTTCTGCTTCTTCCGATGCCGGTTGAGATGGGTGTTGATGAAGTGGGGTTCGGTGGTAAGATTGAACCATGACTTTGACACGCACCTGAATCGACACACAGACTTCAGAGGAAGTCGAGAGAGTATGTCTGCAATGATATCCTGTGAAAGGTCTGGCATGCCTACTACCCTTGATACTGAGATATCAGATATAAGCAACTCTGAGCCACCTAAATCCGGTTTGCACCAAAAGCCAACTAGTAAGCAAAATCAACAGATTTCCATAACTAACATTTTCTGCTTTTGATTTAAATGAGAAAAGAGTTCCATGCACAACAAATAATTCCCTCACATTTTCTGGTTCAGGCATAATCATCTCTTTGAATATCTACCCATATGCAAGCCAAAGGTTTTCAGTTTTTATCATAAACTGCAAAATTTTCACATTTTCAATTCTTTTTTACATAAATGAAAAATCTTTGTTAAAGGGGGCATTATTATCACAAAAGCAATTACCCCATGTTCAAATTGGCCATCACTTCAGATTAAAAGTAAACATCACCGCAAATACTGCACAAAATTGATTTCTAAATCAAGAACTCAACATGGGTCTGCAACTTTCTAACGTTCCCTGCCCATATATTTTAGAAATTAAAAACCCACATAAACATAATCTGAAACCAATCCATTTTCTTAAAAAATAATAATAATAAGCAGAAGTTGGCTTAAAAAAAAGAGTCCCAGTAGAACGAAACAATACCCAGAAAAACACGAGGGCGGTGAAGTGAGTCCACTGATACTGACTGCCCTTATTCTCCTACCTTGGGTCGCTTCGACTTGTTCCTTCTTCTACCCTAATTAGTGGCAGCAGAGAGAAATTAAAACCATGTACAGAAGTAAAATTGAAGTGAACAAAGAGAGGATTTTGAATTTCAGAAGAACTTGAATTCCAAACGGAAAAAGCAGATTAGGCTAACCCCATGCATAGGCTCCTTCAAGAACTTCAAATCCCACAAAAGGGTGGCTCTCGTCGGCCGATCAGGAGCAGCATAATTTCATTGTTTTCGCATTTAAGTTGCTGATTTATAGGCTCACTCGGATAGAAGCTTTTGACTAAAGAAACATCAGATTATATTCTCATACTGATCTTCATCTTCCACAAATTTTGCGGTCCTGAGCTAGCCTGTTTCATGACCCAATAAGAACTAAATGCTGGCCTGTTTGTATAATGCTGGGTTTGGACCTTCTATTTCGCGCTTAGCATGGCCCAATACGTTAATTACTTGAAAGTAATTTTAGTGTACCAAACCGAAAACCTGTTTAGTGGTACTTCGTTTCTCAATTTTGGAAGATGTCTCGAATACGAATATTCTTTCTATATTATCCAAATAATAATTTGGATGAATAGTTTATTTTTAATGCGATGGGGGTTTCTATTAGTTTAACAGTTACGATATAGGTTTTTGTCATAAGTGAGAAAAGGAAAATCGAACTTGATACGTCTTTAAGTTCGATACCTGATTGTTGTGGCTAGCTCAGTGTGATAGCATAGTTTTGTTGTAAGTGCATTATCTCGTGGCAAGAGCTGAGAAAATTGGAATTATCAGTAGGCTTTCCAAATAACATGTTTATTCTGAATTCAAATAGACCCTTTGGGACATTTATTTACTTATCTGAGAGAATATCAAGAATATTCATAGAACAAGGCCATGATAATTACAAAACATGATCCATCAAATTAAACACAAAGGGTTAGAACCAAAAAAGAAAAAAAGAATTGAACAGAATCAATAGTAACAAGAATGATATATTACAGGTTTCAAGGTGCTGTGGCCTCAACCTAGAGCATGATATATATTTCCCTATCAGCTTTGAATTAGCAGATCATCAAACACAACCATCAGACTTGTCAGAACACATAGAGAGCAGCCAGTTCCTCCAAGGACTCTGAAGCACCAAAGCTTGGATCAGCAGCATTCTCTAGCATCCATATCAAGTGGTCAAAGAGAACCACCTCACAGTTGACCAAGATATCTTCTGCTTCTCCTCCTTGCTTTTGCTTTGAGGACTTGTCAATTAAAGCATTCAACAGAGGATGGTTGAGGTACTTGGAACTAATGACATAGCGCTTTCTTGTGCTTCCCACAAAGATTATAGTTTGGTGGTGATGATCAATTTCATGCATTTTGTCTCCATGGCCAACCCATAAATCTTCTCTTGTGGATTTGGACCTTAGGCTACTGTATGATGAAGATCTCCCTAGCTGCCTTGACAAGCTCTTGCACTTCCTAAGCAAAAAATTTATTTTCTTCATCCTTAAAAGCCTTATCTTTTGAGATCAGAGAGAGAGAGGGAGGGAGGGAGAGAGAGAGAGAGAGAGAGAGAGAGAGAGAGAGAGGGGGGGGGGAGAGAGAGATAATTTCTGGTGTGGAAACTAAGGTGATTGAGATATATAGGAGGCTTGACACATACTCATGAGAAAATCAGATATGTAAAGTGTGTTTTAAGATGTGAGGATTGGGTTGGGTGGGTGCACAGTCGTTGTTTTCCGGTGCTAGAAAAATTGTGGGGTCTATGAGTCTGCAACCGAACATTTTTTAGTGACATAAACAAGTCATCTTTTTCACATACACAGGTACAGCAGACAGACAAGCATTCACAAGCTGTTGCCACTAGCTAGTAGCTATTCTCCTAGTCAAGGCACCCAAGCATATGTAGCACTAGGATACTAGCTAGAAGCCTATAGCCTTTCCCCTGTTGTTTTCATATCTATAGGTAGATGAGCAATGCTAGGGTCAGTTGCACACGCACGAGTGGGTGGCGATTACAATGCATCAACTTCTTGGAACCACCCACTTGTACGTGAACGAGTGTCCTTGGCAAAATCCATAGGTAGATATACTTGGCCAAATACTAGCTTACCGTAGCTAGGCACCCAAAAACTGTTGCAGCATGTGGCTTAGTTGGTTGCCTTATCTGTAAAAAAATTCAAGTGTGTTTAGTCTTTGCCAACAAAATGAGAAATGCTGCAAACTCAAGTAGGCTGAGGAGGTTAAGTGTTAATCAAGCATCACCTCAGTTAGTCAGTTCAAAAGCTAACAACTTCTATAATTTATAGCTGACTCGGCAAGAAGAACTGAACAACAATATAAGAAGCTCAATGAATAATTGGCTTGATACTCCATTCATCCTTGTTAACTCCTAATTAAGTCCTTGTTAACTCCTAATTAAGAGTGGTTATCACCAACTTTAATGATTTTAAAGGTTTTGGTGTTTTATAATCAATTAATTATGCGAAGAATGAAGTTAGAATATTGATCATTTCATGGGACCCTTAGTGTTAATAATGAATTTAAGATGGACAAAGAGTTAATTGATGGATTAGTAAGTTGATAATACTTATCAGGGAGCTTGTGTTGATTATAAGTGAGAAATGCAGCGGTGCAATCATTTTCTAATCTAGCTGGCTGCCAACATTTCTGGTTGTTGACAAACACCAAAAACATGCTCAGCCACACACTATTTGTTGAACATCTTATCACACAGCTGAAATGACTCTGCATTTTCTTCTCCTATTTCAAATGACATGTCATGCTTGTGTTGATTTGAGATACATGTAATTTGTACTAAGTAAATCAGCACCAAAATTCATAGGTGTCATTTTTAGATTAGTCGTATTAAACCTAAATACGGAGAAAAACTTCCATGTGCCAGTGCATGAATTTTTCGTTCCTACCTCTCTCCTCACACGAATATGAACCATTTATTGGTTAACGTGTCATGTAAAAATCGTGATTACTTAAAGTCGTGTTATCGTGTCGTGTAAAAATCTGTCATCTGTTAAAAACCGCTTGATCATAATCAAATAATTAACACAAGTGGGACCTGGCCACAGCAAGCAAACGCTGCTAAGGGTGTGCGTTTGGAGAATAATGGACCATTTTCTCCAGCCTCCTGTTCCAAATAAATAGCAGAAAGGGATCTTCACTTGCTTAGAAGCAAAAGCATCACCTATCAATTCTATCGCATAATTGAAGTATTGATTATTGAAACAGGACCAAGTGATAAAATCCTGTCTCTGTTTTATGCCAACATGATTAAATCCTTGTCCCATTGCAACCAAAATCAAGACAAACTTCTCTTAGTTGTAGACAGAGACATCTGATCTTTGTTGCGTGCAACTTAAGGTTAATTGCAGTACAGTTGCCCCTTGTTGCCAATAATATTCAATTGGAGCTTGTGATTTTAATGCATTTTAATATCAAGAAAAAGAAAAGAGAAAAAAGAGTTTGTTTTTCTTACAACATCATGAGCACTCCTGTGAAATCATACAGGACTTGAACATGAGGTTGTTCTTAAGAATACAATATTGCATACGCTGCCTATAAATACAACACGAAGCATGACAAGAATGTACAACACAAACAAATTTTAACTTGGGTATAATACTTGAAAATTGCCTACAAGCATTTTCGAAATCACCTAAAAAGTTTACAAATACAGTGATGCCACCACAATAGAGAAAAGTCTATAAATTTTGGTTCACCCTCTTTTCGTTTAATTTCTGTAGTTCACCCTCTTTTCGTTTAATTTCTGTAGAATTTCAAAATCAAGCTTCCATTGATATCAACAATCAATTGAGCTATTTACTCTTCAAGCAAAATTTATAGCATTCTCCGCGTATAACAAAAGAATACTTCATCATTCCAAATTCAGGACTTGCATGTAAATCAATGTCCATCTTGTGAAGAAAGCTACATCTAATTGTTACCCTCAATTGGGAAGATAAGCTGCTTCCATATGAGCTTTTATACGTTAAAACGAAACAGCATGACATCTCCTTCTTGTACAATGTATTCTTTGCCCTCAGATCTCAACTGCAAACATCAAGGTAGCTTGGGTGAATCAGCTTGATCTAGAATGATATTAAAGGAAATGAGACTTTTTGCCTCTGTTTGTTCAGAAAAAAGAACTTAATAAAAAAGATCCAATTCTATATAACAGTCGTTCTGTAATCTTGATTCTTGACCAAAGGTGGGCAGCATTTATATGTGATGCTACTGGTTAACAAGACAATTATAGCTAATAACAAGGCAGCCAACTTACAACTCCTCTTTCCCTTGCTGCAGCAAGTGAACCAGCAGCAACAAAATCATCATAAGACACCTAACAATAAAAGGACAGAAGAAGTTATTATTAAATGCTTTAGTTCCAGTAACATTATTAAATACTTCAATAAATAGCTAAAATGTTTTAATAGTTATTTACAACTTATACAGAAAATATAAATTAGCACTCCATCATTTTCATTGGTTTTAGATGAATGAGTTTACGATATTAACAGGTAGACGCTGTCTTGAATATTGAACAGAACTTATATAGAACTGGGTCGTTTAAAGCTCACTTGTATTGAAGTAATTAAAATCAATTGTTTAATCCAATAAAATAGCTATTGCCAATAACATGTCAAAGTGAGTGCTCCTCCACAGAGTATCGTCAAGGCACTTTAACTGCCAAAGATGATGCAATTCATGCTCTCATGTGAGGCACGTTATCATCTATAATGGAAAAGAGACAATTTAGTGTAGTCACTGGGGTACAGTGTGCCCAAGGCATCATGAAAAGAGTATCAAATACTTTTCCAATCCTTTAACATTTATACTTTATATGTCGAGGGCTCATTTTGTTATGACCATATAGTTCTTCAACAAGATGCCTGGGGTTGCAGGGCTGAGCACAGCCAGGAATTCGGTCTCACGGAAAGTATATTGCAGATTAAATCTAGTGATGAGGAAAAATAATGGTACTTTTGTACATATGCTATGCATGTTAAAAAAACTATCATGAAATTAATAGGTATAAAAAATTTAAAAAAAGAAAATAAAAAGAAAAATTTGTAAAGAAACCTTATATTGTGAGGAACCATGCACAAAATTATGCATTTCACTGTGCAAAGAAAACCATAACCTATTTCAGGTATTGATGAGTTTTCAGTTTAAGGAAGCAGAGCTCCATTCACAATTTTAAAGTTCTAGTTGTCTTTAAAAAGAAAAATATTTATGCATATTAGGAGACCCATTTAAAGAAGAGGAAAGATACCCTTGCAAAGGTTCTCAAAGCTTTTTCAATCTTTTAAGTTTCTTTTATTTTTTCTTATTCTTAATAAACTTTATATATATATATTTTTTTACAGAAAACCCAATTAGTCAAATACACACGGAGAGGGGCAAACAAGAAAATCAAAGAATTGAATTATTTCAACCCCTAATGCAACCACTAGAAAGTTTTTCACTGTATTTTATATCAATATTTTTAAAGTGGATAAGAACCAAGACAAAAAATCCATGATTAACCGAGTTGCATTGAGCACAGTTTCCTGAATATCAGTTTTATCCCATCTTCTCATAAAAAAAAAAAATTATATCATCCCATACAAAACTAATATAACCAGTTATAAAGAGAATTAGAAGTTCTGTTTATGATGCTTACTGTCTCAGCTCGAATGAAACCTTTCTCAAAGTCAGAGTGGATGACCCCAGCAGCTTGAGGTGCAGTCATTCCTAGATCAACACAGAACAAGAATCAGAGAACAACTATCTAAGTTTACTTCTGTTTGGACCTAAATTCTTCTCACCTACGACCATCAGCAAAACAAATTCCACATAAACAAGTTCCCAATTATGATATAAAGAACAGCATAGCCTATGTTAGCACTTGCTTGAAGCATTTCAAGGTCCACTCAGAGGTATTTTACCATCTCGGTAGTATAATACACAATTTACATTCAGCATAACCAAAGCTCACCTGCAAGTATGGTCCATGCTTTTGTTTCCTGTGTACAACATAGGAACAATCTTTTAAAACAAATGGAATATATATGTACACACACATATACAACATCCAAAAGAGTTCACAAACTCATCCTTCTCACCTTCTCTCCAGACGTAAAGTAAGTACGGAGCCCCAAGACGCCATATGTTGCTCTGATAAGGTTCCCAAGACCACTTTCACTAACACCAAGAGATTCCAAAAATTCTGTTCTTTCTTCATATGGTAGTTCCGTAAGCTCAGACTCGACCTGCAGGTGCAAACTTCCATAATTAAGGCAAACAAAAACAGTAGGAACACAAATCTGCTAGTCTCGAACAAGGTAGCATTAATCCCCATCAAACATTACAAGCAGAGAGGCAGGCACAAGCTGTGAAAATTGTCTCAATTTCAAACTATAATTAATACTTCTGTTCTGATGTATCCCCAAACCTGTGCTGAAATTGTCACTACTCCAGATTGCAACTCAGGAGCAATATTCATCACTTCTTTGACGTGAGGATTATGTCTAGGTTCAGCTAGATCAGATTCTGCAACATTAGCAACATATATAACCGGTTTCATTGTAAGCAAGCAAAGATGCTTTACAGCATCCTTTTCCAAATCTGTTAAAGCGACTGATCTTGCTGGTTTCCCATCCAATAGTGCATGCTGAATTTTTTCTAAGGAAGACCTTTCTGCTTCCTCCTGAAATCAAAAGACTTTGTGTGTATCATTTTATACTTAATGAAGGAGAAAAAAATTGAAGGGAAAGAGTGAGATGTTAGCACATACTTATGCACTGTACAGTAAGAGAGCAGTGGATGGTACCATACCTTAACTTTGGTTTGTGAGTCTTTTGCCTTTCCTTTTTTGAGCTTCTCCACTCTCTTCTCAATCTGCACTTCTTGTGAATAATACAATTTAGTTCAATCAGCTCATTCCATCCTACCAAGCTGCTATTATATCTTAAAAACAAATATACAGATATAGAAAAGAAAAAAAAGAAAAAAAAAAAAAAAAAAAAAAAAAGAGAGAGAGATTATAGATTTTAGGACAAGGAAGTGTAGCTACAAGCAAAAAAGTGCACATAAAAAAAAAAATTAGGTACATCATCAACTTTGAACCATAAAATGGCTGCGCATTTGAAAAGTATAGTTTGCATAAAACATATATATCTGTAGAGGGTCGTCTTATCTGTACAGCTAGGATAAGGCACTGTGATAGTTCACCACCTAAACCACTTCTCATAAATTTTCAATTGACAACCTCATGAATCAATTACCAGGCCTGGTGGCCATTATGTAAGTCAAATTTCAAATCAATTGGATTGAAAAATATACTACCTATTTCAAAGCAGAATAAAGCTAAAAGACCAACTAATTATCATAAAAGCAAAGAATCCAGAAAGTTCTCAGTCAGGATGTGGGATCAATCCACACCTCCAAAGCAGACAATGAATCAGGATCCACAACAGCACAAAAACTAGGTAAATTTTTTTTTTGAAGAGAAGAAGAAAAAAATAGGTAAATGAGCTCCAGGTTGTGACAGAAAGATGGTAAGTGAGTAGTAGAACAATGTTAATTAGCAAACCTGGTCCAGATCTGAGAAAATGAGCTCTAAGTTGATGACATCAATATCAGCCTTAGGATCAACTTTCCCATTCACATGAACAACATCATTATCTTCAAAACAGCGAACAACCTGAAACAACAATCAACAGGCCAATAATATGTAGATCTAAAGAAGTAATGATAAAAAGCACTATGTATACTTAATAAACAGATATGAAGGATTTTCATAATTTGCTTCTTCTCTCCACTCTAAATTCAGACTATAAAAGATTTTACATTCCAATGGTCCATTTTAACAAAAAAATTGTTATCTTAAATTCATATGACATTTTCTTTTATAAAAGCAGTATCCATCGCACTGGAAAAGGAGAGTCCTCAAACACTTATCTAGAGACCTCATAATGCACTGTCCAACTGACACAAGGCATATGATGATCAATATTATTAATTAAACATAGAGGTGAAGCTGTGCTCCAAACTCCAATAAAAAGAACGCAAAACCTCTAAACAATAGCATCTTTAGTCAAGCTTAGTTAAATGTTTTTCATTATGTGCAAAGAGCATTTTATTAAAATAAACAAATTTTGCAGTACCACAGAGAAGCCTGATCAGTCAAGCAGATAAAAACAATAATAAAAAGGAAAACTAACGAATAAGCAAGCTTCCACAAAAAATAAAATACAAATACACAAAAGATTTAACTGTTGCTTGTGATTATGCAGTCAGGTTCAGGTCCCAACTTAGTTTTCTTTCTCATCCTAACCAAATAAGATTCTAGCTCGCACTAAAATGCACCAGCATGTCACATGTTCACAAACTTTCTATTGTCATCTGCCATGAGTTTAAGAAATCAGTGCAAAATGGTCCCTTCTCAACGAGCAACTAACCTACCTCTCTCTCTCTCTCTCTCTCACACACACACACACACACACAAATATTAAGTAACATAACAAAAGAATCCATTAAAGAAAACAGGATTTATCCATTAAGGAAAACAGGATTTTGAGTAACGAGAAAAAGATGGTAATCACACATGAACACAAGCATAAATTAATGGATAGAAACCTGAAGTATGGAGTCCACTTCGCGAATATTTGATAAAAATTTATTCCCTAACCCCTGAAAGTAATGAAAATAAGAAAATTTCAGCTGAGGCATTCTAACATATTTGCATCAGAACTTAAAAATGAAAACGGTAAAAGAATAAATAATTAACCAGGCAATGTTACCTCCCCTTGACTGGCACCCTTGACAAGGCCAGCAATATCTACAAGTTCTATAGATGCTGGGACTGCTCGCTGAGATTTGCTGAGATCAGAAAGTACATTGAGACGTGGATCTGGAACTGCGACAATTCCTACATTTGGCTCTATTGTGCAAAATGGAAAATTGGCAGCTTGAGCCTTACCATTCTCAACCTACACTCGCAAAATCTTTTTAATATAAAAACTATGTATTACTTATAACAGTATAGGTGGTAGAAATCCAGATTCACAATATAACAACCATTATGGGTATATAGCTACTGGTGCAAAGTATGCTGTCACAAAATAAAAATATGATCTTTTTGTATTAAAATCAGAATGTGCACTTAAGATAAGCTGAGTGTTCCTTCAACATAATTCATGCAGTTCACTACAATTCTACATGATGCATCAGTCCAGTTCCTGATAATCCTTCCAGTGCAATCCCCAATTTGAGTTGCAAGTGAAAAAGACAGATAAGTAAGCACAAAGAAACAGATAAACATATCAAATTCAAATGGAAATATCAGTATCCTTGCTTGTATTATTTAAGCAACCAAACAGAGAGACAAAGGGTTTGTAGGACATACAACGGCATTGAAAAGAGTGGACTTGCCGACATTAGGGAGGCCAACGATGCCGGCTTTGAGGCTCATGCTTATCTTGGATGAGGACGCAGCAGAGAAGCGCCGCCCTCTGCTTAAACCAGTCCTTATGACTCCCAGCAACTGATAATGGTTCCTCTGCCTCACTGGAACAAGGAGAGATGGAAGTAGCTGACTGCATAATGTTATACGAGCCATTGGAGCTTCGAAAGAACCACAGAACCAGGAGATAGAGAGAGCAAAGTTTAGTTCAATTTATCTGTTTGCTGGGAAATGTGTGTATACATATTAAGAGGGAAATTGATATTTTTTTTATCTCTTCTTTTTGCCATATAGGAACCCTATTATTTTTTTTTGGGTGGGGGGGGGGGGGGGGGGGGGGGGGTGAGGGGTCGAATTCCTATTATTTTGCCCTTACAAAAATTGGGTTTTAGATGTATGCCAAAAAAAAAAAAAAAAATTCTATTTAAACCTCACACTTCTCTTTGTTCACTCTAATATTTAAATCATTAAGCTGTAACAGTATTCTTTAAATACATTATCTTACTTTTTATGTACAAATCATAACAATTTAAGTCACAATAGTGCACATGAATATCCAAACAAGAGGATGTTATATTTGTTATTAGTTTTCAAAATCAAATTCCTTTACTTCCAAACTCTTCCTATTCCATTCATTTTTATTCTAATCAACATTGCTCTTTATTTTATTATATTTCAATGTTCATTACAATACCTAAACATACAATAATTCCAATTATGGGTGTCCTTGTGATGATACATGTCTCACCTCATCTCTACTTTAGTCCATATAAATTAAGAATGCTACAAATCCAATCAATGAAAAAGAAAAGGAAAAGGAAGAAAAAGAGACAGATAGATAGATGCATCTCCTTTTCAACCCTGCCTTTTTCTATTTGCATACAAAGCAAGCCACCACCATCACCCTCCCATAATTGTGGGCATACAACAAAACCCAAAAAACAAAAGAAAAGAAAAATAGCATTTCCACTACCACTCTCTGCCTTTTTTTTTGTCTTTTAAGAGCACTTCCAGCGGATAGCCCAACCTTGGTAAAAGGCTGCCCATACTAAGAAATGCAATTCCAGCTGTACAAAACAGGCCAGGTAAGGTGTGGGCTCCACCAAGCCCTGACAAGCCCGAAGGCAAGAACAACTCGAACTGTTGTTTGAGGACTGTGATGTCAGCAACGAATTTTTTTTAAAAAAATTAAAAAATAAAAAAAAATCAGAAATTTCAGATTTGTAAACAATTATAAATACCTAGCCATATTCTTTACTTCTCGCATCAAAACTATATATAAATTCCTCTCCTCATATCTCATGTGAATAGTAGTTGCTCTTGGATTTCCATGTCCATGGGTGGAATACCAATAAAAAAATTGCTATGTCAGACAGACACTATTCATATGAAATAATAACAATATTTGCCATCCCTTGTCTTTTGCCACGACAAATGAGTGAAAATGCTTTAACACTTTCAACAACGAGTTTTTTTTAAACAATAACCATTCTCAGAAATATATAAATATATCGTCACCTCACCGTCCTCTCTTTATTTTATCAGTCTATCGATCCAATTCCAGTTAATAATAAATAAATAAAACTTATTTAAAAAAAAAACTCAATCTTTATCCCTACCTAGGGCTATCTCGTCTCACAAATCCAACCCAGAAAAAAGAAGGCTTTGCCAAAGCCATGAATACCTGTAGCCAACCCACTGTACAGATCTTCTCACCAGCTTTTCTGTTACCATCTTAGCAGAAACCTTGCACAAATTTCAGCTTAAAGGGTTTTTGCTTCTCTTTTTTTAGATGCAAATTTTGCTTCGGAGATTCAGTTACTGATTATTGTGAGGGTTTTAGTTTACTGGGTTCAGTTCTGTTTTCGTGTTCTTTGATTAGATTTAAATATACAGTGGAGATATAGAAGAGTGTAGGATATGGAAGGGTTTGAGAGTAGGGGTAGTATTCAAGAGGCTACCTGCTCCGTCCCTCAAGATCTCAACCAATTGCAACTTAATACCTCAGGTTCGCTTCTCGTAGCTTTCTGAGATTCTTCTTTTATTATTATTTTTTCCTGCTTTGATTTGCGTTTGTGGGTTGTAGTCTGTTTTATAGATCTGGGTTCTGTTTAGCTGCTGAGAAAACTGACAATAGAAGTGAGAAATTTTAAACCGTGAATTGGTTATTGGAATTTGCTACTGATTTCTATAAGCCAAAAAGAATAGTGTGGATTGTTGAATTCGAAGGGTTTTCGGCCACCCTCTGTGGTGTTGTTCACTTTGGTGTTTGGACTCTTTTTGATGCGTTGTTGTTTAATTGTAGCTATAAACTAATTTGTTTTTCATATTAAGCTTTGAATAAGTTTTGGACGGTGCTCACCTATATTTTGTTGCAGTCAATACTTGAAAGTATAAATATGATTTCAGTAATGTCTTTCAGATGAAAAGAATGTTAGTAAGACTCAGAGTCAATCTGAGGTCTCCATACTTCATAATAGTTCCTTAAAAATAAGAAATCCCCAACTTAATCAATTATGTAGTTAATTGCATACAAGTTTCAATTCTATGTGTAAATGTGTTTTACGCAGCAATATATTTTTCATGAGTTGTTTGGCTTGTTGAATATATAGTTGCATGGTGCTTTATTGGAAAGGTGATTTTTTTTCTTCCTCCACGATGCAATTATTTGGAGCATCATTTAATTCTTCGTTTGACTTTGAGTTCTTCCTTTGTGCAGGAAATGCGGTATTTGATGCATCACAATATGCATTTTTTGGTAAAGATTCTGTTGAGGAAGTTGAGTTGGGAGGTTTAGATGAAGAGGAGGCTCCAGTTGGGTTTGATGAGGAAGAGTTTCTATATGATAGAGAACAGGTTAAACCTTTTTCTTCGCTGATTTTTATGACAATCGCTTCGGAACAACTTTTTTATTATTTTTGGGAAGTGAATGTCTTTATTTAGTATTTGGAAGTTATATGGACTTGATGTCATGAAATCATATTTCTTTTTTTGTGACTTTTTTCAAAATTTTAGGAATTTCTTCTGCTTCAAAATTGCATGATAGAGTCTTAGACCTTTTAAGTCACAACAGTATTTCTTGGGAGATTTATGAAAGATTTCATTGTTATTCAATTAAATTGGGTTATGCATTTTGATTAATAAACTCATTTAGGTTTTTTTGGGTGTGGATTTATTGCTTCCTTTGCATGCTGTTACTTATATATGTTTGATGTTATAAACTCATAAAAAGATTTAGAAGTATGGCTGTCTTCGTTTCTGTACTTTCAAGAAGTGTTGCTTCTGTCATCATGTTTCTGCTGAGAGATGAATACCCTTGTTTGTTGCCTTACTGGCCTCTGCTTATTCTTCCTTTCTGGCCTACTACTCCATTTATTCCTTGCTGGAAATTTGATTAGATAAGCTTTTCTGTGAATTTTTATAGTTGTGTAGATTTTCATTGTTTTTTGCAGGAGATTTAGGAGTTTCCTTTGTTTGTGGAATAAATGACAAAAAGAAAGAAACTCTTCTCTTCCTAAATTTTCACTGTAGTAGTTGTTCAATGGCAGGAAGGGGGTGGGTGTAAATTTTGATATTGATTGATAATGCCCGAGTGCAAGAAATTCCAATTGGTTGAACTGACTGTTGTTTTCTTATTGGCAGGGTGACGTATCTCTATCTGATATTGATGATCTGTCTTTAACCTTTGAAAAGGTTAGTTTACTACAGATTTGATGATACAGGTGGTCAAAGTGCATGATTTTGTTTAATATTCTGGATTAACATGAAGCATCTTCTGAATTAGTTATGATGTTTTGTGTTCAATTTTCTTTTTCACAATGAGTGAGGAATTCCAAGATTGCAAATTTTCTAATGATATGCATGGAATACAATTAAGTATATGTAAAATAATGGCCTTAATGTGAGCTGCGTACTTTTGGAACCAAGATGAATGTGGGGAAAACAGTGTTTAGTGTCTCCTAGATTCCTGTATTTTATTTCAACGAGTCTTATATTTCTCCTAATTTCTTTTATAAAAAACATGCTGTCAACTCGGTTATTGGTAAAATAGGGATTTGAATTATTTCATCGTTTTTGAATTTGTGTATGTTAAGATATGACATGAAGTGTGGTGTTTCCCTCCAAGCCACCAAGATATGACGTGAAGTGTGGTATACATATTCTTAGACTTTGGACGGCGGTGGCCATGGCTGTGGTAGTGTCATTGCCCTAGGTTTTTTCATGGAGGGATAGACTACAGGTTTTGTTTTTAGTTTTTTGGTTTTTTTATTTGGGGTATTTAAAGGTGGGTTGGGTGAGTAGTTTGGAGCGTTGCAATGGCAACATCCTTATTGGTGGTGGCCAGAGTATAGACCAACTGATAAAGAAAAATGAATCTTAGGTGATTGAAGGATCTCATAACATATACTTGAGGGGACAATGCTGTAATGTCTCTACTGCCCTCCTCAAGCAGAAGAGAAGATACTAGGCCTTAGGTTTAAGTCTTACCAATAGTATATGGCTTAATTGCTCCTGTTATTTGATCCATTCACTTCATCATTTTTGTAGTTTTGCATTATTGTGACACATTTTTGGTTAAGAAAAGGTTAAATTATTGGCCGATTCTTTGGGCTGTATAGTGGGATTTTGGCAAATTTACATTTGGGTCTCCCATTGGGGATAATCCAAGAGCCACTCGTATTTGGCAACTGTTTGTAAAGAAGGTGGCCTTGAAGATTCCCATGTTGGAAGAGGGGCCGAGTATTGGTAACTTAGTGATAAAAAAAAAGAGTTTTGTTAGGGCAGTGGCTTTGGAGATTCTCACCCTGGAAGAAGAGGCTTATGGCACTTGGTGATGAAAATTAGTTCAGAGCTTTAGCAGAAGTCTGTCAAAGCATGTTTCTCAAGGGGTCAAATCTTTTTCAAGTTGCTGCAATCTGTGGGAACTCTGTTTCCTATGTTGTATTGTTACCAAGGTATCACAATGTTTTTATCTCAAGGCTGGTGGTTCTTACATTTACGGAATATCGGGTTTGGAAGGAATTTGAATGAGCAGGAAGTGGGATAGCTGTCAGCTTTGTTGCTGATCCTGGAAAGGGTGCATTTGTGTCTCCACACAGGGCTGATATAAGAAAATGAGCTATGATGTTCAGATAAGTTATCATGCAAATCTTTTGGCAAGTACTTGAGTGATAATGTAGATGCTATCTCCTTTCGGCAGATTTGGAAGTAAAAGGTTTCACTTAAAGTGAAGGTTTTTTCTGGGATTGTGGCACATCGGAAGGTCAATACATGTGATATTTTAAAGAAGGCCTAGAATGGACCTACCTTCACATTGGTGCATCTTGTGCAAAAGGGGGTGAGAAGGTGTTGCACATGCCTTCCTTTCTGTCATGTTGCATGATATTTGTGGCATAGAGTATTCTTAGAGGTGAGGCCGAGCTGGGTAGTCCCCAGAGGATTTTTGGTATACATTATGAACAACAGGAAGTGTTAGGGAGAGGGAAGAAATCAAAAGGCTTATGTGCGTAGCAGTTTTTGAGGCATCATGGTTGGAGAGATGTTTCTGAAGATATAAAGGGCCCTGCTGGGGAGAACTTTGGGAGACAATTTGGTTTTGGGCTTCTCTATGGGCATGATCAGTTACAGATGAATGTAGGGACCCTTCCTGTCGTGCTATTTATATAGACGGGAAGGTAGCTGTGTGTTCATTATAAGTTAGGTTGAACGTGATTATCTTTGGCTTCCTGTGCTGTAGAGAAGTTCATGTGTAGGGTTGGACTTTAAGTCGACTGCAGTGTTCATTTTTTCTTCTACATAATAAAAGTGTGTTTCTTCTCGAAAAAATCGAATGACTCTGTCTTGTATTTGTTCTCAATCTTTCTACGCTTGTGATTGAATACCCTGTATATGATTTAAAGATTTTTTTTTGGGGGTAATGTTGAAGTCATTAATTTTCATAATCTAATATTTCATTTTGTTCCTTAATGCCTATAAGTTAAGTTAACTTGATTGTGGACTATATACTAGTAATTGGGATTGATAGTTTCATGACGAGAAGTGAAAGGAACATAGTTCTAATTATCCCTCAGTCTTCTGATAATGGAGCCTGTTTGTTTGGAGCTTGTCAGGAGTTCATGATCCAATAAAATGTGAATGAAAAAGTACTGCCGCTGATGGACCTGGATATATCTTTTTGTAGTGCAGCATTCCTCTTCTTGAGACCTGTTTCAGCATCATTAGGCATATCCTTTCTGAGTTGTCTTATGTTTAGGACACAATTCATTGCATAGTGTTAATCATAGGAGCTGCACTGTGATTTGGACATCCTGGTAACTGTGAATAATTGTTTCCCCTGAACATCTGTTGTTGCTGTCATATTTATGGGTTGAGAGCTTAAATTGTGCATCGTAACAAGTGTGGAAGAATGATATCTTAGTTTCAAATCGGCAACACATAAGCCTTTTGTTACAGTTTTTAACTTTATCATTCGGTCTTTATATATTTCTGTTCTTAAAAGATATTTTTTAAATTCTAGATGTCTGTATTATTATTTCTCTTTTACATCTTAGTGATTTGTCTATGGTGGTTTTTGGGGTTTGGTATGATTATTCTTATTGGAGCACTATCAAGTCAAATAACCTACAGTTGGATATATATATATAGAGGCTAATTGGGTTTTAGTTATAGACTTGTACCCTGAGGCTTAGGTCTAGTTAATATAGTTGTTATCTGTCTGGAATTGTTTATATAAAGAACTAATTTTGGTTACTGGTGTCAAATACCAAATGTCTCCTATTGTTTTTGTGCTCTAAGTCACATATTTTTTTTCTTCTGTTGCAGTTAAACAAAGATGTTAGTGGAACAAGGCGTGCTGGAGTAATTGGTGATAGAGGATCCAGAGAAAGTGAGTGAAAATGTTGCATATCTCTTTTTGCTGCTATGTTGCTGTAACCCTGCCTCAAAACTGGTCCTGTACAGGCTCAATTCCTTTCAGTTGATTGCAAAGCCTTCATTTTTTTTAATCATCCGCATTTATTCTTATTTAATGGTTGCTGCTGAAATCTAGTAAAGTAAGTTATAGAAGTAGCTAGGATATTCAAGTAAGTTCCTGTTAGGTTGGATCTATGCTATGTTATGACGTGAAACCTAGAGTGAAAATATTTACTTTTGACCGTTTGGTTTTGACATGTTTATCATTCTATCCTGTTGAAAAGTTATAGTGTATTTTAGCATCGATGAAAATTGAACTAGAGGTATGCCGTGTTTAGAATGAGTTGAAGTCCAATATCGATGAATGTTCAGTTTATTGTTTCTGTTACAAGATATCAGTAGTAACTATACCATTCTTGCAATTCATCATGAAAATTTCGTAAAAGTGAAGGCATTGCTGTGTCTTTGAGGACTTCGTATTGAATATATTGTATGTTGATGTTTATAAACTTTCTAATTAGGACATGTTTCTTTCAGGTTCATCTGCTGCTGAATGGGCACAGGAACATTTCCCTAACTGGATTGATGAAGATATATTGGATGCTGAAAGCCTTCAGGATGGGAAACGATGGTCTTCACAACCGTTTTCTTCTTCTGCACGTCCCACAGAATCATTGCCTTTGTACAGAACTTCTTCATATCCTGAGCCCCAACAACAGCAGCAGCAGCAGCATCATCATCATCAACATTTTTCCAGTGAACCAGTTCTGGTGCCAAAATCTGGTTTCACTTCATATCCTCCCCCAGGTGGCATCTCTCAGCAGGCTTCGCCAAACCGCCAATCAAGCCACCTGAACCCATATCTTGCTGGTGGACCCCCGGGGGGATTATCTTCACCAAACCACTCTCCTTACTCTAACTCTCAACTTCAAATGACTGGATTACCTCATGGATCACATTTTGGTGGAAATTTGCCTCAGCTTACTTCTGGTATCTCCGCTAATAGCCGACCCCTAAAACAATGGGCCAACCAAAGTGGCGCATATGGAGATCATCCCAGTCTTTTAAACAATTTATTGCAACAACAGTTATCTCATCAGAATGGCTTAATGCCTCCACAATTGATGCATCAGCCACAGCCACAGCCACAACCTCCTAGACTGCACCATCCAGTTCAGCCATCATTTAACCAGTTGTCAGTGATGCAGTCTCAACTATTTAACCCCCATCTTTCTCCATCCCCGCCCTTGATGAACAAGTTTGAAGCAATGCTCGGTATGGGTGATCCTCGAGATCAAAGGCCAAAATCTGCTCAGAAAGTTAGACTAAATATGCGTTTTTCTCAATATGGCTTTGATGCAAGTAGCCATAGGAGTGATGGTGGGTGGCCACAATTTAGGTCCAAGTATATGACAGCTGATGAAATTGAGGGTATACTCCGAATGCAGCTAGCTGCTACACACAGCAATGACCCATATGTGGATGATTATTACCACCAGTATTGCCTTGCAAGAAAATCTGCTGGGGCAAAGTTGAAACATCATTTCTGCCCAACTAACTTAAGGGATCTTCCTCCTCGAGCACGAGCTAATACTGAGCCACATGCTTTTCTCCAGGTAGATGCTCTTGGGAGGGTTCCCTTCTCTTCAATACGTAGGCCTCGTCCTCTTCTTGAAGTTGAGCCTCCAAATTCATCCAGTCCTGGCAACACTGAACAAAAGGTTTCTGAGAAGCCACTAGAGCAGGAGCCAATGCTTGCTGCTAGAGTTGCAATTGAGGATGGGCTATGTCTTCTCCTAGATGTGGATGACATTGATCGTTTTCTACAGTTCAATCAACTCCAAGATGGTGGAATCCAGTTGAAGCGTAGGCGGCAGGCCTTGTTGGAAGGGCTTGCAACATCTCTTCAATTGGTTGACCCACTTGGCAACAATGGCCACACGGTTGGGCCTGTCCCTAAGGATGATCTTGTATTCCTAAGGTTAGTTTCTCTTCCCAAGGGCCGAAAGCTCCTAGCAAAGTACCTGCAGCTTCTTTTTCCAGGTGGTGAGCTCATGCGAATAGTCTGTATGGCCATCTTTCGTCATCTAAGGTTCCTGTTTGGTACCCTCCCTTCTGATTCACGGACTCCAGAAATTTCAAATATTCTTGCAAGGGTTGTTTCATCATGTGTTCGAGGTATGGACCTTGGTGCACTTAGTGCCTGTCTTGCAGCAGTGGTTTGTTCCTCGGAGCAACCCCCGCTTCGCCCCCTTGGAAGCCCTGCAGGAGATGGGGCCTCCCTTATTCTCAATTCAGTTCTTGAGAGGGCAACTGAACTCTTAACTGATCCTCATGCTGCAAGCAACTACAACGTGACCAATCGGGCACTTTGGCAGGCATCCTTTGATGAATTCTTTGGCCTTCTGACAAAGTATTGTGTAAATAAATATGATAGTATAATGCAGTCACGGCTAATGGAGGCCCCTCCAAATGTGCCTGTTATTGGCGCAGATACAGCCATATCTTTTAGTCGTGAAATGCCAGTTGAGCTGTTGCGTGCAAGCCTTCCTCACACTGATGAGCACCAGAGACAGATGTTGTTGGATTTCACACAGCGGTCTATGCCCATAGGAGCATCTAACAGTCGTGATGGAGGAAATGGTACTCACATGAATTCTGAGTCTGTGCTGAGTTGATGCTAAACCATGTGAAGATGTGAGAAACAGAGTTTAGAGAAGAAAAAGGGATTTGAGAAGGCATTCTGTTGGATTGCGAAATTGTTGGGTTCTTTTCTACTTGTGCTTTTACTTATGAGTGAATGCAACATCTTAAGCGAATAAAGTGGGTGTTAAAGGGCATATATATGATTCGGGTAAGTTTAGTAGTTTAGGTTTATATGTTTTTACTTAATTTCATGTTTCTCTGGAAAAAAAACTTGTAAGCAAGCCTCTCTTTGTATTCAAATCGCATGGTACAGGTTTCCTTTTTATATATATTTTAGGAGGGGGTGGGTGAAGTAGATAGTGTTCCTCGACTTAGGAGCTTATTTTGATGCTCTGTTGTGGAATTCTGAGAATAGAGATGTAGGAGGGCATATTTTGATGCTCTGTTGTGGAATCCTTAAAATAGAGATGTAGGTGGGAGGTATGGTGTGTACAGTGTTCAGTGCAGTTGATTTCCCACGTTCTTGTAAAAAGAGGGTGACCCAGTGCACGGGGCTCTTACTGATGCAAGGTTTGGGGAGGCAAGACAGTAACACAGCCATTTACAGAGATTGCTTTTGCGACTTGAACCCGCAATTATTAGGTTTGGGGCTAGTTTACCATTGAGAAGCGCTGCTCTCACTTCTCGCATTCATTTACCGTTTTTAATATTGGAGAATGTTGGATGGAGGTCTTTGTTTTTGTTATGTTCCTTTGTTCTACAGTAATTGCAACAGGCCATGCACATAAAGGTTATAGTCTTCTAGACATGTAGTGTGTTCATTCTGTGAAGGTTGGATTTTGAGCTAAGAAAATAGTATGCTCCATTTGGTTGGTGCAGTCTTTAGAGGCCCCCTTTGTTTCTCATTTTGTTCCAAGTCTATTGCTATAGTTCTCATATCTCTACTTATTAAACTGTGGGTGGACTGATTTTGAGATGGAATGGAGTAGTGTTGATTTGTTAGATGTTATATTTGCATTCATCTATTGTGGTCGTGTAATTGTTTTAAAGGATGGGTACATTACATGATTATTGTAATAAACAATGCCCCAAACTGCCTACTTGAAAACCAAAAAGCTGCTCCATCTACAAAATTAAATTTGTGTAATCCTCGTTTATAGCCCTTGGAAAATGAACCTACATTAATAGTTAATAAAATACGGAATGGGAAAGTTAGGTCACTGTGTAATATTTTAATATAATTTATTAAATATTTAAATATATTATTTTTGTTTAATAATATGTAAAAAATAAGGGTATAATATGTGAATTTTGTTTGTATTATTTAAAAATGTGTAAAAAATGTGTACTAAATGTGAAAAATATGTATATATGTGTATAATATATGTATTGTATGTTTGTTTTTTAAAAGAGTGTATTTTATTGAGTATTTATGGAAAATAAAATTATTATTAAAAATATGTACATACATGTATAATATGAGTATTAAACGGAAAAATGCTAACTAGGTGTTATAGTATGTGTTTTATATACTAATATTACACCCTAAATTATGAATGCGTTGTCCACGCATATATATAGTATGTGTTTTATGTACTAGTACTACACCCTAAAATATGAACACGTTATATCACATGAATTAGTAACACCTGGTGGGTGACTGTTACACCTAATTATTTTTTTGGAAGGGTTTGAATTTTCTGAAGGGTTTGATGTTTCGTTCCGGAGAAACTTGGCTCTCCTCGTACAATTATGATTAAATCTATTCAAGTAGTTTAATGTTGGTGATGTAGAAAAATGACATGTATTGTTGACCTGATATCAATGTGGCATGGACAAGACTGCAGAGACAAACTTGACCAGTTTAGATGCTTGGGTTTTTCATGGTCAAGATGCTTCAGTCTTGGAATTTTGAGGGTGTTTGGTGTTCCATCATTTTCACCCTGCATGTAACATCAAGGCTAAAAATAAAAAAGGCCGGACGTTCTTTTCCTAAATGTTCTTGTCACTAGTTCACCCAAGAGTTAGTGCCAAAGCGATGGATTAAATTATGCATCTTTCTTGAGTTTTTGATGCCCTGTGCTCGTGTCAAACAAAGGCCTCAGCCAAGAACAAGTTGTGCTAATGACCTAACTTGTAGATCCTGCAAAGAATACGATCCCAACCCATCCTTCTTTTTCCCCTTTTCTTCTTTTGGGTATTTGAAGCACTCAAACACAGAGTATTAAACACAACACTCAGAATCTACACCAAACATTGAAAATAAAATACCAAAAGGTCAAAAGAAAAAGAAGAAAAAGAAAAAGAAAAAACAGTGCATTTATAAGCACCATGTGCAAGTTCATACGAAATGGAAAGAAAACAATAAATTACACAAAACAAGGTCTATGTGACATGCTATATATATAAATTTCTTTATGTAAAATAATAATAGAATGGCCCATGCTTCCAAGAAACATGAAAATAATTCGAGGAAAATAATAGTCCATGCTATGTTCAATATATTGGGGATCTCATTATTTATTTTTAATACCTCAGCCACCAATCTTGGCTATATGTAATTAACCACAAGGTGATGTGCCGACTTTAAAACAGATAAAGGGGGCATCACGTTGTCTCGGTGGTCAAATTTAAGCCGACACTCAAGCCGTAAAAAAAGAAGAGCAATTAAGCCAACAAAGTGTGCACCAATTAATTATTTAATTATGTAATTAATCTCCACCCAAATTATTCAACTTTGGACCAAAACTCAAATTTGTATTCTTTCCATGTGTTAAGACGTATCTAAAGCACTTTGGTGAGAAAAACTTAGTTGTTTTTTCCGGCCAATAATGCTATGCGACGTGTAATAGTATTATTGGCGGTGATAGTCCCGTTTCATGTAAGTCTTTTGGTACTTTGGCACCAAATAAACAAAGCTTTTGGTATTTAATGCCTCTCCCAGTTTACACTCTGTTCTAATCACAAAAACAGAGTGAGAGAGAGGGCAAGCTACTCTTTTCAGAGAGTGAAGAGAGAGAGAGAGAGCATTGGCCGTTTCTTGCAAATGGGTTCATCAGAATTCTCTCTGTTTCAACAATCACCTAAAAAAAGATCAGTTTTTCACAAGGCCCCTTCTCTAATTGCAGATGGGTTTCTTTTTGTTGGAGGTGCATCAATGGCGTTGTCTCTGGTTTGGGCTCTGCTCACCTTCATCAACCCCAGCACCAGCATCGACAACATCATCACCTGGAGCACGGGTGGTTGCGGCCCGGACTTGGGCTCCGACCCGTCTGAGCCCACATTCTACGACGACCCGAATCTCAGCTACGCATTCGGGGAAGAACCAATGAAGGATTGGGATTTGAAGCGCAGAGAATGGCTCAAGCTTCACCCTTCTTTTGCTGCAAGTGAAGAAAAAGTTCTTCTTGTAACTGGGTCTCAGCCAAACGTGTGCAAAAACCCAGTTGGTGATCATTTGCAGCTGAGGCTGTTCAAGAACAAAGTTGATTACTGTAGAATTCATGGGCATGAGATATTTTACAACAATGTTTTGCTGAACCAGAAAGGGACTGGCTTTTGGGCCAAATACCCACTTCTCAGAGCTTCCATGTTGGCTCATCCTGAGGCCGAGTGGATCTGGTGGGTCGACTCGGATGCAGTTGTCACAGACATGGAGTTCAAGCTGCCATTAGAGAGGTACAAAGATCATAACTTGGTTGTGCATGGATGGTGGAATATGCTGTATGAGGAGAAGAGCTGGACAAGTCTCAATGCTGGTGTGTTGTTGATCAGGAACTGCCAGTGGTCCATGGACTTGATGGAAAGATGGACCAGCATGGGCCCACAGAACCCAGACCATGAAAAATGGGGAAAAGCCCAAAAGTCATTGATCAAGGACAAGGCATATCCTGGGTCAGATGATCAGTCGGCTCTGATTTACCTCCTCATAAAAGAGAAGGACAGGTGGGCGGACAAGATTTACTTGGAGAGTGACTACAACTTGCATGGGTACTGGTTGGGCATAGTGGATGGGCTTGACAAGATCAGCAAAGGGTACATGGAGATTGACAGAGAGGTGGATTTGCTGAGGAGAAGGCATGCAGAGAAGATGAGCTTGTTTTATGGTGCAATGAGAGAGAAGCATATGAAAGATCGAGGCTTTTGGAAAGAGAATGTGAGGAGGCCTTTTGTGACACATTTCACTGGCTGTGAGCCTTGCAGTGGAGAGCACAACTCCATGTACACTTGGGAGGCTTGTTGGAATGGGATGCAGAAGGCTTTGAATTTTGCAGACAATCAAGTGCTTAGCAGATTTGGGTTTGTGCATCCAGACCTACTTAACTCATCTTTGGTGTCTCCCCTGCCATTTGATTTCCCTGCTTGATTTTGTGATTTGATTGTTCAGTTTGTTTGTTGTCCTGCAATTTGTACTCTCGGGTTTTCAGTAGAAAGTGTAAATATGGAAGAAGAAGAGCCTATTTGTGAGTCTGGCTGCATTTAAGATGCTCCTGGATTATGTTGAAAAGTTGGGTTCTTGTCAAATTTTTACATTAAAAGACACGAGACAGCTCATGAAATTTAAGCTCATATTGCTTGTCTTCTTCATTTCAGCCATACTATATGCAGTAGCTACAATTTACAGAAAAAAATAAGTCTTACATGCTCTTTCTATTAACTTAATTTTTCTCCTCTTTTTCACTCTTTAAGAATGGATTTGTGAGTAAGAATGTTAAAGTGTAAATTATGGTGAATTTTTGTTGAACTTTACTCTAATCACAACAATCTAATCTCCACCAAAATGTTAAAAGTATAAATTGCAAGAAAAGTCACATAAATAAAACCCCATTTTTTTCTCGGTTTATTATTATTATTATCATTATTTTTTATACAAAGAGATAGTCTAAATTATTCTAAATTAATATAATATAATAAGAAGATTCGAACTTGAGTGCAAGCCAAGTGGCCTAATTCAAGTCTTCTTTTATCAGCTTTACTGGTCTCACCTAAGAGAAGTCTCACATGAATCTCATGCCATATTAGGGTTTAAAAGAGAAATTGTTGAAAATATAAAGAGACTGTAAAACCCATCTTCCAACCAAACTTTGACTGTACTTTTTATCCAGACTTGATAACCCATGAATGAAACATGATATTTTGAATGGCCTCAATTAGTGGAGAGCTTGCTTGACCTACCCATGCTAAAGAGTTAAAAGGCCATAAAGTTCAGGGTCCATATGAATTTCGTTGTCATGCCAGGTCTCCAAAAGGGAAGAGCGCCCCCGCCAAAGCATTTTCCAACCCAACACCAATTCCGTCGCTGAAAGCGCCTTAATTACTGAAAAAAATCATATGAAGCTCCAGCCTCAGTCAAACCCGTGACACTCAATTTCCACACATTGCCCATTTCCTATTGCCATCAGCAGGGCCCTCCGTTGTCCATTCTACTGTATACATTACCCACTAGCATTCAACCAAAGTGACAGCAACTCATCACTCCCTTCATTGCCATGCCCTCTACGAATTTGCCGGCTTATAACAAGGGCATCAAAACCCAACAATGCTTTTCATTTGGAGTGTTGGATAATGCTACAGTTAGTTGCGGCACGTGACTGGATCTGATAAGTGATGCATTGTGAGTTCAAAATGCATCAATGGTCAAGAATCATTTACGTGCGCATCAGTAATGCAGTTCAATCTTGCCAGTGCAACTTCAATTCTTCATTTATACAATGCAAACATATCAAATTTATACAACGCAAACATATCAAATTACTATTTAAAAATGTAATATTTAATGTGTGACAATTGATAGTAGGAAGTAAGGATAATGTCACAAAACCCCACATTTGCCCCAACGTTATAACATTGGGTTGTATAACATGGTTATTTTTATAATGCAATGATGTAGCGTGCATATCAAGTGCCTCATAGTTTTTGAGTGGTGATTTCCCCACTCCAATTTTATCCACTTACACTCCATTTTATAATTAAAAAAGGAGTGTAAGTAGATAAAATTAGAGTGGGGAAATCATTACCCTAGTACTTGCTTATTCGTGTTGTTCTGGTTGGGATGGGCTTGGCACCAATGAGTTAGCTGTGTAACATTAATGTAAATTCTTTACTTTGCAAGTGTATGATCGAATAAGCATGTACCCTGCAAATGTTCCATTGAAGGCATGAAGCTTGGCAATTGGTTGTTTGGTATGAGCCCTTGGTGTACAGAAATGTAAAATAGATGTACTTGTTGAGTAGGTTATTGGTGTTCACATAAATTGAGCTTCTTGCCACACAGATGAGTTGGGTTTTGTATCTTTGTACATTATTGTTCTTAAAAGTTGGTTTGAGGAGATGCCTTGGTTAGTCTGGTACCTGATTTGCAAGATATAAATTATATTTTTTAGTTGTATCTGTTGATTGGTTAGTATATTTCCTTCGAATTAAATTGCGCTTCTTTTCTGATTTTAGTTGCTCCTGTTAACTTGTGCGACAGATTTGTCAGTATACACATTACTTATCGATGGGCCATAAAATAAAAACTTGGAAGTACTTCTGGAACGGCTAAAAGCGCTTTCTGACAACTAAAAGCGCTTCTAACAACGTTTGATAGAAAAGTTTAGAAACGCTTTTTAGTCATAAAAACGCTTTCTAGAGAAGCACTTGCTATGTGCTTCTTTAGGAAGCATGCCCAAGTGTTTTTCCAAGAAGTACTTGAATGTTTTTATGAAAATTCAAGATTCTTGTTATAAAAGCGCTTTTGTTAGAAGCGCTTATGAGCAGAAGTACTTCTTAGAGAAACAGTCCCAAACGAATATTTACACTTATTTCAAATTCGGGATATCGAAAGGACACATGCAGTACCACATCTGGTGATTATGTTGTACAATATTTTTCAGTTGGACCTGATGAGTAGGTTATTGGCTTCTTGCCTCACAGTAGTGGTACCCAGTGACTTGTATTTACCTCTTTAAGTTTGGGTAAATTGAGAAAGATTTTTCATTCAAAATTCGGTTTCTGCATATTCAAGAATTAATGCTTCCAAAGTAGTACCTTCAAGCTTACACTCTCTGCTATGTGTATTTACAAGTTTAAGCTCACACATACACAAAGCTATCAGCATACCACAAAGGCACTGCTATTATTTCACAAAGACGCCCTGAAGGAGCTTTCTTGAAAATGGGTTCACCGGACTTCCCTCTACTACAAACATCATCTAGGCGCTCAGTTCTGCACAAAGCTCGTTCTTTAATTGCTGATGGGTTTCGATTTGTGGGAGGAGCATCTTTGGTTTGGGCTCTCTTGTCATCACCGGGAATACAGCTGTCGGAGGCCTTTACTTGGGCTACGACCTGGCTGAGCCTACATTCTATGATGATCAGGACCTCATCTACTCCATTGGGAAACCTGTTGAAGACTTGGATAGGAAGCGCGGAGAATGGTTGGAGGATCACCCTTCGTTTGCTGCTGGCATAGGTGATCAGATTCTTCTTGAACTGGGTCTCAGCCCTCCACGTGTAGCAACCCTGTTGGTGATAATTTGCAGCTAAAGTTTTCCAAAAACAAAGTAGACTCTTGCAGATTCAACGGCTATGCCATCTTTTACAACAATGTGTTGTTGCGTCCAAAACTGACTGGTGCCTGGGCCAAATACCCAATTCTCCGTGCTACCATGTTGGCGGATCATGAGGTGGAGTGGATCTGGTGGGTCGATTCAGATGCAATCTTCACAGACATGGAGTTCAAGCTCCTACTAGAGAGATATAAAGACCATAACCTAGTTGTGCATGGCTGGTGGCATCTGATATACAAAGAGCAAAGCTGGACATGTCTCAATGTGGGGGTGTTCCTGATACGAAACTGCCAGTGGTCCATGAACCTCATAGATGCATGAACCAGCATGGGGCCACAGAGCCCAGATTATGGAAGATGGGACCGAATCCAAAAGTCAATGTTCAAAGACAAGTTATTTCCGCAGTCAGACAATCAATTGGCTCCAATTTATCTTCTAATAGAATAGAAAGAAAAGCGGGCAGACAAGACTTATTTACAGAATGAGTACAGCCTCCATGGGTACTGGTTGGGAACAGTGGATGGTCTTGACAACATCACCAAAAGGTACATGGAGATCGATAGAGAGGTGGTAATGTTGAGGAGGAGACACGCATAGAAGGTGAGCTTGTTCTATGGAACGATCAGATAGCAAATCTGAAGAACAAGGGCTATTGGAAGGATAAACTCAGAAGGCCTTTGTCATGCACTTCACATAAACTCAGAAGGCCCTTTGTCACGCACTTCACCGGGTGTGAGCCTTGCAGTGGGGAACACAACCCTGCTTACACTTGGGAAGCTTGTTGGAAGGGGATGCAGAAGGCTTTGAACTATGCAGATAGTCAAGTTCGTAGCAGATTTGGCTTTGTGCATCCCGACCTGCTCAAATTGTCATTGGTGACCTGCCATTTGATTTCCCAGCTTCAGTGATTGTTCGTCTGTTCTGCAATTTGTACTCTTACCCAAACTTTCAAATTATTATGAGATCGAGGCAGGTTTAGTCCTATTTCATCCTCTTTCCAATATTTTCTTCCTTCATTCTTCTGTCATGATGGTGAAGACTTTCTTCTCAAAGGTTTACCAGTACAGTCCATTAGGATTAATTGGTATCTGTTTTTTTATTCACCACCTGAATTCTACATCTGTTCTTCTTTCTCCACCATCAACCCTTGATAATTTTATGGTACTTGGGTTTGTGATATGTGCACGATTCCTTTTTTTTTGGGTATACATGTGCAAGGTCTTCTGAGCCAAGATATAAACTGGGCATTGTAATTGGTAAGTTGGTAACATACCTTGTCCTCATTCTACAACCCAACTTCATTAATGGAATAGCTGTGACGATCTTATTTCTTCCTGGTTCCACTCGAATCCATGTAAGTTATGCACAGGCATCATCAATGATAGTACTGCAAGAGAGAGAAGGCACATAGCTCAGGGCTATAAAACTTCAAAGGAAATAAAGAAAACAGCACAACAATGAGAACAACTCTAAAATCGTCATATTTTGAAACTTCGAAAAATTCACAACTAATAGCACATATACTTATATGAATTTCTCAATGATTTTAAAAGAAGAATTTAATGTTCATGATCTTTTTCTATTTGCTAATTAAAAGAAGCCATAAATATGACTATAAAAATGAAGATATCTCTAATGACATTGTATCCCACTCCCACAAACACACGCATGCACTGTGTTTCTCAAAATTTTTCAAAAACATGAAGAATTACAAACCAAAATTTTATGAAACTGGATCTAATCTTTTTAATGTAAAATCGGGGAAGTTTCCAAAGAAGAAAAAAACCCAGAGATTTGATAGTAATGAAAAGTAAAATCAATATTATAAAAGTATTATCAAATACATCAACTGAGGAAAAACTATTCATTCTCTCAAATACAAAATTATAGTTTGTTGTTACCAATACCAGAGAACTCTGTATCAGCTTTAATACCAGGATCCCCATTGATCTAGTAGAAGTTTAATTGAACTAAATGAATATGTATTTTAGTGGGTTTGTGTATGTGGTTCAAAACAAGATTAAAGGTTTTCAGTTGCAATAACTCACAGATTACTGGAAAATAAAATGACAGATAAATTGCGTTTTTCAAAACCCTCTAAATTCTAGATTGTTAACATCCCAAAAGAAAAGGTAACAAAAGTGTTCAAGAGATTGTGAGCATCAACCTGCTGAGAATAATGGACACATATCTGATTTCTGAGAGCACTCATGATATACTAATTTCACTTCAAGGGCAGTGATGATGCCTATTTATTTCTTTTGCAGGAGAGGGAAAAAAAGAACTTAAGAGATTCACCACAAAAAAATCAAGGCTGAATGGTGGAGTTCCTTCTCCTACTATAGAGATATCCATCCTCTACCATCACACTTCTCCCCCTGTGTGTAGCAATGTTCCTCATCTGCTAGATGGAGGACTGAAATTTTAGGCACTAGGTCCTCTCTGCTACTCTGCTAGAGACATAAGAGTTAGTAACATATGAATTAGTGACATCTGCTTAGGTGATACGGTCAAAGCTTGCTTTACTGAAACACAAGAAATAACATGAGATACCATCAAACACAAAGCAATACATTTGAAGGGTTCAAAACACAGTCACACTTTCACCCTAGTCTGAGAAAAAAGAAATAAAGAAATATCTCTTCAAAAAATGCCTAACCCACCAACCTTCTGTGACCATCCCCACTCCCCCTACCCCTCCCCCAAAAAAAAGAAAAAAGAAAAGAAAAGAAGGAACACTGATGAAATTGAAATTTTTACGTCCTTGCACATCTCTCAGACTACTGGAGTTACAGAAGAACCTTACTTTATAAGGAAAACTTTTCATCTGTCTAACGTTGAGCATGCAAAAGTGGACATGAAAAATACCAGCAAAGCAAAAGTGTCATTGATTTTAAAAATGCTGCTTAAATTTATAGCATAAGAGGAGAGCTTACAGCAAGTTTCACTAGAATTTTTAAAACCAAAATTCATACAATCTTACACAATCTTGAGGCCTTTCTTGGATAGATTTAAGAGAGGAGACTGCAAATTGGCAGGAAACCTGAATACTCGTCCCTAGAAAGAAAGGAAGGATGCATAAACTCAAGTTTCTCTAAGTACTTGAATCTGAAAGATCAAAGGATCCACTGAAACCCCAAAATAATTTACTCACCAGCCAAAGCCAATTTTGTAAATGGTAGAGAAAGAGCTGGCTTATTTATTTATCTATTGGAAGCTCAGCTCTACATCCCATAAACCCGTCACTCTGGTCATCCCATGTCTTTGGCCAATGTGAGAGGATCTTACTGACCAGTGTCACCTAACGAACAGGCTTATTTATTGGCCCCAAGTAGCTAAGCTGCCTCCAAGGGGGAGGGAAAGATGGTGATAATTGTTGGATAAGGGACTTCGGAGTCAAAACAGATAAGTCTTACATATGGAGCATTATATATCAAAATAATAAGCACAGAACGAATCTGCCCTCAAGAAAAAAATTAGCAAATCTCAAGCAGGCAATTCCTTACAAGGATTTACGTCAAAAAATGATGAGGTCGCACTCTAACTCCACAAGAACTTCCCCAGAAAAGAACACAAGGAAAATTAACAGAATTGACATTTGATTGCACAATAAATCTTAAAAAAAAAAACTAGTCGTTTTCACAGTTCCATATCTTTTCAATCATCTGAACAATCTGAAAGAAAATTAAATCACTGAGAATGGTTACCACCCTGTTGAGAGAGTTGAACAGATGCTGCACGAACCATTTCAACCAGCATCTCATCAAGCGATTCAAGTTCGCCAGAATTGCATAGCTGGCGATATAAAGGTGCGGCATAAGTTGCTGCAACTTCGGCCAACTTCCACACAGATAAATTGGCAGCAACGTGTAGTATTTTAATGGACAACTCTCTGGAAGAACCAAGACATGATACGATTACATCTGAGCATGCTTCTTGAACATCTTGCATGAGCCAGAACTCAGAAAGCCCAAAAAGCTCTACATATGGCTGTAGCTCATGCAACTTTTCTCCAGTATCCATAATGTTCCATAAACATCCAGAGGGAGGCTTTGGCAGCTTACCGGAATAGAAGCAGTCGCCTAGTTTAACCATTGCTTCCCAACTAATAGAAACCTTTATGGTTTCTAAATGGCTGCAAGTATGAAGAAATATTTAAGGAAGAGTGATACATTGCAGCATATATGCAAAGAAGCACAGAAAGAAAAGGATCTATTATTCTTTTGCTTCAAGTGATAGAAGAACTAGCACCTAAATACATAAAATAGGTAGAAGTAAATCAAAAATAAATTTCAGTTCAGATGTGAAACTAATTATAAATAATCAAAAACCTAGGCGCCACCTCTTCATCGACCCACCCAACCCCTGACAGAAGGTACAAAGGAAACACAAAAGCACTGCCATGAAATGTTGTACTTAAAGACCCAGATATGCAAATGCAATCAACAGCCAAATGGCTCCCATAAGAAGCATACATGGTAGTCACAAATCTGGTAAATGACATAACTCTCATCTCCAAACTATTTGCTTTAGGAGGATAACACATCAATGATTTTTTACTTCCTATTAACAATACATCCCTTTTTCTTTCTGAGAATACAAGGGTATAGAGCATACTTTAACAAGCTAAAACAGTTTTACCAATAAGATAGTAGACATTTAATAATAATCCTATACAACAACATTTATAATATTACAAAATATTAGAAATTCATTATGGAAATATGCGCACAACAATATTAACAGTTTTATGTAAGTAAAATCATTTTAATTCTACAACATCTTCTCTGCTAAAAGACCACCACATCCTGCCAAAGATGCTTGAAACTGCTGGAAACCATTTTAACCGTAAGCCAATGTGAAGAACCACTTCTCAAAACCTCAACATACAAAATTTTTGGAGTAATGTAAAATAACTATATACATAATCACTTTCAATAAAAAATGTGCAGGTCTGTGTGTTGTCTATATAGAAAGACAAATTGCAAGTACCTCTCCTGCATTCCTGACTTAAACAAGGCCCGCAAGTAATCACAACTTGATGACAATACAACTTTGTGAGCATGCATATGTGGCCGTGGCAGAGAGCAAACACCACATGTCCAGCCCAAGAGCTCAGTTGCTTTAGCTTCTAGTATGACATCCCTGAAACCAAAATTAAACAAATATTATTAACATACTATTATTACATTTGGAAAACCAACTAGTAGCATGAAGCTAGAATATAAAACATGGTCTATACTAGGAAACAATGTCCTTTGCATTGTCAAACCAAGAAGCCTTCTATTTGAACAATGCCCCTGTCTCTACTCAGGTTCCTACATCATCCACAGTACTGCACTCTTCCTAATGGAGGCACAAATGTGAAACAAAGAAATAAATAGAGAAAGGGGAAAAAAACACAATTCTGATGTGATGCAACAAAACATATCCTATGTAGATATTAAAGTAGGAAAACATACGAGAAACAATGTCCAGATGGACCCAGAGCTACATTAAGATCTACGCTTGGGAAAGCAATGCCCCACTTGGGACGTTTTCTACACAGCATCTGCAACAGAGACTGTAGATTACAGCGTTTGGCTAGAGTCCTCAACTTTTTTGCAAGTTCATCTCCTGCTTGAAGATATCCCAAATAGATATACTCCAACAACATCACCAACGCCTGGTGATCAACATGAGCAGATAATCTTATGTCTTTATGAAACCCTCTACAAGTCCCCATAGAGCCTCCCCCTGAAGAATAATCAGATGTTACCTCACCAGGAAGCAGCACTTCAGGAGGCAGTAACGATGGACATTGAATTGCAAGCACAACACCATGGACACTCAAACACTCCCCATTTGCGAGAATGAGTTGTATATCAGCACCATCCTTCTCATTAAGTGCTTTACCAATCCTTTTTGCATGTTTTCCTGGAAAGCCATAATATCCAAAGTAACTAAGAATAAATGCAGCATACCATTGCAGCCCAGGAGCACAACTGTTGGTACAGATATCCTGAAGTTCGCTAACTAGTTGAGCTTCTATATGTCTCATCTCACAAGAAATTCTGTCTTGGTTATTTCCTATACATAGAGAATGCTGTATCAACTCAGCCAGTCCCCACAAACTGTAAAATAAAAGAATGTCTTTGCCTTCCCAGTCTTCTGCAGAAACCCAACAGCATATCCTCTCACAAACTGCGTTATGCAAATGTGGAGCAAAGCTCGATCTTTCTAAATGGAAATCATTACTTAAGCACCACCTCATAAGAGCCAACAATGTTTTTACCCCTCTTCGTTTGACCACCCAGGTTTGGTACTGTGGCAAACCTGAATAGCATGCGAACCCCATTAAATAAATGATAATTTGGAGTCTATCTGGCATTCCAAATTCAGTCCAAGATGAGAGATTATTTAGAAAATGCACTAAGGTTTTCAGATACTCCAATCCATCTGGCTCTAGTATTTCAGACAATATGGTTCTGGTCCTTGATGCAATGTATTTGCAAGGAGAATAAATCATCATCAAAACTGCCCTCGTTGCTGATTCACTTCTGAAGACACCAGCATTATCCTTTTCATATATTTTATGCCACTTTCGAATTGCATCAACAAAGGTCAAGCTATCAAAGAATACGGAGAATGAAAATCAGAAAAGTAGCAACCATCTATCAGATATCAACTAAAATGACAACTGCAGGGTCACCTGATATAAACAATACTTGGAGTCCAAAGAACATTGTATCAAGATATTTTAAAATAAATAAATAAATAAAGGTCTGGAAAATGAGGAAGGTCTTTGACAGATGAAGCCTTACCATGCACATGTAATGAGGATGTTAATGTAGAGTTCACTTTCAGGGTGGAAATCCTCCCCACAATGTATTGCAAGCCATCCAAGAATATCCCAAATGTAACTCCTCAGAATAAGAAGATAATTGGCATTGAGACCCTCCTTAGCAGCAGCTATTTGCTCATCCAATGACATGGAATGTTTGTGCGGTTGGTTCTGAAAATTAAGGAGAAGATGAAGGAGGATTTTGTCAATCCCTTGTTTCCATAAATGAATGTGATGCTCCCCCGTCCAACGAGTAATCAGAGCCAAGCGACATGCCTCCTCTAGCAAAGACATCTGGTCATTGGAGACCTTTTTAGAATTTGAGCTCAACTCACTCATTCCAGAAATTATGGCTTTGATAATAGGCTTGCAACATAATGTCATCATTTGTAAGCAGGTAATTTCATTTATCTGAAACAAAACCGTAAAAGAAAATTGAGTTAAAACATCGTTATGACCCTTTAACTATAGTAACAAGATTTCTTATAAGGAGACCAAGATAGAATTAGCACCGCTAAACATTGGGCTAGCTTGAATCCTTCAATTCGAACAGAATGAGGATGTGAGTTGTCCATGCATTGCACCATCTGTTCAAGAACCTCTCCACTTTCTAATAATTTCTTGGTCCCATGAGCACATAAAGCTGGAAAAATTAATAGAAACTTAATCCAAACAGTCTAGAATATAGGGCTAACTGATAAAATTTCAACATGTAAAAATGGTTTTCTTCCTGATTGAATGTTTAATACCTATAGAAGAAAACAACTTCAAAACTGCAGCTTTTCCATAATTATCTAGCTTTAGCATATCATTTAAACCTTTCATCAGTTCAGCATCACTCCAAACAGAAAACCTAGATGGAGGCCACCACCATAGTATTGTACTCAAAAGTAAAGCCATCTGTTGGAAATATTCTACTGGCTTTGCACATCCAGGAAAGCATCGTAAGTTACTTATAACTTGAGGTACAATTTCTGTTTTCCCGAGAACATCCCAAACTTCTTTTCCACTCTTGGTACTGAAGTTTGAAAGACTAAGATTCAGTGCTGCAGCACATGATATAGCAACTTCTGTTTGATGCGAAGATAATAAAGATGACAAAGGATTAACAAGATCTAATGCATAAATCTGCAGTACTGATTTGGGTAAAATGTTGACTAATTTTAATGTCACATCTGCTGCCATGCTCAACATGGCTCCCTTGTTAGATTGAAGAATCCAAACCAATGCACCGACGATGTCAGAAACTGAAGCCTGAAAATTGATGGAGAAAATGATGAGAGGATTTAAAAATGAAAACATATACAGCTCAGAACTGATACAAATTACAACAAGGCATTATAGAATCTTAGAAACATAATGTTTTGTACAAAAATTGAATTAGCGAGAACCAGGAAATGCTTTAAGATAGTATTGGATACCACTGATGTTATAGAACTCCAAACATAGCATGTCTTGTTCAAATTTTCAATTAGCTAGGACCAAATTATGTTTTCAAGAGATAGCATACCAAAACAAGCCCATACGTAGACATGGACGATAGCTGTCAGACTACATCATATGCTACATGTAATTCAATGAGCTAAAATTATACCAATACAATTTAACATATATCATACTTCAACATGATCGTGCTGATGCTCATTAACATCAACCTATGACATGTAACTTCCTATAATAAGGTGTAGGTGGTTTCTGCAACTGCACACCTACTTTCCACTCAACCTATTTGTTTTCTTCAAAAATTTCTTACCAGGGGTTAAAATTCCATGTCTAATAATGTGATATGAATAAAATTTGATGATCAACCTAAATACAACAGTCAACATAGTGAAGCTCCACTAAATAAATAAAAGACTAAATTGTTTGATCCATAGAGATTGTAAAGGAACGATATTGTTATACCTTCACAAGTGGGTGATGCAGCGTATCCCCAGAAATATAATCAAGAAATGCAGCTATTGAGTGGACCACATGTCTTTGTATCTCGATATCCTTACACTGCCATTTTTTTGCCTTGTCACCACAAAATCTGCAAGACACAAGCCAGTATAGGAAGAATAATACTGTTAGCTGTAGCAATCAATCTACACATCTTTTATACAACACTGGACTTCAATTAACTAAGCCTCTTCTGTCATAACTGAATCAATTATCCATATATGACGTCTATTCAACTCTAAGTAGACTCTCATTAACTAGTGGCTTTGTTTATTGCTTGATGAGGGATATAACAAGCCCTATCTGAGGGACTCTAGAAATGCCAAATGTTAGTGCACCCAATCATAGCTATGAATAGTGGATTAAATACAAATGTCTTAAATAGGATCGGTGATCGTCCAGAATTGGATATATTAAGCAGGTTATCTCCTTAAGTTCCAATAAGGACTTTTAAGTTAAACCATAAACTCCAGAAGGTGATTAAGTTGTGAAAATATTGGAGCAAGGTGGGTCTCCTAATTACTTGAGCCACTAACAGGTGCTGTATTGGAGCAAAGGGTTTGGTTGGACAAAGCACAATGCACAATGCACGATGATCGTGGGAATGGAAGTCACACAATATGGTGTGCATGGAACAAAATCACTGGGATATCTCCTTAAATTGCGTTGAAGCCAAGTTAAAATCTCAAAATTGAACGCCACAAGGTGATATCAAACTAAGGTGACGACCAGCAGACCAGGCCACATGAGCCCTCAATAAGACCTTACATTTACTGCAACTAAAACTTAATCCCAACCACCTGAAGTTGTCTTCAATCATACGCCAATCAATTTTCAACATACAGCTCAAGTGGGTTGAGCTAAAAGAACCCATTTTCGCTATACCCTACTAGATAATCCACACATAAGAGACTTTTGAGCCCCCCCCCCCCCCCAAAAAAAAAAACTTGTATTCATTCTAATTCATATGAAAACAGAACCCGAGCCTGAAATTGAAGGATGAGGATAAAAGTGGTGTGAGGCAAACCTGTTACCGAGGCTGAGAGCATGATTGAAACGCTGATAGAGGGTGTATGCGTGCCCAGTGAGGCCCCTGTTATTGTCCGTACCGTGCTTCGAAGGTCCCATTTTTGTTATTTTCTTTTTCTTGTTTCTCTTCTTTGTCGCGTCTTCCTCAGAAAATGAGAGAAGGGTTTGGTCTGTGCAAGAAAATCAAATCTTTAGAAGGTGAAATGCCCAATTTGAGCGTCAATTGTTTCTGAAGTTGCCGCTACCGCCATCACCCATAACACCAGACACCTCACTTTCTTTTTTCTATTTTTCTTCCTATTTAACTTCTGTTGTCTTTTTGGGATAAATAATGTAATAATTAGTATACTTTTTACATTTTTTTTTTAATTTTTTAATTTTTATACTTGGAGGAGCTGATCACCTCCTCTTTTTATTTTATTTTTATACTTGAGATGTATTCAATTAGGATTTTAGAGCGTTTAAAAAGATTTTGTTTAAGTGCCAGATTTCATAGAACTTGATGGAACTTTAGAATTCATATAGAACTTGATAGACTTTCAAAAAATTTCTATATAATTTTTTAATACACTTTCTTAAGATTTGTATGACTTTTATTCCAGACTCCTATAATTTCTTTAACATATTTTTTAAAAATGAATGCTAAGAGCCAACTAATTAGTCACCCATCCACGGGATGCAACATCAACCATGAGTTGCAACAACATTCTACTCTTTTCAACACTCCAAGCGTTATAATCTTATTTGCTCTTCCTTTTTCCATTTACTTATTATGTATTTTCAGACTCCATTTGAATGGTGCATCTATGAATTTTATCATATCAATAAAAAATAAAGCATAAAAAATATACAAAACCCATAAAACACTACCAACGTTGATCCCAAAAAATGTACATAAGCAACCATAGATCCTTATAGACACATCTTATGTTTAATACACACATGAATGATGTAGAACAAATGGTTGAATGGATTGAAGAATAATTGGAGTGAAGAATGAGAAAAGGACGCAGTAGGAATTTATAAATTTGGCATCCGAGGTCCGATTGGGGCATATAATACCTTTTCGAAAAGGGAACGATGCCACGAGTCAAATAGATTGCTTTGTTGTGATATATGGTGGATTTTGGGCTTTTGAGATCGTTTAGGCTTCCTAAACAGCATTTAAAAGTTGTAGTTAATTTTCGGCTTTTTGTTTTTGTATTGTTTATCTCAGTTTGTCTTAGTTTTTTTGTTTGATTATAGAAAGGTTGTCAATTACTATATTTCAATTTCCTATCCAGTGATTCAATGAACAATTCTTATAAAGTCGTATATAGATATTTCAAAAGAAAAACAAGCATAAACCCCAACCCCAAGCATAAACCCTAATAACAAGTAAAACCTGTAACCCCAAACTATACCCTAATAACAAGAAAAACACAATGATGAAAAATCATGGAAAAAGAAAACCCAACGAGGTATTGATCAAAGAAAAAATAGGGAGCATACCTTCACAGGATGGAGGAAGGAGGCTGTTAGTCTTCTGTTGCAAAGAGAAAAGCTAGGACGGGAGAAAAACGTATGATGAAATACCTTGTCAATGTAAAACTTTGTCATGTGTATACTGAACACTGACAAGCATGCGACATTGCCTCGTTAAAACCTTGTCAGGAAAAATCCAGTGGAATAAAAACTTGGACAAAGGAAAAAGAGTACAATGTGTGAAGATCTTTATTGACAGCACGCTCCCCTTGATGCTTGGCAAAATATCCTTTAAGCCATACTGTTGATCATCTTTCTGAATGTCATAGTTGACACTGCGTCTGTGAGTCAATCTTGTAATATTGTTGGATGCTTCCCCTAAAGAATATCTCCCCATGATATCTTCAAGACTATCTTTCTAGAGGGAAGATCTTTCAGACTGAGTGAATGATGTAGCTATCAACAATTCATGTAGTTGAGTGAACAAATATATTTCCAGTGAGCTATCTCTATGTAAATCATAGAAATTTCCAGAGTCCGCGTAAGTACATTTGGAAAGAATATGCCCGTATATGGTTTTATGCGGAGATAACATCAAATATGTCTCACATCATCCCAAAGTGGTGGTGATGGAGTTGAACTCTATTTGGAAAATATAATGTCTGGTCCAGTATACTTCTACAATAATCATTTAACTGCCCAACAGATAATCCACATAAACATGCTTCAATACTTTCTTAGTATAAGCAAGAATCTCGTTGGCATAATTCTCGATCTTCAAGCCGAGACAAATATTTCTTGAACTCTTCAGGAGTTTTAATCAATTATCAACTCTTCAGGAGTTGTAATGTATTGCAACCATATCATAATTAATGCATTCACTGAGGCAATTTATACATATTAATATTGAGTACAAAATTTGTGCTCCAAGCACATGTCCTTTAGAGACTTGCTTTATGCAATTACAATCCTTCAGGGATTTTATTTGAGGGATTACACTTCATGACACATTATATAGCTTTATATCCAGCTATTTGTTTTGCTTGTACATTTTTAAGGAATTGCTTCTGGTGATATGCTTCATGCATTTAAATAACCCTTAAAGATAACATGTTGGTCTCCGTAAATGTGCAATTAGAAGGCACAATTGCATCTGTAAATATGGACAACCTCAACATCCCTTATTTCTACCAGAAACATTGTGTCATATTATTGAGTATATTCCTCTTTTATTCCAAACACCCAAGTATAACTTTCAGGGTTAACATCTTTTGGGGTTTGTACTATGGGTTTGTTCCTTCACGTTCATTCATCTGTAATGGAATTGCCTCTTTCTATTTTTGGCCAAAGATATTGTCGACATTTAATAATAGAACGTGGTTCCAATCAACACAACCCATTGATGATTTGAGTAGCTACTCTAAAACCAAAAATTATGTCACGACCCGATACGAGAATAAGGCATATTCCTGAATTAAGATGTGAGTCATACCATAGTCATAAGAATAAAATCTTACAACCATGATATGATGAGAAATAGAGCCACAAATAAGTACAGATTTACTTAACAACACAGAATCAGACTCGCAGTAGCTCGTAGTTAAATATACACTAAGATCTTTAACAAACGGTTAATTACTTATAAATATTAATTACACAAATCAACGACAAAAGCCTATTAGCTTGGTTGAAACCCGCTTCCTCAAACTTGGCCTTGAATCCTACACAATCTATTAGGGTATGAGCATTCTAATGTCCAGTAGAGTATTGTCAAACCTCTCAAGGTCAACTATCACAGTTAATCAAAGTGTCATGCATCATTCAACGCAAGATACAGAAATCATGCAATAATATCAAATAAATAAATTTGCATATGTGGTGGTGCCATGAACTCACTCCCTTCTAATCCCACTAATTCATACCTTAGGGCAACAAACATGCATGTCCCATACCATGCATTTTACCACTGCGGCTTCGAATACCCTAAAATATGAACTAGATTAACCTAGTTTTTTTTTGTTTATGAATTTCTCAACTTTCACTTTTCATTAGAGGCCCTGCTCCCGTCACTTGAATGTATTCCGCATTTTTACTCAAATATACCTAAGGCCTTCTCCCACCTCTTAGATATACCTCACACACACCCCAAATACCACTGTATTTATGATGCATATGTAATGCAGCGCAAACATCATTTATCTGTGCGGAATAATAATACAAATAATAACAATAATATTTCAAGCTTCGTCACATGAATAATAATATTCACCCAACGTCGAAAATGATATCCATGGAGAAACATCAATAATAATATTCATATAACATCAAATAATATTCATCAAGAAAATCAATAATAATATTCATATTTATAATCTATACATATAAAGCAAAATGCAGAGAATGGTAAAGCATTCAAAATACCAAAAAATACCCTTGGTTAATGCAAACATTAAGAATTGAAATTATTAAACAAATGAGGATAATATGGTAAATTCACACTTTTTCATATTAAATAAAAATAAAAATAAGATAATGGATCCTATTTTATGGAACACAACTACTCATTATCTTTTTTAATTCTAAAATAAAATAAAATATATTTTTTTTAAAAAGCATCTCGCAGGCGCGAAGTGCGTGCGGAGAGGTTAGTATTATAAATAAGCACCAAGATTAAAAGTGACATAATTCTATCATTAGGAAATCATGAAAACCTACCTCATGTTCTGCTAGTTAAAGTACCAAATTTACCATTCGGAAGTTCTCAGAGTTGTTGAATATACACTTTTGATCCAAGTCCTGAACAAATTCAAATCCAAATTATTAATGAGCAGTCTTCACTTTATTTCACCTAAAACCAACCTCAACTTTATGCATTTCAAAGATTTTGAGTGAAAATGACGAAAATGCCCCTAGGACCAACCCAGGGTCCAAAGCAACCAAATCTCGTCCAAAATAATCTAAAACTGTCTTATGCCTTGTCAACACCGAAACAAGGCCAACAACATTCGTTATCCAAAAGTTACCATTTGGGTCTCGTGGGCCCCACAACAACCCATACTTTGCACCACCTCGGATTGACTCAAAACATATACCATCGGATCATCGAGAAATCGAGTCAAATGGACTAAAAATATGACATCGGAGGATGCCGGAACAGTCGCCATGCGCCGGAGTTGCGAGTGAGCTTGTTTTCCGGTTATTGTTCATCATCTTCCCAAAATTCTGCAACTTCCCATGTTTTTCGGGACTAAAAAACCCAGAATTTGTGAGGTATTTTGACCAACCAAACGTTAACAAAATTGGGCAAACTTGTAGTGGTTTTGAAGCTTATTCCCTCTAGTTTCTAACTCAACAAACCACACTCAAAACGGAGCTAAAACGAAGGACAAAACTAGCTCCAAAGTTGGACTCGTGGCTGGTTTTTCTGCAGAAAACAGATTTTTTTTCTTCCAAACTTTGCACATATGTTTGACGTATCAAAACTCAACCAAATTGTACGAAACCAATTGTGTTTTGTTCCTTGCCAAGTCTAGTTTAAAACCCAATAAATGGGTCCCTCAAACACTCAAGGTATTGGGAGAAAAAGAGAGCCAAAGTGAGGTTCACGGACTGCAAATTTTCAAAAAATGCAAATTTCCAGATTTGGTTCTAATTCATTTTCAACCATTCTATCACTTCCAAGTTGTTCCTAAGGCTTCTAAAACTCTTCTAAAGTTCATACCTATCATTAGAACTCATCAAAAACTCAAAATAGAACCAAAATCATAAAAACCCACACTTAAAAAATTGCTCTATCCACCCAACCCAAAAAATTGCTCTATCCCTAACACTTAAGTGACTCAAATTACTCTTTAATGGACTAAAATGACACAACCACAAAGTTAAAACCAAAAATTTGAAATTGACTCACCTTAGAGATTTTTTTCTTCTCTTCCTCATATTCTCCCTTCTCTTCCTCATCCAAATTTCATTTCCTTCATCCCCAATCTTATCTTAGTTTATACAATTAATATCCATAGCCTAGATTAAGTGACTCACCTCCAATACATGAACAACTCATCCCAATTTGAGATCAAAATAAATTTTTTGAAGAGAATGTATAAGGGAAGGGGGGAAGAATGAAGGTTTGGCTTACACGTTGCCTTTTTAAAAAAATAAATTCTTTTATAAACTCATAATTAAGGTTAAATAAATATATTTTATTATTATATATTTTTTTTTCCTAGATGGTACAAATTATCATTCTTCAATTCATGATCCCACCATTCTCATTTGTATGTGCATACATCAATTATAAGCATTTCTTTGTTTTTGGGTACCCAAGCCACTTCAGGGGGCTTTTATCTTTCTAGACAGACATCTCTTATAGGATGAATTATGTGAGAATGTGGATCATAACCTCCAATGGAATAACACAAGTATTGCTTACATCCTTAGGTGGGAGTAACTTTGCTCAAATATCATTCAAGCTCATATTGGCTCAGCAAACGTAATGTATCCTTGATGATCTAGTTATATCATACAAGACACTCTCTGTCTGTAAAAAAAAAAAAAAAAAAAAAAAAAAAAAAAAAAAAAAAAAAAAAAACCCATCACTATATGGATTCTTTCTTCAGATGTTCGTTCTAAAGAAATAAAATCCCTTATGAATAGAGAGTTATAAAAGAAAGAAAAGATATAAAGAATTGTGATATTCATTGCAAGGTAGGTAAGCAATCAGGGAAGGAAACTGATGAGGTAACAGACAACAAACTCTCATTTCTCTTAACATAGAAGAACTTCAGGAGATTACAACATGTGGTCGTCCTTATAGCTCCCTGACATCGCCGAAACGTGATCAAGGATAGTCTCGCTTCCTGAATGGATAATCAGAGATAGTTTCGCTTCTCAAGCACATCGAGTGCTCACTTATAGGAAAAACAAGTGGAAATTGCATCACTGGATATGGAGAAAACTGGATGTATTTTGCAAAGAAGATTTCATTAGTAACTTATTTATACACAAATTAAAGGAATAGGCAGATCTGGTGAATTTCAAATTAACCACAGAAATTTGTGAGATTCTCGAGATGCTTTTGAAAAAATAACTCTGTGAAATCCAAAAAGCAAAATCGGCTTTGACGAAAATAGTCCTTGAAACCCTTAAAGTGCCAACAGACATTAATGGAGGCCGCGTGAAATTTTGGAATTTGAAAAAGAAAAAGAGAATATGGGGATTCGAAAAAATATTGGGATCTTGGAAACGATGCCACATTTTCTTCTATAGATATTGCCTCTGCAAGGCCTGATCTGCGTTTCAACTCAACTTCCTTCCATTTGCTAAAAATTCAGCTTTTCTAAGACTTTCCTCGAAACCCTTTTTAAAATGGCTTCCTCTTCTTCTCCCCTAAAGCATCTCGATTTAAATGTTACTCCCAAAACAACCCGTGACGCCAAAGTCTGGCGTCCATCCTTTGTATCCCAAAATCATCATCTCACAGTTAATGATTATGTGATGATGAATGATACGACTGTTGTCATAGTAGCTAGGAATTTCCTTACTTATATGGATGAAATACTGTTAACAAGAAGGTCTGACGAAGAGGCTATTGATGACTGAATGGCTTTTAGCATTCAGAGTGCTGCTTCTGTTTCTAACATGGCTGATCGTTTGCATGCTAGATCAAACGAGATTCAGGAGTGTTGAGGCCCAAAAAATCCATAGTTGGGCCCGAATAAATTATCAGCCCAAAACGACACTCTACTAAGGAAAAGCGTAAAGCGGAGTACACGAAAACCCACCACATGCGAGTTGTAGTTCACGTGCCATGCTAAATAAATTAGCCATGCTTGGGGTTGAGATAAAATATACCGGCTCTATAAGCTCATGCCAAACTTAAACATCGCAATCCTTCCCAAGGACGATAAAATTAAAACATGCCAAGCAACATGCCATGTCAAGCACAAAATCGTTATCTCACACCTAACCACGCTACAAGCCTAAGTGGGCCCAAGCCACAAAATTAACCGGGGCTTACTGAGAAGGTTGTGGTATGGAAGGAAACAAGCAATTACGGGGCCCATTGAGGGTTCAAGGAACGTAAGTTTCAAGCCACTTGGGGGCTTTGAAACTCAAGCCCGTTCCTAGAACCCAAGCACATGGGTTAGCATGAGAGAGAAGAGAAAAATTGCCCCATGCTCTAGGAAGACACCAAAAAAACCTACCAAAATATTTAGCCCAGCCCACATCAATAGAGTTAAAAACCCTTTCCAGCAGTTTGACGAAAATTCACTAGAAATAATAGGCCAGCAGCCCAAAAGTCACGCACAAGCCCAATCCAGCAGCTTGTACAAAAGCTGTCATCGTGTTCCACCTCTGATAAGACTCCAAACAAGTCAGACAAAGGGTCAAGGCAAGAACCAGCAGAAATTCATGGGTAAAGGGTAAATACCCATCAGACAAAAGGCTCCACCCATCTCTTTCTCCATTACAAGCTCTGTTTTGAAAACGCAGAGAGAAAGCAAAGTGGCGCCTCACCTTTGTAGGGAGGTCCAGCTGCGTCAAACTTGTTAGAACCACGATGGTTCCTTTCCCATACGCCTTGATAAGAGAATTGCACGAAAATAGGGCTAAGTAGGAGCTGCCAAGGAAAAAGGAAGAGGAAGACCAGACAAAATTAGAGCTCTTAATGCCTATAAAAGGAGACTTTTGCTACCCAGAAAAATCAACCATCCAGAGCCTGACCAAGCTTTGTCAAGCAACCTGGAATCTACTCAAGCCACCCAAACCTTTCTTTCGTTCATCATTCTTCTCCCTTAGGATAGGAATCGTGCTAATATTTCCTCTGTAAGAATCCAGAGCCTGACCAAGCTTTGTCAAGCAACCTGGAATCTACTCAAGCCACCCAATCCTCTTTCTCCTTTGTTTTCTTCTTTCCCTGAGATAAAATCTTGCTAATATTTCCTTCGTTCCCAGTTAAATCTCTCTCTCTCTCTCTCTCTCTCTCTCTCTCTCTCTCTCAAATTGCTAAACTCGTGAAAGCTTAGCTCCCATGCCACATGCTCCTCAGGCTAAGTCATTAGTGAAATCATCATGCTTATTTGGGTGTTAGTAAAGTGATCATGAGAGTGTTCTTTTAAAATCTCATCAGATTTTCTAAAAACTCTCTTGGGAGCTTGGTTTCGAACTCAGGCATTTGGGGGATTTTGCTCGTTGTCTTCTTACAGCAGCCCAGGCCCATTCGTCAGGCTGCTGGAACAAAAAACCCCTACATAAATTGGCGACTCTGCTGGGGACCAAGTTGCCATTTTACTGATGCCTCCAAGGAAGAAAGCCAGAAGCAACAACATGACCTCTCAAGACAGGCCAAACCATGGTGACTCGGAATCAAGGCAATATGCCTCCTCAAGAGAAGAAGAACGTCATAGTGAGGGAGCTTTCACCCTCACAGACGTTGTTGCAGCCATCCATGCTATGGGAGAGACTCAGAAGAAAATGGCAGAAACAATCAAAGAGCTGAAAAGTTCGATTGCTAAGCCAAGTGAAGAAAACGATAGGCTTCCACAGGAGGAGCCTGTCGCTGCCAGAAAAAGTTCTGAACAAAAGGAGCCATCATTTGTCACTCACGAAGATGTCATTGCCATGCTAGAAAAGAAACTAAGTCGAAGTCAGGAAGATTGGAAGTATCTTCCTCAGCCACCGTACCCAGCAAGCTTACTCCAGCAGCCCTATCCCAAAGGTTACGAAACACCAACCTTTGTTATTTTCGATGGGAGGAAAGGAAGCCCAAAGGAACATGTCAACCGATTCCTTGATGCTTTGGGGCCATACGCGGTGATTATAATCTTCGACTCCGAGAATTCTCAAAGAGCCTCACTGATCGGGCTTATACATGGTACACCACATTGGCACCAGGCTCTATGCGTTCCTGGGATGATTTGGCGAGCAGGTTTTGTAAAACATATTTTCAGCACGAGGAGAAGGTTACCACCACGCAGCTCAATAACACTCTCCAAAAGCAAGGGGAGGATCCCGTCGACTTTGTGAGAAGGTTCCGGGACTTGGCTCTCGATTGCTATGACGAAAAGGATGAAGAGGCACTTGTTGAGATCTGCATCAGCAACATCGTAGCAGACTATAGAGTGTACTTGGAAAATATTGGCATTAGTCAATTTTCCCGGCTGCTGGAAGCAGTAAGAAAGACGAGCATGTCTGTCAAACTAGCGAGGACTTAGAGGAGCGATAAGAAGGAGACATACCAAGCATTAGCCATAGATGACGAACCATCCAACTACTGCCTGTCAGAGTCTAAGGAGGATTTTACATGCTAAAATACATAAGGGAGTCCTTGAGCTTCCCTCTAGGAAGCAAACAATAGATGAAGACCCCTTGCCAAAATGAAGGGGAAAAGAGGTAGCTGCTGTCATTACATGTTGCGATGATTTGCTTGATGATGACGAATTGTGCCACCCGTTGAGGAATGACCCAAAGTTGTTGGAAGCTATGTGGGAACCTTGGGGAAACATGGAGAAGGCATATTGGTGTAAATATTTGAAGCATGCCATGGCCGCTCGCTGATGGATGGGGTGACGACCCAGGCAATGAAGTTTTTGTCCTGGACATGCCGGAAGAATGCTACTCAGGGTCTTCATTGGGATAGCATGAAATAGCTGCTGTAACATTTCATAACCTTACAGAGGCTGAAACAGGTGCGATGGAACGATATTTAAGTCTGAAACAGGGGCCCATAGCTTCGCATGTCTTCTAAAGAAACCCGAAATTCAAGTCACTCTTTGACCAACTTGGCTTTAGGCCTCAAGCTAGAGAAGTAGCTGCCGTAGCTCTCATGAACATCTCTGCAGAATCCGATCGTCATTGCTTCACCGCTCAACTACAAAGGTCATTTTTAGGAAATGACAATGCTATCGTCCTCACAGACGAGGACATGGAAGTTCCATACCCATAAGAGGCCACTTTATTTGGAGGGACAAATCAACGATGTGTTTATAAGAAGAGCTTTGGTAGACACGGGCTCCTCTGTCAATATACTACCTCTGTCTGTGCTTATGGCAACTGGTATTCCATTATCCAAAATCGTGCAATCTCAAACAAGCATCAGCGATTTCGAGAATAAGAGTAAGATCACAGTCCGACACATGCAAGTAAACTTGAAGGTGGGGCCAATCCGGTCACTTACCAAGTTTTACGTGGTAGATGTGAATGTGGCTTACCATGCTTCGCTTGGAAGGCCATGGCTCAACAAGCATAAACTTGTAGTCTCTATTTACCATCAATGCATGAAGGGAAGGATTGGGCTGATGCCATTCCGCATACCTGAAATCCAAGCACTGTTCAACAAAAACAAAGCTCACTACTCCGAGGAAAAATTTTACACCGAATGCACAGGCGCTAGAAGCAAACCATCCCAAGATTTCGGGACCTATCTCCCTTCATGGACTGAAATTCGTGATCTAAGCAACGAGGAGCTCATCACCACTGTTGATCGAGAAAGAAAAAAACACTCGGAGGTCAATAACCATGCCTACGACCATCCCCAATGCTCAAAGGTGACGCTGCCAGATGGGCGCACGGTGTATCGCTTATGACGGGATTGGGGGCTTAACTGTGTCCTGCTGGAAAGCCCCCAGTATGGAGGAGAAGCAATGCAAGCGAACAGCCATAAGGATCCAGATGACAAGGCATCTACGCCTTGTGCTTTCCAAGAGCCAATGACAGCACATAGACACATGCAAGATGGATCAACAGCGGTAGCTGAGCAGCTGGAAACAATTGATTTGAGTGAAGATCCCTCTGCCCCAAGACCCATCTCCATCAGTGTTCAATTAACAAGTGAGGAGAAGGAGCCTTGGTATCTCCATAAGTCATACTTTGAATATTGAGCTTGGTACAAAACCTGTTGTGCGGCCAATGAGGAATTTTCATCCTAAAATTGAAAAACAAATCAAGGTGGAAATTGAAAAGTTGTTAGCTGCTGGATTCATCAAACCAATCAAGCATCCAACATGGCTAGCAAATATTGTTCCCGTGAAAAAGAAGACTGGAGTAATTAGAATATGCACGAACTACCGAAACCTCAACCGAGCTTGCCTAAAGGATGAATTCCCACTGCCCAACATGGATGTATTGATTGATTCAACCTCGGGTCAAGGCTTGCTGTCATTCATGGATGTGTTCAGTGGCTATAATCAAATCAAAATGTCACCCAAGGATGCTAAGAAGACAGCCTTTCGAACGCCCTACGAAAATTTCTACTACAAGGTCATGCCGTTCGGTCTCAAGAACACCGGTGCTACCTACCAACGGGCCATGATGGCAGTGTTTCATGATATGATGGGAAAAGAGGTGGAAGACTACGTGGATGATCTTGTAGTAAAATCCAAAACCAGAGGAAGTCATTAGGAAGTTCTGAGGCGGGTGCCGGAAAGGTGCCGGCCGTACGGGTTAAAAATGAACCCAAAGAAATGTGCATTCGGAGTCTCATCCAGCAAGTTCCTGGGCTTTCAGGTACACCAGCGTGGTATAGATGTGGATTCTGAGAAAACCCAAAGTCATATGCTCTCTTGCACCACCTAAGAATCCAAAGGAGTTGAAAAGTTTTATGGGAAGATTGTCATACATTCGGCGTTTTATTCCAGGCCTTATTGCCATGATGAGTGTTTTCACTCCTCTACTCAAAAAAGGGAAGCCATATATATGGAGCCATGAATGCTAAGAAGATTACCAACAGGTACAACAACTGATCACCAAGCTGCCCACGATGAGGGCACCTATTCCAGGACTTCCACTCAAGCTTTACTTGGCTGCGACGAACACAGTGGTTGGGGCTTTGCTTGCCCAAGATGATCATGGTGGGGAAGAGAATCCCATTTATTATGTGAGTAGGCAATTAAGGGGAGCTTAAACGAGATATCCGAAGACCGAACTCTTGTGCCTTGCTCTTGTCTATGCTGCGCAGCGCCTGCGACACTACTTCCTTGCTCACAAGCTACAACTCATAGTAAAGTCTGATCCCGTAAGATACTTGCTCACAAGGCCGGTGTTATCTGGACGTCTTGCATGTTAGTTGCTGCAGCTGTCTGAATTCGATATCACATGCACCACTCCAAAAGCCATCAAAGGATAAGCCGTGATTGACATGCTGGCTCTATTTCCTGAAGTAGAGGAATCAACTCTTTCCAAGGAAGTCTTGGGAGAACTGCCGGAAATGGTCGCTATTGTTACCGAGGAGGAGTCATGGACCCTCTACTTTGATGGGTCTTCCACATCAAAAGGTGGAGGGGCAGGTGTCGTGCTCATTAATCCCAATGGGCAAGCTACGGCTCTCTCATTCAAGCTAGACTTTCCATGCACGAATAATGTGGCGAAGTACGAAGCCTTTATTATGGGATTGTCCATAGCAAAAGAAATGGGTGCAGAAAAGGCGAAGATCATCGGCGATTCGAACCTAGTACTAAGTCAATTGCAAGGAAGCTTTGCTGTGAAGGAAGCAACCCTGGCACCATATCGGACAGCTGCTGAAAGACTAATTAATTCTTTCAAGCAAGTTATGTTGGAACATATTCCAAGGGTTACTAATAGATATGCTGATACGTTGACTACTTTGGGATCGAAGCTTTCATTTGTTGAAGAACAACCCAACAGTGCCGTGATCAAGAAAGACATGCCAGTGATCGAACCAATAGCTCATGAGCAGCCGCTGGAAGAAGGTGACTGGCAGAAACTTGTGAAGGAGAAGATAAGTAAGGGAAACGACATCAAGGAATTAAAAAGATTATGCTATCATCTTTGGGGAACTGTACAAATGCCTTCCAGGAGGTATTTTGACCCACTGCATAGGGTCAGCAGAAGCATGAGTGAAGCTCCAAGAAGTACATGATAACACTTGCAATTTGGAACCGATAATCATTTGTATCGACGTCTGCAATGCAAGGGTTATTACTGGCCAGAAATGAAGAAATAAGTAGCTGAAGTTCAAGCCAATTGTCTCAAGTGTCCAACAATACCATCCCTTGAAGAATCATTCACCATCTCATTCGCGGAGGATTGGAAGGCTCCATACTTGGCATTCTTCGTTGATGGAACCCTGCTAACCAATTCCAAGCATGCTCGCAAGCTCAAAAAGATAGTAAAAAGATACTTCGTAGATGGGTCGACTCTCTATCGCAAAGGGTTCAATGGTGAACCATTAAAATTCTTGGGGGAATCAAAAGCACAGCAAGTTATGCAAGAAATTCATGCTGGAGAATGTGGTGAACTCCAAGGAATGAAGTGGCTTTATCGACAGCTGCTGAATGTTGGGTATTATTGGCATACTATGAATAATGATGCATACAGCTTCGTGAAGAAGTGCCACAAAGGCCAAGTCCATGCCAATCTAAGTCACAAGCCTCCTACGTTGCTGCAGGACATGCGCACTCCTTGGCCCTTTCACACTCGGGGGCTTGACTTGATCAGGACAATCCATCCCCCCTTCCGATGGCTACATATGGATCCTTATTGCTACGGAGTATTTCACAAAATGGGTTGAGGCAATTCCCCTTCGGAAGGCCACATGAGCTGCTGTCTCGAATTTCATTCGGGAACACATTGTGTGTAGGTTCGGAATCTCATACAAGATGGTCACCGACAATGGCACGCCTTTTGTTAACAAGCAAGTGAGTTCAACCCTTAGTGGGTACGGTATCAAGCATCGTCGCTCTACACCTTATTACCCGCAAGGAAACGGTCAAGCGGAGGCTACCAATAAGACGATATTAAGTATTCTAAGCAAGATGGTATATGAGTATCAAGGAGGCTGGAGTGTTCACCTGCCGGATGCTTTGTGGGTTTACCGCACCTCACCAAGGAGCGCTACAGGTTTTTCACCTTACTCACTTGTGTACGGGTCTGAGGCTATTTCACCTGTGGAAATTACCATCCCGATAGCTAGAGTATCAGCTGTTAATCACCTGGAATGGGATACAAAGTCATGCTCGGATTGGCGCCTGCTGGACCTCAAAGTTTTGGATGAAAAAAGAGCGGAAGCCGAAAGGAGGACATCGTTGTACCACAAAACTGTAGCCCAAGCTTACAATAGGACAGTCAAACCTCGATCTTTCAAGCAAGGAGACCTCGTGCTAAAAGTTGTGGAGCATGTAAGAAGACAAGTGTCGAGACCTTCCAAGTTTGACCCGCAATGGGAAGGCCCATTCACAGTCAAAGAGGCTTACAGCAGCGGCTATTATCGCTTGGTCTCTGTCAAAGAAGGCACGCTGATGGATCCCATCAACGGGAAGTGCCTCAAGCCTTACTACTGCTAAGTTAATTTTATGCCCAGCAAATATCATGCAAATAACATGCACTTAGCAATAGAACATGCCAAGCTACTTGAACGGGATCCCAAATTGTCAACAAATAGCATGCCCAAGAAAAATAATATAAGAAAGGCAAAGCCAAGCTGTTACAAAAAAATCATGCACACGTTCGTCTAATCTTTCTTAGACATAACAAGGAAGTGCTTTTTCAGGGCTAGTGGTTATACAAAATTTTGGGCAGCATATACCTTGTTTTTAAGGGTATCCAACTTGTCAGAAAATTTTAAACAGTTCACAAAGACGAATTTTGCCAACCAAGCAATATATATATATATATATATATATATATATATAAGACATGCAACATGCCTCAAGCATTCAAAAATTAATACAAGCTTCAGTGGTTCAATACCAAATTACAAAGTCATAACAACGAAAGAATTCTCCCAATCTCGACAAAACATGTTTCTCTCGGATAAATGCCCTATAGAGGTGAGAGCATCACTGTTCTTGTGGCTGTAATCAATAATCTCACCACGAGGTAGCACTGCCGAAAGCTGTGAAGAGGTGCCAGAAGCTATGTTGGGTGTGCCCAAGCTAGAAGGAGTAGGAGGTAGCCCTGCTGGAAACTGTGGAGAAGTGTCGGCGGCTGTGTCGGGTGTGCCCAAGCAAGGAGTATGAGGTAGCACTGCTGGAAACTGTGGAGAGGTGCCGGCAGTTGTGTCGGGTGCGCCCAAGCAAGGAGTAGGAGGTTGCACTGCTGGAAACTGTGGAGAAGTGTCGGTAGCTGTGTCGGGTATGCCCAAGCAAGAAGGAGGAGGTAGCACTGCTGGAAACTGTGGAGAAGTGTCGGCGGCTGTGTCACGTGTGCCCAAGCAAGAAGAAGTAGGAGGTAGCACTGCTGGAAACTGTGGAGAAGTGTTGGCGACTGTGTCACGTGTGCCCAAGCAAGAAGGAGTAGGAGGCAGCACTGCTGGAAGCTGTGGGGCAGTGCCGGCAGCTGTGTCGGATATCCCTAAGAGAGGAGCATGAGGCTGCATTACTGGAAGGCGCATGACAGTGTAGGCAGCTACGCTGGACATCCCAGGAGTAGGAGTAGGAAGTGTATTCTCCGCACCTTGTGAGATGCTCTCAACCTGAGAAAGAGGAGAAATACAGGGTATGAGTTGCAAGTCACAACAGGCAGCACTCAATGTGTATATACCAAGTAAAACAAGCAAGAAGGTTATTGGATACTAGTTCAATGTCAACATGCCGCTCATGGTCACTAACAAATTCGGAGGTATGCCTGAGACATCCAGTTCCTCCAAACGAGTGTTGGAATTTGGTTTCTACAGCCATGGTTCATGCCGACCCTTTCTCAAGAAGCTGAACTTGGTCAAGCAAGCAGTATAGGTGCCCCAAGAACATGGGGGCTAGAGGAAGCACGCTGCCACGTGCTATCACAAAGGCCAAAGGAAACACCCACCCATGCAAATGATCATAAAAAATAAAAACAAATAAAATAAAAATAAAAATCACAGGAGAGAAATCTCCCAAGCCATAACGATGCAAGCGTTGCAAGACGACATGGCTCATTCTTGTTAGCATCTCCGAAAAACTGTATCCAATTGCTAAACCGCAGAGAAGCGCTAGGAGAAGTCAGGGCACCCTTCCGTAAAGCCTCATGCTTTAGTTCATCTTCCGGAGACAACACAATGTGGAAAGCATCTTGGCTGCCACAAAGTGGAAGGTGGAAAATATTGGCTACATCCTCAAGTGTGGGAGTAAACTCTCCCCATGAACAGGTAAATGTGTGTCTCGGTATTCCATTGCCTGACCACATGCCGGAGCATCTTGGCTTAAATATGGATGTCGCAAGCTTTAGAAATAAAGATAGCGTCCAGCAACCCTACCCGATTTAGGATGTCACAGGAGGATGGGTCCTTCAATTCGCAGTCAACCCATTCTGACCAACCATTGCTGATGCCACATGGATATTGGAAGAATAAGGGGACTGCCAGAAATATGCCCCTCTTTATGCAGGATCAACCACTGGAGCTGTTTCCGCTCCATTAAATGAATACGTCTTCACCAGCGCTCTTAAGCAAAGAAGGAGGCCTCACTCTTTTTAATCTGTCATCTAGGGGATAAATGGGTCCCTAATAATGGGCAACAGATCAGCGGATGCCATGACCAGTTTTGGCAAAATGGCAAATCTCTGCATAAGAAAGAAAAAAAAAGGGTTCAAGCAAATATGCAATTTATGACCCAAGTTCGCGACAAACAAAGTTCTCATCCTGTGAATCAATAAGCATGCCAAGCAAATTCTCTCTCAAAACAAAAATCAAGCATTGCAAGACATGCGTTCTGTCAACTTCTACTTCTCACGGCCAAGAACAAACTCAACAATTAATCAAGCATATGTTCGCAAGGGGAGTAAGCCTAGGCCAAGCACCAGTCTATGCTTATTCCTAGAATATTCAAATTGGCAGAGCTATTTACCAAAAGATTAAAACGGAAGCCCCCAAATATCCAAGTTAGAAGGCTGGAGGATTTGAAGGTTCCAGCGGCAGAAACGTCAAAGGCTTCCAGAACCTGCCCTACCTATGCCTGAGACGTATGCACCTGCACAGAAATAAACAAAAGAGAAAGCACATCATGCCAAGTTCAGCATTTTCATATACAAAGAAGAGGTCAGATAAAAGTAAAGAAGAGGAAAAGGGGGACAAACCCAAGCTAACGGTTTCTTCTCACAAAATTTGGTACCTTTCCAGCAATTCGAGCAAACCAAAGAAAAGAGAACCTGGGAAGATGGATGCAAATCCTTCTTTGCTAGCACCCACGCTGTAAGCACCCACGTTGCTGCAATAACAAAATAGGTCAAGAGAGGGTTTGGTGTTTCACAGCCATAACAAAAGGGCAACATTCATGGATGAAAGAAACCCAGCAAATTTCCCAAATAAATTCAAGAGAAAACAAGGGAAAAGCATACCTTGTTGAATTCCCCAAAGAAGGATCTTGAATACACCAAGAAAAGGAGAGAAATCGGGGATTTTTGGAAGAAAATCGCACAAGGAGGCCCCTTCAGCAGCGACGAACGGAGCCCTTCGAATAAGGGAGGGGCGGCGGAGTCGAACTTGGCATGGGCTTCTTCACAACGATTGGAGGCAGATGACTTCTGCCCGATCTCACTCTCTCACTCAGTCTGAGTCTGTTGGAGAAGGGGAAGGGAGCAAAGAAAAGAAAATTGGAAGAAGGTTGGGTCTGGTGCGAGAAACGAGGGAGAAAGGAAGAAAAGGAAGAAAATAATAATAAAAGAAGAAGAAGGCGGTTGGCGTTGGGAAACTACAAATAACCGCTGGAACCAATCATGATGCGACGTCATTTTGCACGCGGGAAGAGAAGAAGTTCTCTACAAATACAAATCTGATTTTTTTTTGGGCTGGGTTTAATTATTCGGCCCATTCCAGCACCTGCCCATGGCCCTTATAATTAAGGGGGCTAATGTTGAGGCCCAAAAAATCCATAGTTGGGCCCGAATAAATTATCAGCCCAAAACGACACTCTACTAAGGAAAAGCGTAAAGCGGAGTACACGAAAACCCACCACATGCGAGTTGTAGTTCACGTGCCATGCTAAATAAATTAGCCATGCTTGGGGTTGAGATAAAATATACCGGCTCTACAAGCTCATGCCAAACTTAAACATCGCAATCCTTCCCAAGGACGATAAAATTAAAACATGCCAAGCAACATGCCATGCCAAGCACAAAATCGTTATCTCACACCTAACCACGCTACAAGCCTAAGTGGGCCCAAGCCACAAAATTAACCGGGGCTTACTGAGAAGGTTGTGGTATGGAAGGAAACAAGCAATTACGGGGCCCATTGAGGGTTCAAGGAACGTAAGTTTCAAGCCACTTGGGGGCTTTGAAACTCAAGCCCGTTCCTAGAACCCAAGCACATGGGTTAGCATGAGAGAGAAGAGAAAAATTGCCCCATGCTCTAGGAAGACACCAAAAAAACCTACCAAAATATTTAGCCCAGCCCACATCAATAGAGTTAAAAACCCTTTCCAGCAGTTTGACGAAAATTCACTAGAAATAATAGGCCAGCAGCCCAAAAGTCACGCACAAGCCCAATCCAGCAGCTTGTACAAAAGCTGTCATCGTGTTCCACCTCTGATAAGACTCCAAACAAGTCAGACAAAGGGTCAAGGCAAGAACCAGCAGAAATTCATGGGTAAAGGGTAAATACCCATTAGACAAAAGGCTCCACCCATCTCTTTCTCCATTACAAGCTCTGTTTTGAAAACGCAGAGAGAAAGCAAAGTGGCGCCTCACCTTTGTAGGGAGGTCCAGCTGCGTCAAACTTGTTAGAACCACGATGGTTCCTTTCCCATACGCCTTGATAAGAGAATTGCACGAAAATAGGGCTAAGTAGGAGCTGCCAAGGAAAAAGGAAGAGGAAGACCAGACAAAATTAGAGCTCTTAATGCCTATAAAAGGAGACTTTTGCTACCCAGAAAAATCAACCATCCAGAGCCTGACCAAGCTTTGTCAAGCAACCTGGAATCTACTCAAGCCACCCAAACCTTTCTTTCGTTCATCCTTCTTCTCCCTTAGGATAGGAATCGTGCTAATATTTCCTCTGTAAGAAACCAGAGCCTGACCAAGCTTTGTCAAGCAACCTGGAATCTACTCAAGCCACCCAATCCTCTTTCTCCTTTGTTTTCTTCTTTCCCTGAGATAAAATCTTGCTAATATTTCCTTCGTTCCCAGTTTAGATTTTATCCTCTGCAAGAAACTCATGCTGTTCTCTCTCTCTCTCTCTCTCAAATTGCTAAACTCGTGAAAGCTTAGCTCCCATGCCACATGCTCCTCAGGCTAAGTCATTAGTGAAATCATCATGCTTATTTGGGTGTTAGTAAAGTGATCCTGAGAGTGTTCTTTTAAAATCTCATCAGATTTTCTAAAAACTCTCTGGGAGCTTGGTTTCGAACTCAGGCATTTGGGGGATTTTGCTCGTTGTCTTCTTACAGCAGCCCATGCCCATTCGTCAGGCTGCTGGAACAAAAAACCCCCTACAAGGAGCTGAACACTGAACATTCGTCTATTCAGAGAACGCTTCATGAGTCTCAACAAGAGGTTGCGAAACTTAAATAGGAAAATAAGGCCTTGTTGAAACTGGTGAGTTCATTCTCCATTGATACGCGAACAAGGCTTGACATGCTGCAAATTTCCAATGAAAAGATTCTGGGAAACCACGAGAGGCTCATGGCTAAGCTTAAGAGGTGCCGTCCTCTTCCTTTAGAGGCTTCCATAACATAATGGAATTTTATAGATTTTATAGAGCCTGCTCCTTCCTTGCAGGTGAAAAAAATTTATCTGTTATATGCCCCTTTCCTTTTATAATCATTAGGTAAATTCTTAAATTTGAACATGTGGTTTTTACGTCTTTTCAAAATGACGGTTTGGAACCTTGTGCCTTATAGGTTTAAATAACCACATCAAATTTCCCAAATTACATATTTCAATGCCTGTGAGTTCGGAATTCTGGCCCGGGTTAAAACACGACTTGAAAGTTTATTTGCCTTTCTCAAATTGGCATGAAATATAAATTGAGTAAAAACCATGATAATATTGCGATATTGTAGTGAAAGCATTAACTAATATATACCCAAAACTTCAGGTTCGATATCTCTCATATATTTGGATCCATGGGCTTCCGGCCCAGATCATATAATATAACAAAATATGTAGGGAGCCTCAATTCATCATTTGAGGTTTATACTGATATTATCCATTTCATGGTGTATTCTTAACAACCGGAATTCACAAAATATATTTATTCCTTGAGGTGTTTATTATAACAGAATCGAACTTTATTAAATTCATCATCTTCTTATGCCAAAGAAATATGTGGTGTACCACAATTTGCAATAATGCCTCAAGTGTTGTCCATTTAACTATTGGAACTTCAGGTTCTCAATATTGTCAGATTTTGAACTTCATGCCAAAATTGCATATTTTCATGGTATGGACATTTTTATAATTTCTCGTACATATTTTGGGATTTCAAGCCCTCACATAATTATCCATGTTTTAAGGAGCTTCTGGCTTCTCATTTAATTGTTCATCCATGAGTTTGAGGAACTACAGGTTCCCTTTTGTATATAGTGACGGTTTATCCAAAATGGTTAATATTTATGTATACGTCACTATTTATGTATATGATACTATTCATCAGGTCATGAATACTTGTCTATTCATGCGTACAGTACATTTGCCAATACAATTACTATTCATGTGTACGACATTATTAACCAATACAGTACTGTTACATTATCAAAGAACTTCAGGTCCTTATTTACATGTTTAGGATCAAAGATCTTCAAGTCCGGTCTCTTGTTTAGAAATATAGTACCGAAGAGACTGCCAGCTGTCATATCATTATCATCATCAAGGATCTTCAAGTCCTGATGTAGTTGTATGATGAGGATCAAGGAACTTCTGGTCCTGATCTCTGTATGCTGTAAAACTCATCATATCACACAATTAATTTATAAAATAAATTACTATAAATTGCTTGTAAATAAATTGATGGTATGGATGATAATCCCGCACTATACTTTAAATAAATGTAAATGTGCGGTAAAATAAATTCATAATTTAAATTGCAATAAATTGCTGGTATGGATGATAATCTCGCACCATACTTTAAATGAATATAAATGTGCGGTAAAATAAATTCATAAATTAAATTGCTTCATGTATGGACGTTAATCCTGCACCATACTTTAAATAATAAAGTAAATGTGCGATAAAGTAGATGTGCTTGTATGGGCATGAATTCTAATCCATACTTTTAAATAAAAAGTAAAGACAATTGTGTAGACAATAAATCCACGCCACACTTTTAAATAAATACTTCTATATGGATAATAAACCTACACCATACTTTAAATAAAATAAAAGCAGTTATTGGTGGGTTCTTATTAACACCACGATGAAATAAGATAATATTATATTATTATCGTTTGGGGAAGACATCATGCTTGTCTCCCCAAATCAA